GAGATAGAGGGTGACTAACGACTAAAAAAGAGAATGAGCACTCAACCTATTCCGGGCTTACGTTGCATGTTTTTTTTTCTTTTTTATTGTAATTGCAGTACAATACTTGTTGTACCTACAATGTCATTGTAAATGGCGTTAAATATCATGTTTGCCCAGCACGGCAAAATAGCTCAATCGGGTCCTGTGTTATGTAGATAGCTATGTGTATTTAAAACCGACCGCTTTTACCAAAACGTTGCTTTGTATGCAAATAGTTGATTGAGAATCGGACAATTCGACAATTTTATTTTAATCTAGATTAAGTAGACCAAAGTTTGCATATATAGTGCTCTTGTGACGTCTAGGGACCTAAAAGTGTATCCAGTTAGAATCGTGTTCTAAATTAATCCAAGCGCAAATCCAAACTAAAACATTTTCAAGGTGAAACATGCCTTTGTAGGTTAGATATATGTATATATTTTTTTATTTTTAAATCTTTTATATCAATAGACGCCGTTATAGATTGTCATAAATGCTGTAGATATTCCTGTGGGACAGGGGATCGTTAGTAATGGGAACCAGCAGACCCATAACAGTAATCGTCCCCTGTCTATTCGATTTCCATACGGTCTTCCCTTAATACCACCGTTATTTGATTAGTAATTAATTTTTGTCAAATTTGTTTCAATTATTTCATATAAAAATATAGACTTGATGATCAGATAATTCCGCAAACTATCCGATATGGCATGTAAAAGATTTAATACAAATAGATAAATAGTACTGTACTGTAGTTACTACCTACTCAATAATAGGTAGGTCGTAGGTACTTAAGGGCGTACCCATTCAATTCAATCTGATATTAGTACAGAATTTCTAGACATCTCAAGCAACTATGTTTACCCTTTAGAGGCCCTTAACTTTCGACTTTGTAGGTTATAACAAATTCAAATAGATTATTGAACTGCAAATATCGAGTAAACGATTCAATAAACAATTTTATCATACTAATATTATAATTGTAAATATATGTTGATATTTGTAATCTATTTGGTAGTTAATCATTCAAGCTACTAGGTATTGTGGATTAATATATAGGATACTTTTTCACGTAAGCAGCCGCTTGATAAAGCTAGTTAGTCCTACTAATATGTACTAGGGGGAAAGGGATTGTTAGTAATCATTACTACCAACATACCCTATCAGGTCGACCTCCACGCAGTTCCCCCTGAAAACCATTGTGATTAAATCTTGCTGAATTCGTCACGATGGGCTAACTGACCTGCTTTCTACTTCACCTATCATCCTTCACTGGTGCACCACCAGTGTATACCGATAGCGCAGGCGAAGTTACCATTCTATTTTCATCCATAAAAAGAAACTAATATGTACTATAAAAATGGAAGTTTGTCAATTACATTAAAATGCCTGAAGAGATTTGAATAAAATTTGGTACATGAGTAGATTACTTTCCTTTTTTTAAACAACAGGAAAGATGTATAGTGCAGATCCACACGGTTTAGGGACCGTGTGGGTACTGCTGGACTCCTACTGATTGAATAACTTGACGATATACCTACCTCCTGTCACAAAGCGAAAATGTAACGGTGATGCCAATTATACACGACCACGACACTGACATAAATAATAATATCCGAAATTAATATATAATAAATAAAAATATATATTAAATTAAATAAATATAAAGTACGAGTATAAAGTCGTATAATAATTCACGAGAGCCAAATCACAAGAGATAACTAGAATTATATACATGAGCAGTACCATGGACATAACAGAGTATACTGTTTCGCCCATGATACCCCCCATGCGTTGCCATTCCTGAGGAGTCAGGTGTTATTCCTTTGTACCCTGTAAATTCACTGTCATATTCCACCATTCAAACCAAAACACAGCCATGTAAACACGACTGTTTCATGGTAGAAACACGAATGGGACAGAGGTGTCCAAGCAAATGACTTTTGTAGATAGATAGATACTCTTTATTATTTCCTCCAAAAGATTACAATAGTAAACTTATAAATATAAATAATTACAAGAAATAATCACAATGAGAAAACAATGGGCGACCTTATCGCTAAGAGCGATCTCTTCCAGGCAACCTTTGAATGGAGAGGAGTAATAATAAACAATTAAGCACGATGAAAAATTTTGTTAGTTCTAGATATAGGAGATGTAATACATATAATAATATAAATGTACAAAGTCTTCCTCTGGTAAAACATGATATTAAACATCTCTACAAAAAAATATATACACTTATTTACAAGAAATAATAATTAAGAATTGTAAACGTACTTATAATGCGATTTAATATATTTCAATAATATTGAATTCAATCGTCACTCGTAGGAACCAAGCCAATGCTAATTCTATCGTCAACCAATATTGAATTTCATCGAAATTCGTTATAGCGGGAGAAATTTTAATTACACGCTAAGTGGAAAATATTCAAATGAACCCGGAGACTAAACAATAGCAACATTCATTCGAAACCAATTTAATTTTGGGGTCGCCGCGTGCGGATTAACCGTCACCCATAAAGTATGCCTAGCTAGACATTTATTCATAGGTTTTATTGTTATTAAAACCATTTTTGTTTGTTTGTTATTGTTGTTCGCCTGATACCTGTAGAAGAGATGCCACAAAACCCATAGTTATATATTTATTTATTTACACTTTATTGCACCAAGTAAAAAGAGAAATAACAAATAAAGTAAAAATGAATGAGAAGTGATACAAAAGGCGGCCTTATCGCTAAGCAATCTCTTCCAGACAACCTTTGGGTAGAGGACATTGAGAAAAAAAACGGGTAAAGTTATTGTATAAGTGTATATTTTAATGTAATAACTACCGGTTTAACTTACGTGTAATTAGCTCGATGAAGCTCGACTAATTTCGAGGTCAAGAATTGATCCCGAAACTAATCGAGCCCATGTATTACAAGAATTGAATTGACATTTACAGTCAGAATAATTAATATAATAATATTAATAAATTAAAATGAGTTAGATATAAATTTTTATAAATAATATTAATATATAAACAAATAAGTAGTATTTTATATAGTAGTAACACTATAATATATCGTAAGAGGCGACTAAGGATACTTAATGGTCGAAAAATGGGCAGCAACCACCAACCCGCCTCCCAAGCGTGGCAACTACTAAAACCAAACCCCATAAGAGGGATTTTGCTTCCTTAGAGGAGGCCTATGTTCGACTGTAAACATTAATGACTGATATGAATGAATTAAAAAAAAAAAACACTATAAAAAGATAAAAAAACGCCCTGTAATAGTCTAATAGAACCCTCTCGTATTGTGGAATTTCCAAGGACAACAAAGAAAGATAACCATGTACGAACAGCATGCAGAATCACGATTAAGAGAGATGACCAATCCCATTTTGTAATTCATCTCTGGTAAATGAAACCTCTGAAAATATATATGTATATAAACAATTATAGGAAGTCTCTCTCTCCCTCTTATCCCTGAGTAATATAATATAGGCTATATTTTATTCCGGAAATGCCACGGGATTAAGAGTTAACGGGTTCGCGTTTACGAAACCAACGGGGAATTTTGTATCAGATAATTTATGATTTTGTTCTATAACAGACTTTTTCTTTGGATAAAATTAAAATTAGTATATAATAAATCACGAGTAAAGCTTTTTTGTATAAAAATATCATAAAAATTTGTTTACAAATAGATATCATAATATACAAAAATACATTCGAATTGAGAATTTTTTTAAAGTCAGCTGAGAAAGAACAGTTTTAGATTTGTTTTATCTTTCATAGGTGATATTCTTTCGGAGACGCTAATTCACGTTTCTTATAACTCAAGGTATCCATACTATTCACCATTTAATGTTAGCATATTGACATACTAATAGGATTTACTATGGTACCCACAAAAGGATATTAATTTTTTTTTTTAATAAGTGGAAATGAAACAGCGATACCGCCCGTGCTATTGATATACATTGACGGAGCACCAGTGAGTGACAATAGATGAGCAGGTCAGTTCGCCCATTCTGGCGAATTCAACAACTATTAACCATGATGGTTTCCTCCAGGGGGAACCACATAAGGGTTTTCTTTTTTTACAAGATGATAGTGAATCGGTACACACTAGCGGGGCACTAGTGAGGGAAGATAGGAAAAAATGAAGCAGGACAGTTGGCCCATAGTGACGAATGTGTAAGAATTAATCAAGATGGTTTCCAAGAGAAATCGTGTGGAGGTCGACCTGACGTGGAATACTGTTCGCCGAATATTGGGGCAACTAGTCCCCATTACTAGCAATCGCTCCTCCTCCCGATCTAGTGGAGTATATTGCTAGCAATAGAATAGTTAGATTCCATTTTTAACAATCCCTCTTTCCGATATTAAAGTATAAGAGATAAACTCAAAAATAACTCAAACAATTTTTAAAAATTCTGTCACTTATAAAAAGCTACGTTATCAGCGAATAACATATATTATTTTCAAAAATTGTATCTACCCGTGCGAAGACAGGGCGTACCTTTAGTATAATACATAGTGCTTGCCTGTCTTATAATAATCATTTATTGCCATAATTACCTTTACAGTATTCTAGGTATGAACAAATACATAATGTATTAGACTGTAAATTGTCACTGCCCTGCCAAAAACGAACTATTCTCAAAAATCTTATAGTGTCCCTCGGAATGATGAAAGGATTCTAATATTCCATATATATAAATCTACTCAGACATTTAAAATTTATGGTGGAATAATAAACTTGCATACATACACACATACAAGAATCCTGAAACCATTCCACTTCTGTTGCGGGCAGTTGTGTACCACATCCAAAATAAGTCATATGAATTAAAGTCAATATTAAAAATTAAAACTTTATTTTCCATTCCACACTCCAGTGGGGCATTCAGAACAAATGAAATCACAGTCAAAACATTATATGAGTAATATCACAATTAGAAAATGCATTTTTCTATTCCGTCACATATATAAACAAACAGAAAATCTTGATACTAGAATATACAATATTAACACATCACTTAACTCACAATTAAAACTTATATCACTAAGTTGTATTTAAAGCTATCACCTCTTCAGAACTGGCCTGTAAAACATTAACAATAATTATGAAATACGTAGAGGTTAAAAGTCACAACATAATGCTCAATTTCCAAATTTAAATCCACAGAAATATATTGTTTTATGCAAAGATAACTAATCAAGACTAAAATATGAAGCATGTCGGCATTCTAATACTTTATCTGTCAATTTATTAACTTAATTTTTTTTATACAACTTAGAATGGCAAACAAGCTGACGGCCTACCTGATGGAAAGTGGTAACCATCGCCTATAAAAATGAAATTAGGATCGTCCTAATTTACTGCGGCTAAATTTCAATTCTAAATAAATAATGCTACACAAAGTTTATATAAAAAAAAATTGTTAAAAATTCACAGGAACAAATGGTATTTTCAAATAGGTTTAATTGTGGAAATGGTTTGCTATTGATATTTGATTATTATTAACATTTGATTATATTGCCCACTTTTGTCAGTTGCCAAATACTATATAAATATTGGGATAAATATAATAAAGCAAACTATACGTGAGTGTTCTAATAATTTAAAAAATAATAGATACACTTACTTTTTCTGAAACCCAAATTTACTCAGCAAAGTGGGTTGATTACTTGGTAAAGATGTTGTCCTTTTGAGTGTAGATACTTTACATGTGGACCTCTTAACGCCGTTGATCCCACTTATTATTTTATTGGGCTGACTATTAGGGATTACGGATTTTTGAGATGTGTCACCATTCCAGCATAATTTCGATTTCGGCGAAGTTGATCCAAATGAGCTCTAAAAATGCAATTTATATTAAATTTATTACTTAACGATGTATAGTTTATATTCACGACGAAGTAAATGTCGTGTTATGAGATACCAGAAAACACGTAGCTAAGAGCGCTGCCCAGAACACACAAAACTGAGCTAATGTAGAAAAGTTAGTTACCTAAATTAGCCCAAACAAGAATCAATACCCATTTACGCAAAGTGACATGCTAACCACTGCACCATAGAAGTGATCAATAAGAATGCAATAGGTAAACAAGTCACCACTCCATTTTATCCGCAGGATATCATAAGACGAGACTAAGGAAACAAGTATACATCAGTGTAAGAGAAAACTAGAAATAAAACCAAGCTGTCTTGGCAACATGGAATTAGGTTCTCAGATCTTCCTCTTATGGAGATAATTATAAGTTCATGGGTTGTCATAGTATATATGTATAACTAACCTGTGAATCGACCGGCGTAACCAAAGTCTCCAAAGGATATGTATTTTCAATCACCGAATCTTCACTAAATATATCATTGGGCAATTTTTCTTCAAGTACCCTCAAAGGATTCATGTGTCGCAGACTAGGCTCTAATATGGGACTTCTTTGACTCTTCACAGGGCTGTTCTGTGGTGAATTTTCTTTCTGTGAATTACTCAATTGTGAATCAGGTATCTCTATACATTCCGTGTCGATTTCTATTGGACTCGTCACAGTTTCAACTGCCTTAACTCTGAAGGGGTTCCTACTTAATTTCTCTGGAGATTCCTCTATTGTAACACTATCATTAAAACTTCTATCCTTACAAGTACTCGTTGAGGTATCACTTGAGATAGAATTAAAAAATTTACTCTCCACAATATTATCATCTAGGACAGTTCTTGGAAATTTACTAAGTTTTTTCATTACAGAATAACTGCCATTTTTTAGGCTACATTTCTTGAATGATCTCCGTTTATTCTCCAAAATAGGGGATTTCTCTTTTTGTGTATCGAGCTCTGGTAAAATATCTGCATCATATAATGCCATGTTATGACTGCCTTGAGTTTCAAACTGTGTAAAAGATTCGTTCAAACCACTATCATTGTCTGATTTATGCTTTTTAGCCACAGGTTCCATACAGTACATGTTACTTAAATTTTCTATAGTCAAACTGAAAACATATAAAAAGATTTATATTACAAAAATCTATATATCAATACCTATCTTCGCTCTAAATCTTTAATAGAATATTCAGATATAACTGAGTACCAATGGCCTCTTTGTCATGATGAGGAAGAAACACTACATAACATGATTTAAGGTTACAACCCACTTATGCACAAACAACATATCTCCTTTGAAAGGGCGAACACAAGTGATTTCAGAGGATGCAATGTTATAGGTTTCTCTGCCTGACATAGCCCATTTGTCACTAATAATAATACTAGGATAATCATCATGAAGAGAGGCCTTCATGATGATTATCCTAGTAGGCCTGATCTCTTAAAAAAAGGCACATTATATATTCTTATACATGTTTTTGAGCATACTTAAAAAGCTCCACTCACACCCTGGTATGGACGCCAGACAATACTGAGTCCAAATGACCCTCGACCATTAAGTCACACATTATACAGATTGGCAAATAATAGTCTAAAATAACATACCTTTGATCTTCTGTTTCGGGAATATATTTACTAACTAGATTCACTATTTTCTTTTTGGGTCTGGTCAGCGGCGCAGCTATTATAGGTTCGAGTTTCTTCACTTTCTTTTGCCACGGACATGGATCCTCTAAATAATTTTTGTAATTCTCATTCCAAATACTAGGATGTGTTGATACACCTTTGTCTTTCCAACTGTTTGTCTTTATATGACCATTCTGAAATGAATTGTTATTATTACAAACTGGGTATATCCCGCGGCTTTACTTGCGTCCAATAAGATAACAGTATTTGGACTTCCAGCAGCAGTATTTCCGAACCTATACGACATCATAACCTTCAAGAGCATATTCCTTTTTAAAAGGCTGGCAGCACACCTACAATGCCTTTGGTATGGTGGGTGATCATGGGCGGCGGTAGTCACTTACCATCAAGTGAGCCATATGCTCATTTGCCCCCTGTGTTGTAAACAAAAAAAGTATACTATGATTTTCATGTTTATGCTTTTTACCATCATGACTTCTAAAGGTCTACGTATTAATTTAAATGCCCAACTTAATCTCTTGTAATGAAAAACACTGTTAATAAACTAAATTAATAATCCATATGGCAGAAGTATGCTGGTACTCTTCATAACAAAGCTACATTCATAAGGAGTTATTTATTAAATACTAGTTTTTCCCCGGGGCTTCGTCTGCGTGGCCAAAAAATAGCATATATCCTTCACCGTTCAGTGTGTGTTAACCAAATATCACAGTGATTGATTAAGCTGTTAAGACGCTTAAAGGTAACAAACAAACAAACTCACTTTCATATTTATTTATTTAAATTTTAATGCACTGTAAAACTCTATGTACATTTGGCGGACTTAACACCGGACGGTGTTCTCCACCAGTCAACCATTGAGCAAACCGAGAAATATATAGGCTGTGCATTTTTTAATAGAGGAAAAATAAAGCAATGCTTATATTTCTATTTAAGAATGTAATAAAATTCTAACTACAAATATTAAGAATGTAACATAACATTTACGCAATACGGCGCAAACGAATTGTTTCGCTGTTGGGTAGGGTGCGTGTTAGCTCAAACAGTGTCCTGAAGACAATTGCTGATAAAATGGACTGTCCCATCCTAAAATATTAGGTGGGACAGGTTATCAATGTAAGAGCGTTATATAAAGAGCGCTCATTTAATAACATAGGTTAAGTCAATTTGTAACTAACAAAATGGGCCTTATGTAGTCTAATTAAATAAATATTATTATTATTATAACAACAACAGAGTAGGATCCAAGCTATTGATGCACAGTCAAGAACTTCCTATCAATACATGCATATTTTGTAGCAAAAAAATGAGATGATACTTACTACATTCTCCCGACGATCTGGATGCCAATCATCCATTACCTTCAATGTGAAGGGGTCCAAATTACCAAGTGCTAGCTGAAAAGCTATCTTGGGGTCCAACAACTCACCGGCGTTGACGCACAGCGCCTGTTCTATATCTGCAAAACAAAATATTCGTAATTAGAATACTTTAGAATTTGTATTCCAAAAAAAAAAACAATTCCAAACATTCAAGACACAACCAGTTATTTTTATTAAAAACCAAAATACTGAACGGATTTTGATAAAATTTCTAAAAAAACCAAATCGGTTTATAAATGACAGAGTTAAGAGGTAACAAACATACAAAAAATATAATCAAGCCTCCATCTTTTTGGAAATAGGTTGATTAGTAGTAATTAATTATTATTATTATTTTAGCCATTAACTGTCCACTGCTGAACATAAGCCTTCTCCATAAGGGGAGTTTTGCCAGTAGTTGACACGTTTGGATGCGGAGTTAGGCTTTTACAGATGTTTTAAGAAGGATGCTGTTGCCCATCCACCACCATAAGCTCTCTTAGTCACCTTTTACGACGCTCACGGCAAAGAATGGGATGGACCATTCTATGCCTGGACCTACAAGACAAATAATGATTTATATTATTACCTTCATCATCAGGTTCGGTGAGCCTCACCATTTGCCTGTCCAATGGGTCGTATACATACTGGTGCTTGAATGTGGCTTCGGCCTTTAAGAAGCTCTCTCTATACTCATCTGTTACTATTAAATTTGACTTGTTGAAGAAACTCGGTAATTTTCTAAGAGCCTATAATCAATAACAATAGAAATATAATTCATTTTTAATATTATTTTTATACATCTTATTATGCTTTAAAGTTTGCAATCAACAGCTATCTACAGACCAGTAATAATACAAATACAATCTACTTTATAAAAATAAATACACAATATTTATCATATTTTTTATTTGTTTTAGTTTTTGTAACAAATAAATAAAATACCGATTTCAAAACAATGTACTCACTTGTACCCCGCCGGTGCACACCGATAGCGCGGGCAGAGTTACCATTCCATTATCATCCATTAAAAAACCTAACCTACACATCTCTCATATTATTATTACTACTTACGTTAGCGAAGTTGGATTCGCGCGTGGCCGTAACGAACTGCCGAGCCTTCGCTAACCCAATCCCTGGCAGCGACGAGAGATAATCGCATCCCGACATGATGCACATCTGTCTAAATTTATCGAACGTGTAATGTTCTATTGGGCATTTCATCACCAGAGGCAGTTTAGCTGTCTCTACTAGAGTGCCGGTACCATCGAGATCCATTTTAAAAAGTACCTGAAATTATTGTAGATTACGCATTATGTAAACATAGAGAAGCTTATTTATAAAACAAAAAGTAAAAAGAAATCAAGTGGTTGATTTGAGACATGAACAATGTGGAGACGAAGATTAAACACTAAAAAACCATGTCAATTAGCTAAAACTAACTTGAAATATTTAACCTGATAAAAAGTAATTGTTGCAGATACTAGTTAAAACTCTTTCTTATATATTCATTACTTTATTACTTTGACATAATACTATAAAACAAAAAATAAAAAATAAATAAACTCTGAAGGTAATTTAATTTCTATAGAGATAACCATCATCTATAGACATGAATAAGAGAAGACCTCTGTTGTGATGCCCTTCGTAAGGATTTAGGTATATGTCATACCCAATAATTTACTACCATATCATATGATTTTAAAAACAACCATGAAATCACAGTTGCCTGTCATCAGAAACAACAACAGAATAGATTGAACTAAACTGAAATATCAACAGTAACGACTTTTAAAAAAGTTTCTCTTTGATAATAAATTTACATGTAAACTCTACTGAAAAAAATAAAATACATCCTACCTTACTACATCCAAATAAAATGAGATCAGAATCCTCAGTTATAACTAGGTGGGCGATATTTTTAATGTTCAAATAAGCCAATTGCGAGTCTGCTTCATATGGTGCCACAATGCAATCCACATTGATCTTGCGGCACTCTCTGATGAGGCCGAGTGCCATCGCATGGGTGATATCCACACTGCGTCGCATGTATGATCGCGCCTCATCTATCTGTAAATGACCATTGATACTTTATTATCATAATATTTAAATAAACATAGTCTAGGGGAGAAAGGGATTGTTAGTAATGGGGTCAAATAGCCCTATTACTAGCAATATACCCTGTCAGGTCGACCTCCACATGGTTCCCTCTGGAAACCATCGTGACTAATTCTAGTTTAATTTGTCAGGATGGGCTAACTGACCTATTTTCATTTTCATCTGTCATTCCTCACTGGTGCCCCGCCAGTGTATACCAATAGTGCAGATGGGGTTGCCATACCATTATCACCCATTAAAAAAAAAAACATAGTCTAGTATAAACATGTCATTGAATTTATAATAGAAACCTAAAACAATTATTTACAAACCATTACAGTAATGGGTCAAAATTGACATCAGTATTAAAAGATATTAGAAGTGGCCCATTTTGCAGCTCCTTACTAAAGATATTAATGTGAAAGTAAACTTGTATATTTGTTAAAGGTATCACCTATTGAAGCCGTAACACCAAATAACTATTTTAATATAGGTGGGTAGTATTTGGAATAGAGAAATATTTAGAATATAAAAGGTATTTTAAATTGTGAGCTTTTTTTTTATGAAAATATCACAAAAAAAATTATAAGGAATGAACCACTGTGAAGAAATAAGAGATATTTATCAGATATTATTTTTCATCATAATAATAATAATGTTTATTTATTTATCTCACAACTTTGAGTACAAAGAAACACTTAAAATAATACCATAGATACATCAAAGTTGTAGAGAACTGATGCCTAAACTGAATGGGTATCCGAAGAACCCATATCACAAACCACCAGGACCCCTCCCTGGCATGAAACAGTTTATGGTAATACATACAATTGAGAAATCATAAGCTTCATAACTGATGCTGTAATTACCAAAATTTGAAATTAATATACATTACTTATTTAAAAAAAAAAACACCATAATTAAAGTATATTATATTACAATTTTATAAAAATGTAGAACAGTAGAAGCACTTTTTACAATGATTTATTCAAATTTGAAATTCCCTCAAGAATCAATATAGTTTTGTTAAGATACTAGTTATTACATTGCATACAGTATTACAGATGACATCTTTTCCTGTATAAATTATGACAAAAATCAAATCTATATTAATCTAGGACATGTGTATGAAATTTCATTCAAATCTGAAGCCTACCATGAAATGTTTTCCAAAATTTCAGGGCTGAATGAAAAACAAATTTGTTGTTAAAATTACATAATACATCAAATCAATTTACTGGGATGATTTTGGTATGAATGAAAACATGAAATTGAATCTGAAAATTCAGAATAGCATTTCATGGTAGACCCCTAATTAGCTAGTCTACTATGTTTAGGTACATAACATCCAAAAACCTTTTCAATTAAATTAGAAAAGTATGTATGTATTAATTACAAGTCCCAATCCAAACTCCTGATCCATTTGACAAATAGACTAATATTCTCCTCTATGTAGTATAACCAGTACCTAATATTAGGAAATTAATGGGCTATATTCATTATGAGAAGTAAATATTTAAGAAAAAATTACCTTTCCAAGACTTAATAATTCTGCAGCTCTCTTCTTAGATATGTCCCGAGATCTATAATCATCAATGTAAGTATTAAATTGTTAATTTAGGTTCACCAAATAATAACTAAATATTGTGTATTTAATACATACAGCCCCATCTAGCCCCAAACTAAGCAAAACTTCGACTACATATATTAGCTGATACACAAATACATTCTTATTATATTAACATATATAACTCTATCTTCATACCAGTTTTCTTTCAGAGCAGACAGAAAGATTTAAGTGGTAAAGGCCTTCCTCAAAACTATTTGGTCATTTTACTTAGGCTACTTTAGGGTGAAAATGTTGCAAGTAAAATGCAGTGTAAATTAAATCAATATACTCACTCCCTCCTTTTAGATTCAGTCATTGCTTTAGCAGGAAGGTGCCGGCCATCAAATACAAGAATGGGTTTTATATTTTTCGACAGGAGCATAGTCACATACTTTAAACAATACTTTATATGTCTGAAAAATCAAATTATCGTCAAAATAAAATAATGGAAAATACTATGCTCTAGTAACACATTTTTTAATTATAGTTAGTAAAAAAATAACAGCTATGTAAACAATTGTATATTTCTTAAAAACGTAAGATAATTATGTATACGATACCTACATATCAGTTTCTTCACCTCGCACCAATTTGTCAGCACAAGCAAAAGCTCCCTTATGGAGCCAACAGTAAGAATCAATAGCTACAGTGCATCCATTAAATTCACTAACATTGACCCGTCTGGATGCTTTTTCTATAAAAGGTAGTAATCCAGTAATACCCATGATTGTTTATTCTCGAATGTAACTTAAACTCTAATTGAGATTTTTAATATTTTTACTCCACAATTAAAATACATGTCGTAAATATTAAAAATATGTCTAGATACACTTCAAGGCATGAACTAGATAAATTATTAATTAAAAAATCCGATAAACCTAATAATCATTTTGAGACAATAAATGATAATTCCTACTATTCTAATAAAAGAGAAAAATATGAAAGAAAAATGTTAAATACACGATACTTATAGTTGGGGTTCGCGCCAACTTGCGACATCGAAAATACAATTGTCAATGTCAATGTAGGTACCACAGAGTAAATAATCCGAATACTTTATGACCATATCGAAAAAAAACAAAATAAAAACAAACAAAAAATAATATAAACAATAATATTAAAAAAATTTAACGTTGGCTAAGATATAATGATAGTAATAAAAATATATACATATAGCAACTATCCAAAAATATATAAGCATGCGATTCGCCTGATGGTAAGTGACCACCACCATGATCACTCACAAGACTAGAGGTGTGGTGTATTACCGGCCATCATATTCCGTCTTTTATATTTTTATATTGTTTTTCTATTGTTCTTATGTTTTTACAATTCTGTCATTAGTCTTTATGTTTTCCTACCGATGAAGACGTGATAAAAGAGAACTACAATATTAAGCATTTTTATTCAAGCCGTTTCTCTTAAGAGGCATCGCAGATGGCCTTTTAAAAAGAAATATGTTATTTTTTTGAAGTTTATGATGTCGTATCGGTTCGGAAATACTGCTGCTAGAAGTTAATTACAAAGAGTGCTTATGCGTTGAAGAAAGTGCCTTGAAAAACGCATAGTGGAGGATCGCCTGTCATCCAAATGGTTGGGATGGAACTTTAGTTTGTGTCGAGTTATACGGTAGTGAAAAACAGTAGCAGGTATCAATCCGAATAATTCATCAGGGCACTCGCCATGATAAATTCGGTAGAAAATGCACAAAGATGCGACATCTCTACGCAGCTTCAGTCAATAATTTGAGCCGCCCGATTTTGAATGCGGTCTAACGAGAAAAGCGGGTACTGTAGCGCGCCTGTTCATAAATGAGAACAGTATTCGATATATGGCCGGACTTGAGCTTTATACAGTTTCAAGCGGTATTTCGTCGCACTCTATTGAGCACTCCTAACTTTTTGAAGGCCATCATAGCCTTTTTCGGCGTTTTTTTTTTTTTGCGGTAAACATGCAGACTTGTCTTCTTAGAGTTGAATTGCACAAGATTGTGTTCACCGCAGATCGAAACTTGATCGAGTGAAGTTTCAATTTCAGACACAAGTCTGTTCCGGCACTCATCAGTATGTGCCCGCGAGACCGGTATATAATGCATTCCCCTGTACTATCATACGCATAGCAATGAATATTACTGATGTGTGATATATCATTAATATGCAGAAGAAACTGGATCAGAGATATTACACAACTTTGCGGGCCATCAGTATTCACAGATTTTAAAACAGAGCATGCTCCGTCGACTGCGACCTTAATGCTACGTTCCTTAAAGAAACTGGAGACCCAACTGCACAATCTTGCACTTAACCCAAATGAATTAGTTTTGAAATCAGTATTTTTTGCCACACCTGATGAAAGGCTTTCACAATATTCAGATTAACAGCTAAACCCTCTCCCTTATTCTCGATTGCCACTACCCATAGGCATACCCGTACTGGCGATCACAGATCAGCTGGTGATTTTCTAGGTACCGGGGCAGCTAACGGTTGATGATAGATTCCACGACTTTTGAGAATAAAAAAGTGATAGCTATGGGACTATAGTTAGCTGGTTCCGAGCGATCTTCCTTTTAGGGATAGAATGTACCAGAGCAGTCTTCCAAAACTTTGGGACTATACCTGATAAGTAACAAAGCTGAAAAAGACGTGTAAGAACCACAGCTAACTCTGGCGGACACGTCCTAAGCACAATTGGACTAATATCATCGGGCCCACTCGACTTATAGATTTCAAGGGAAAGAAGTGCTCTACGCACTGAGGTTTACGTTAATTTAATACCAGCCATAGAGTTCTTACAACGCGGGATGGCCGGTGGCGGTTTCTCCCCGTCATCCAACGTCGAGTTAGACGCAAAGACGGATCTAAGAAGATCCTCCTTGCGCAATGGTAAAAAGGATAATGACTGACACTAATCTAATTGTATTACGTATTTTAATATATTTACTCAAAATAATAAAAAAATTATTATGGCAAGTATGCAAAATATACTTGCCATAATAATTTGTCTTCTTAAATGTAAAATATACACATAGCGCTTATTTTAAAATTTTGTCAATAGATTCAAATCCGATGTACTTAGGTTTGAAAGATATGTATGTGTGTATCTAATTATTTATTACCTATTGTTAGTACTGGAAATCTAATTTATTACCTTTTTAATATTAAATAATTCTAGTTTTGTATATGCTTACAAATAAAAATATATAGTGTTTATATTTGTAGGGTAGTTGTAAATATTTTTAAGATTTTTTTGTGATAGGTAAAAGTGTTGTCCTATTTAACCTCTTATTTTTAATTATAAATTAAAATTTTCAAGATCGGTCTGAATACGCGACAAAAAATCCCATTTATGATTAAAATCAGCTAAAATGCGTATACATCCACGCATATTGACGTCGGCGATAGCTTTTGCGATTACTTGTGTTGTTTCCACGGCGGTATATTATTACAAGAGTAGGAACACCGAATTAAATGAAGTGATGGTGTTTTGTAAATTACAATACAACGCTTATAACTATTTCGATAAGTTAATTAGTTACATAGAAGCCGCCAAGCATAGTGTGAACGTCTGTATGCCGGGAATTCATAACCCAGCCATCCAGAGCCGGCTGGTCCAGTTAATAAAGAGGAAGAATATTATAGTGCGCATCATAATAGACCAAGCTGGGTATAATGATTCAACAGAGTTCCTTATAAAGGAGCTTCTTAATGCTGGTATGACAATTTTATACGTATTATTTGTATATTTCAAAATATAGGAGAGACTAAATTGGTATTTGTACTTCAGTACAAATAGAATAGTCTCAAGTATAGGTTTAGTGCATGTCAATTTATGCCAGCATGAGTAACTATATATATATGTACAGAGGAATAACACCGGACTCCTAAGAAATGGCAAGGCATGAGGGTATCGTGGGTTAAATAGTACACTCTCTTATGTCCATAGTACAGCTCATGTCTATAGGCGATGGTTACCACTTTCTATCAGGTACACGCCAAGATTTATAATTATGGACATTTTATATCCTAAGCTTGGAATACTCATTCGTCTCCCCAACTACCATTCTTATAAATCACTACACAAGAATCTGAAAAATAGAATACCTTTGCACTGCTTTGTAAACAAATCGCTGAAAATTAATGAATTTTAAACAATTCAATCTCTATTTTTACAAACTGAAAATTTTGAATCGCAATAAGCACCTAGAAATTACACTGCTATAATACATTGTTTAATCATCTATGAAAGCATAGCCGCTGGATCCATGCTCTAATAGATATCTACAGTTACCTGTGTACTCTCTTTTCAGGCGCGAAAATCAGATATAAAGTTAACGATCACATATACAGAATGCAACACAAGTTTTGCTTGGTAGATGACGAGGTACTCATGACTGGAACACTGAATTGGGGTAATGAGCGCACTTCCGACCATTGGAACTATGTATACATAACTAGTAAGAAGCAGTTAGTTGATCCAGTTAGGAGCGGGTTCTATGCAATGTGGAACGAACATTCAAGTGATATGAATATAGACACCCAATCATATGAAAGTGATTTAGAAACCGAATTCTCCGAAGATGAATTAAACAGCGAACATATAGAAAAAATTACTGAAATGGAAATAATTAGAGAAAATGAATCAACTACCGTATATATACGCTAATATGTTACTAGCTACAATTGTGAAACTGAAAATTTTCAATTTAAACATATCCAATTGAAAACTTTTTTATTGTTTTTATGTAATAGACTTTAAATTATTGTTAATATTTATAAAATACCATAAACACGTTTTTAATAATTAATTGTTGCAATGTATTGCTCGGCAAAGCTGGCCTTTGCCTGCCTAATTGTATTTCCTAATTTGCTAGCATCTTTGCTATCCAATATTATTTCCCTTAGGATGGAACTGCTTTTTATAAAGAAAAGTATTTCTTTATTCTATACTTAATATATTCTTGTCTTTTTCCGTTGCTATAATGTCTATTATAATCCTTATTATAAACTGTATATTTTTACGGTCAGCTTTGTACATTTTATTTTTATAGTGATATTTTAGGTTTATAAAATTAAATAAAACAAAGTAGTCTTGAATTATTTTTATGTAGCCTTTTTTCCAATTATAATACACTTAAAATAGTATAGAAAAACAAAGTATAAAATTACACCACTATCAAGTGCGTAAACTGGATTGAAAAATATGAGTTGACTGAATATTATGTAGGAAATTACTTTGACAAGCATGGCAATTATAGAAACTGAAAATTTTATCTATTATTTAGGAATAAATTAAATTTACATTAAAACCAATTTTGTGGTATTTTAAACCTTTACATCAATAACTTATAATAAAAAAAAAAACAATACACCAAGTTTAACATGTGACTGAAACCTACTATTAATTTAATTCATATGGGGCCTTAGGAACAAAAATTACTCTGATAATAAATTTTTTAATTGTAAATTTTTACTTTAGACATAGAAAAATTGTGATCCAAGATTGTAATTTTTAAACGAAAGAGTTTCTAAGTTCTTTATATACATATTAAGAACTAAGAAATTCATCTGTTTAAAAATTACAATGTTAGAACACATCATTTTCTATATCTAAGGTATGAAATTCAATTTTAGTAGTAATATTTTACTTAAACCTAGTAATTTATTTTTTTATAAATAAGTTATAAATTGATATTACATTTTCTTAACTATTCACCACCTCTAATAGCTTTATACTTAGCAATTTCATTGGGAAATGTTTTTGAGAGTTCTGAAAGAAGGTGACTCTTGAACCGCTTGTAGGAATCAATCTTGCCCTTTACTTCTTCATTTTTGGCTAGAGCCTTATCTATACAGTCCTTTGTATACAGCTGAGGATTGCGGCCCTGATCTATGTAGCTGTAAAGTAAAGTATGTAATATTATTATGTCATCAGTGAATAAATAAATAAAATTAAGCATGAAGTCTTGAATTAAGCAGAGCTCGTACTATGAAAACTAGACAACTTATAAACATACTCAAATACTTTTTTTTTTTGTAAATACATAAAAAACATCCAGACTAATACAGAGAAAATCATGAATACAAAGATTGCTAACTGCAAGAACACCAAGGTTGAATCCGTTTTGACAATGCACATGTAAAACCCTGACATTACAGGTGTGCATATTCTTTTATAATGATTTAACTATGCAAACTCTACAAGAGGCACATATAGGCATAAATAGGACACCTTTAAGACAAATTGTAATGTCAGTCTACAATTCTATAAATTTTAAAATATTTCAAAACTAATACAAAACACAGATGGGTAATATAAAGGAATATCTATATATTGTAGTTACAAAATATATGTTGAGTATTGGTTTTCCAATATATAATATAGAAATGAAGCACTCAATTGTAATGAATGGGGATATCTGATTAGTATAGGTGATACTGAACTGGGTGGATGATCTTTTATCCACTGTCATTGTCCAGAGGAAACCAATATATAGATATCAGAGCAGTACTAATATTATCCATGTCTAGAGCTAAATGACTTAAAGCACAAGCATTTCATAAACTAAAGAGTGAGTATGGTGTCTAAACTTTCTTATTTAAAAACAAAAGGTTCTGCCACATGCTGTATGCTCACAACTGTAATCTGTGATTAAGGAGTCAGAAACATTTGTCAACTATTATCATTATGATGATACACACATGTCACCATGCATATTTAAATCCAACCCTCCAGGTACCATAGTGTTATCATTCCAATTAATTTGGTTTTGTTTTTTTAATACTGCAGATAAAGATGTAATTTAAATTGACACAATAACATTTTACAGTACTATCCAGTCAATGTAAATTATTTTTGATTACCTAAATAAAGGAGATGGGGAGACATTTGCCCAGCTGTGAGATATCATGAGTTAATAATAGAATAAATAGAATTCAATAAGTATAATAAAAGGAGAACAATGAGATGATTCTGGACCTTCCATGGAAAATTTTAGAGGTTATTTGCACTCTTTCATAACACTTTAATTAGCAATTTTTTATGTATTTCTTTCCTATAGATTACTTACTCGAATACCTCTGTGGGGACGTGAATATCGTGTACTTGAGACTTGAGTTTATCGACTTCTTGCAGCCCCGTCACAAGCGATTGTCTGAAAGCAGGAAGCAATGTTTAGTAATAAAATCAATAGATCAGTAATTATATCTACATAAGTAATAAAATTTCTTACATTTTTTGATTCAGTACACTTTGACCTTGTGGTTGGAAATCGCTTACTATGATACGGATTTGTCTCACGTTTTCAATGAACATTTCTAATTGTGTCTCAAGATTCTCCAGCGGTGAAGACATTTTCGTTACAAATTAGTTGTCTATAATTACTACAGTACAATACAAAAATGTAAATAAAAAACAGGGCAACAATGATAAATGCGAAAACACTGCCCAAGGAATAAGTTCATTAAAGAGAAAATAAAACAGTAACAAAATAGACCAATATACTAACACAAACCAACGACAACAACGCTATGCTTTTATCAGATTTGTCAACTCGTCAGTGTTGCCAGATAAAATGGACCGGATTTCGTCAAAAATTGGACCTCATGGAGTCTAGTCTACCAATCATCATCATTTCAGCCATTATATCTTAAAGAACGGTCCTGACTGCATCCACTGACTCTTTACAACGCATTTCAGGTCGTTACTCCATCTAATAAAGGGTTGTCCAACACTGCGAAAAATTCGACACAATTTGTTTTTATTGAATTAAGTATTAGTTTATTTGATGAAAACCATGTCAGAACCTTCGACAGAGCAACATTTACACGATTAAGGTTGTATGTTTTTCTATTCAGTATAAGAATTAGTGAAGTGTTACCAGCAAATAATACAATATCAGATAAATCTTGAACATGATGTGATAAGTCATTCATATATACCTACGAAAAAAAAGAGAACTTAGAATAGAGTCTTGAGGTACAATCATTTTAATATATGATCCACGAGAATTAGCACCGTTTACTTCTACTATTTGAATTCTTGACTTTAAGTAAGATTCTATGAGTTCCAAAAACTTATTTCTAACTCCATAATGTTCGACGCAATCGAACGCTTTAGAAAGTTTATAAAATACACCAATAGCATTCTGCAAATCCTCCCACGTACTGAAAATTCTGTTAAGTTGACCTCTGTTATATTACAGATGAGTTACGCCATTCGGTTCCCTTTTTACGTTTTATATGTTTAATATTATCCATCTCTTTTGTTTAAGTATTTATGATTCGCTGTTATTGGAAATTAGACTTTACTTGATTAGCAAGTCACTGATTATGTATATGCACCTTTAGTGATTTGTAATCTGTGGTGTAAACAGTTGGGGTTGCCAGTTATTTCAAAAGAAAATTTTGAAGGTCATGAAAGGTGAGTTTGAAGTTTTGCTATTGGTTAGTTATTTTAGAGGTTACCTACCGATTTACGATTTGTTGCAAACTTACAAAACAGCACCTTTTTAAAAACGAAATAATATTTTCTAATTTTTAAAATTTTATTTTAATTAAATATCAAAATGGTTTTTATTTACATAAATTATAATTAGAATATTGTTCGTAAAATTTCGTTTTCTTGCATCATTATGATTAAATTGTTGAGTAATAATGCTGAAAAAATTTCTATTTATCAAACTGCATTTGCCGGTGGTGCCTCTGGTGCTGTTACAAGGGCCATAGCTCAGCCTCTCGACGTCTTGAAGATAAGGTTTCAGTTACAATTGGAACCAATAAAGTACGGATCCAAATACAGTTCTATTTTCCAAGCAGTCACTTCTATCATCAAAGAAGAAGGATTTACCACGCTTTGGAGTGGCCATGTTCCAGCACAATATTTATCAATAGTGTTTGGTATTGTACAATTTACTACATTTGAAAAATTAAGCCACTTATGTCAAAGATCTGATCCTCAATTTTATGTAGTACATAAACATTGGATTAATTTCTGTAATGGAGGTATCGCTGCAACACTTGCTACGGTTACGTCTTATCCTTTTGACACTGTAAGAACTAGATTAATAGCTGAAAAGAAGACTAATAAAGCTTATAGAGGCTTTATTCATGGGTTAACTATGATCATTAGGTGCGAGGGGCCCCGCGCACTATTCAAAGGACTGTTACCAACACTGGGTCCAATAGCGCCTCAAACTGGAATACAATTTGCTGTGTACAAGTTGTTTACTGAAAACATATTAAATAAAATTGCTTTTTTTCAAAGGCCAACAGGTGTATTAGGTGTAGTGGAGTCAACTTTATTAGCAAATTTAATTGCTGGCTCAGTCAGTGGTTTTGCAGCCAAAACTGCCTTATATCCATTTGATTTAGTGAAGAAGAGATTACAAATTCAGGGCTTTCAGCAGCATCGAAGTGATTTCGGAAAGCAAATGTATTGTAGAGGCATGCTGGATTGTCTCAAATTGACTATCACGGAAGAAGGGTTTTTGGCTCTTTACAAAGGTTATGGGCCAAGCATGTGGAAAGCAGTTTTAACAACAGCACTTCATTTTGCTGTTTATGATGAAATAAAACATTTTTTCTTAAGAATACAGACTTAGTGTGATACAAAATGTTTTTTTAGTATTTCATTATATACAGGTTATAAAATCATAGCTTAATTATGTATGTAGTTAGTTTGACTTTCATAATTCATGTAGTGATTTTGTGTTCAATATCATTATTAATATTATATAATTTCACATTATAAATATGTAAAATTTGTGTTCCTGCGAAATAGTCGCCAATTTTTTATAGTATTAGATTAGTATTTAGTATTTTAAAATTGTACCCCTGCTGTGATATTAAAATAATAGTCTTTCTTAGTATGTAAGGATATCAAACACATGTTTATATTTTATATTTAATTTATTAAATTATTTCTGTTTACAAATATACTTTTTTCTGTTTTATCCAAAAAAAACAATTGTTAAGCATTAATTACAATTATATGACTATGTATGTATTCAATTATTATAAATCCTTATTCAAACCCTGATCAATTACCTATAGAATATACATTTAATTGAACTAATAAATAGCTACTATATTACATTAGGTTCCCTTATATTATTAAATTCTATCCATATGATATTACATATCCCATATTTCTCATTAAGGTATCCTTGATAGCTGGTTGTAATTCTTTTTTCATGTAAGTTGTTAATAAAGTTCTTATCCCTTTTGTAAATATATCCTCCATTTCTCGAGATATATCTTCTACCTCATCCAAGTCATCGTCTGGTCTGAATAATTTGCTTCTTTCGTAGTTAACTCTATTGCTGCGTGGTTCATAAATTATATCCCAGTTGTTATCTGCTGATCTACTGTCAGATTTCTCCATATAGGGCTGCTCTAATCCAGGTTTGAAACTAAACTCATCAGATCGCCTTCTTCGTCTCAAAGGAAGGTTGTCCTTATTTCTAACGGAGTTCCGGTTTATATATTTCTCGCAGCCATACGCATAAACGCTTATGAAGCCGGGTTCGACGAATTCCGAATCGGTTTTAACATTGAACTTCCCGGGCTGTTGGTTTAGAGGTCTCGTATGAAAACCGATGCCCGCTTTGCGTAAACGCAAGATCATATTGCAACCATTACTTCCAGGATGTCTTGGGTAAGCATCTGCAGAGTATGGGATATCATATGGACGTGGTTCCGCGTAATTTCTTCTCAGATTGCGACTCGGTGGAAGATTCCGGTCCAGTTCGTTGGCGTCGTACAAGTCAACGTTACCGCTAATAGTAAGATCGTGGAATAGAAGCATCGTGTCCAGTGAAATGTTCCGAGGGTCGAAGTAACATTTCTCTACACGCACCCAGTTACTATTCTGCGGTAGTCGTACACGCATCCTAGTCACATACATGTCCACAGCAGCTGTTCTCATTTGTTGATATAAGCTGTAGCCGTTGAGGTCGATGCTTTGACTCTGAAAATAATTCACAATCATATAACTTTTATATTGTGCATCTAGACATCTTTAATATACACTCCTCGCAAAAATTAAGGGAACATAAAAAATTTTGAAATTTTTGGGTGATTTTCAACAGGCTGTATTTAAGTGAAAAATAATCGTACAGGAAATTTAAAAAAAGGGTTTTGAAGCTTGAAAACTCTAGTTTTCAGATTTTTTGGTGAAAAAATTTTTTGAGCTCCGGTTTCCATGCAATTCTTAAACAAAGCTGAAAATAATTTTTTTCTAAATTTTCTAGGTTTCGTTTTTCACTCTATGGGCATGGAAAAATTTTTTCGAGCTACTCCATTGTATAGGTCTCTTAGCGTGTTTATTCAGCTTCAAAAATCGCTTTGGATGGCTCAATTACGACCATTTGTCTCCGAGATATCGAACTTTGAATGCAAAAGCATCCTTTTCCATTCAACTGCTAATATCTCTGGAACTACTGGTCGCACAGCAAGCGGGCGCGGCAAATCTGAAAACTAGAGTTTTCAAGCTTTAAAACCCTTTTTTTAAATTTCCTGTACGATTATTTTTCACTGAAATACAGCCTGTTGAAAATCACCCAAAAATTTCAAAAATTTTTATGTTCCCTTAATTTTTGCGAGGAGTGTACGTAAATATTATTTAAAAAAATAAGAAATTTCAGCATGGATTTTGTCATTTTAGTGACAAAATAGACCTATTTTTCTAATTTTTAAATTATACCAGAGTCAAATTAGCAAAATTTGTAATTAAAATTAACTCTTTAAGATTTAAATTTTCACATGTTAGCCCCTTTCATATCATAAAAATATTCAAACAGCTAAATTTAAAAAATACGGAAGACCTTTGGGGCATGTCTGTAAAAGTAGTTAGTTCTTTCATAGATATTGTTGCTCCATATCTAGCCACTATTTTTAATAAATGTATTGATAATGGCGTTTTTCCACATTTAATGAAATTTAGCAAATTAATCCCACTATTTAAATCAGGAGATAAATTTGAGCCAGGGAACTATAGACCTATATCTATTTTGCCAGTTCTAAGTAAGGTGTTTGAAAAGATAATGTTAAATCAAATGTTACATCACTTCAGGGTTAACGGACTGCTTCACAGTCAGCAATATGGTTTCACCGCCGGCAAGTCTACCACTGACGCAGGTGTTGCGCTAATGACACATATTTTCGAATCTTGGGGGAGGTCACAGGATGCACTCGGAGTTTTTTGTGACCTATCAAAGGCATTTGATTGTGTGGATCATAAAACGCTTTTGTACAAGCTCGAACATTATGGTATAAGAGATAATGATCTAAAATTAATGAGAACTTATTTAGAGGATAGGGTTCAAACTGTAGATATTGACGGTGTAAAATCTAAGGGAGCTAATATTAAGATGGGCTCCACAAGGGTCAATCTTAGGCCCCTTTCTCTTTTAATCTACATAAATGACCTTCCCTTTATGGTAGAGAAAATTGCAGATATAGTGCTGTTTGCGGATGATACTTCGTTAGTGTTTAAAATTGGACGTCAAAGTAATCAATTAGACGATGTAAATTGTGCTATGTCTGCAATATTAAATTGGTTTACATGTAATAACCTATTATTAAATTCCAGCAAAACAAAGTGTATAAAATTTACACTTCCTAATGTAAGACTAATAAATACACAGTTATTGCTTAATGACGAAATAGTAAATTTTGTTAATGATACAGTTTTTTTAGGTATAACAGTGGACTCGAAATTACAATGGGGGCCCCATATTTCAAAATTGGCCAGTAGACTCAGTTCTGCTGCATATGCAATTAGAAGAATTAGGCAATTAACAGACGTGGCGACGGCTAAACTTGTATATTTTAGTTATTTCCATAGCATAATGTCTTATGGCATACTGCTGTGGGGTAAAGCAGCCGATATAAATACTATATTTGTTTTACAAAAGAGAGCCATACGTTCTATTTATGGTATGGGTTCAAGAGAGTCATTACGTCAGTGCTTTAAAGACTCAAATATCCTCACAGTTACTTCACAATACATTTATGAAAATATTATGTATACACGGAAGAACTTAGCGAGTTTTAAAAAACTCAAAGACTGTACAAGTAGAAACTTACGCAATATAAATAAGCTTATTTTACCTAAATGCCGTCTGCACAAAATCAGTAATTCATTCTATGGTAATTGCATAAGATTTTATAATAAACTGCCGGAATCTGCATTAAATCTGACAGAGAGGCAATTCAAATCTTATATTAAACAATTTTTATGTAAGAAATAAAAAGACGAATTCATAGATGACAACATATCAAGTAAATAATTAGTTTATTAGCATACAACGTTATAATTTTATTTTCTCATTGCTTTCTTGATTTAATTGATTAATTTTAGAAATATGAAAGCGTATTGGTTTTTTGTATTAATTGCCGCATGCATTCTTATGTAAAATGTGAATACTATAACTATCAGATGGCAATTGTGAGTAGCTTTGACGTGGTCTAGTGTTTTGAGTAGTCATGCTCACTAAAATGTCCAGACTTGTGGCGGCGTGGTGGGCCGGGTCATTGGGCGTATGGTCGAGCGCAGTGATGGCTGGCTCATCCGTCATACTCGTGAACGGGTGCTGCTTAGTAGGGACTGGTCTGCTCTAATCACTATGACTGATTTCCTCTTATTAATTGTTTAACCAGTTGGTTATGTATTCAATTTTTTTTTTTTTTTGAGTATTTAATTGAATTAGTGCTAATTGGTGGTTTGTATTCACACAATTAAACTTAAAAATGTAAAATAATAATAAAATTATTTAAAAGAGCATCACGCAATCTTGCTCGTTCTTCTTGTGATGAGACAGCTTTCCGAACGAGCGGTAAATTAAAAAAAATGTAATGACTTTTCAAAAGTGCTTCAATGTAAGTTTATTTGAATAAATGATTTCTATTCTATTCTATTCTATTCTATTCTACTGGAATCGAACCGCGACATCTCAATACGTCATACAACATACCCACTATTGGACTATAGTAGACCTGGACATCATTAAAACGTTAGACTAGATATGACTATTCACGAAAAATCATCGCGTACCACAGCAATGTATTAAGCATCCACTAATTACTTGTTATGATTTCTTTAAACTACAAGGATGGCCAAAAATTCTTTACCATAATTGACAATTAATAAAGCAAGAGCCATATGAAGTATATGTACATAAAGTTTTCTTTATCCATAAATGAGTTTGGATTTGATTCTCAATCGAATCAATTTGTTGATTCATCTCATAACAATGACAATGAAAGTATTGTTATTTTTATCTCTGCAAAATGATGCTGGATATATTCCAATAGTAATGTTGATAGTATAGAGTCAACAATCTAAAAGTAATGCGCGTCTAAAATTCTAATGATACAGGTGATTCTTTTAGGAAAGTTTTAGTAGATATTCTCAGCAGAAAATAATAGAAAATATTATTTGTAGTCTGTTCTAATTTAAACAAACTTGTAATTGATCGAACCTCAATAAAATCTATTCATATTAAACATATCCTACGAGTATGTGTACATCGATTCTTGAGTACATCATCCATATTTCAAATTGACCCGTCACCCGTATCCAATACCAAGGCCGGATCACAATGTAATTTACGCGCTCCAGAAGTACAAAATAATCGATCCGACCATTAGATAGTCGGCTAATATCCAATAATAGTATAAATAAAAAATCGATGAAATGTTTCAATTTATTACTAAATTCCTTCAGAGAGTGTTTCTGTGATAATTGTAACATAAAACAAAACATTGATATTTATCTAGTAAGCATCCTTACCAAAGGTGTATCGAGGTTCTTTGGTTGATTCCTTTTTCTTCTCTTTAGTTGGTCAAGTGCGGATTCTAAACGAGCTGAGCATCGTTCTCCAGCGATCGGGACAGTCGTTAGTGGGGGTAAACCAGCGGAGCCGATGCCGTGGGCTGATGGTCTGCCGTCGAACCGTTTTACTTCGAACAGAGGAAGGAAACGCGACTCTATAACATTTCAAACATATTGGTTAATAAAACTAAATATATAACTACAGTAAGAAAAGTTTTCGACTAGCCACCCCATACAAGCGAAAGATGTATAGGAAGACCCCTACTAGATGTAACTATGACTTCTGTGACCTATTATGTGTTGCAGCAGTGGATATAAGAACGTCAAGACCATTCCTTAGGGGGAAAGGGATGGTTAGTAATTGGGTCTAACAACCGCATTTCTATCAATATATTCTATCAGGTCGGCCTCCACACAGCTCTTCCTAGAAACCATCGTAGTTAATTCCTGTGAAGTTCATCACGATGGGCTAACTGACATGCTTTCATCCTCTCCTATCATTTATCACTGGTGCCCCGCCAGTGAATATCAATAGCGCAGGCAGAATTAGCATTCCTTTCATTTTTAAATTACTCGTCTATACTTGATGTATGCAAAAAATTGGCACGCAAAGAGATGCTGATTACGACGTCTGTAACAAACTATGTAATTATCATCTAAATATAGATACTAATGCATGTTTATGGCTTGTGTTATCTGTATATGTACATTATATTTAGTAAACAATCTTATCTTTTTATTGACTATATGCATATGAACGAATTGTGAAATCCTTGGGCTTCCAAAAATGTGGCCTATTTACAAGTAACTTTCTTATCCAAGGCTACTTTTTTTAATGAATACAAATTAAATGGAATTCCGGCCACACTTACATTATACACTGGTCGGGCGCCAGTAAATTATGATAGATGATGATGAAGACAAGTCAGTTGGCTCAGAATGAATTCATTGGAAATTAAACAAGATAGTTTCCACAGGTGATCACGTCTAGGTTGACCTAATATTGCATGCAATGGGGCCACTAGAATCCATTACAAACAATTCCTTGCCTTACTGTCCAATTGCTTGTCAAAAGGCTATTCGATCAAGAAGGACCATGAAGGGGTTTTTTCACTGACGGAACACAAGTGAGAGATGGTAAATACTACCTATTATAGAGTAAAGGTAGATACATTTTGTGAATTTGTAATATCTACTCAATTTTGATTGTCGAATTTTTGGAAACAAGATTTTTTAACACATTAGATTATTGAACATATGTAATTCTACTAATATTATCGGATAGATATCGAGTTACTCCCATGCTTGATTGATATCAATCTATTTTTTAATATGTTTATAACTACTCGGTACGCGTGGATATTAGGAATAAAAATACTAATGAAATAGTCCACTTCTGCATAGTATATCAAGATAAAACATACAATACACAAAATTTGAACCTTCAGGAATGCAAATGTAAAATCTGCATGCAATTTAGTGCAGTACTTTAAGTGTGATGCCAGAACAAACATATAGACGGACAGACAAAAAAGCGATTATCTGTCCACTTCCGAACATAGGCCTCCCCCATAGACTGCCATAAGGAACAATCCTGAGCCACCTGCATCTACTGACTCCCTACAGTGCAGTGGAGGGGTCGTCCTACACTCTGTTTTCTCGTACGGGGTTATTATTCTGGTGTTATTATGCGGTATTTATTAATATCAGATTTTTTAATAGCTGCAAATGAAATAGTGTAGTTAACGTTAATGATAGATGAGAATGAAGCAGATCAGTTGCCCCATTTCGTAACGAACTTAATAATTTTTTACTATGATTGTTTAAGGGGGAACCATGTGAAGGTCAATCTGATAAGGTATATTGCGAGCAATGAGGCCATTAGACTCCATTACCACATTATAAAGAATTACTTTACTAAAAAAATCCTTTCCATTCTATCATAATCAGTGAGGTAGATACAAATAACATAATACCTATCAGTCTAAATAATTAGTGTTAATACTTACTACACTATAATTAAATGATTAATGATAATAACATATTTTATAATTAATTGCTGCGTGATATTAATAAGGGCACTTACGTAACTACTGGAATAAGTCGGTAAAACTGATATAAATAATTATAATACGGACTCACTATATTCATATATGACTTAAGATGGGTGACAATAATCCTATTACCTAATATTAGAGGGGGAGGGGGAAAAGGGATTGTTAACAATGGAGTTTGACAGCCCCATTGTTAGCAATATGCCTTATTAGGTCGACCTCTACGTGGTTCCCCCTGGAAACCATCGTGAAGAATTCTTGTTGAATTCGTCACGATGGGCTAACTGACCTATTTCATCCTCACCTATCATCCTTCACTGGTGCCCCGCCGGTGTATACCGATGGCGCGGGTGGGGCTACCATTCCATTATCATCCATTTAAAAAAAATATAAGAGGGGAAGGGGGAAGGGATTGTTAGTAATGTGATCTACCAGTCCCGGTGCTAGCAATATAACCTTACAGGCCGATCTCCACTAGGTCCCTCCTGGAAACCATCGTGATGAATTCCAGGTGTATCCGTCACGATGGTCTAACTGATCTGTACTTTTTTTCTCTCACTGGTGCCCCGCTAGCGTATATCGTAAGCGCAGGTTGAATTACCATTCCATTATCATCCATTTAAAAAACTACGTAATATTACAAATATGAAAGTTTGTAAAGATGTTTGGATGTTTATATACATATATGTATTCAAAGATTTTGTTCTTAGTGTGTATCTAGTATGTAGACTAGGTTTATAATGAATTAATGTAAACTAGCCTTATTAGTTATGAATAATGAGTGACAGAAACTATGTTCTAGTCTATGGAATGAAAACTGACATTATGAATCTACATTGAGAATAGTAAATAGAAACATGGAGAATTAGAATTAAAAATTGCAATGATAAAAAGCAGTTGTTTAAATTAACATAGTTTCAAATTACATAAAATGCTTGTGTGTTTGTTACTCAATTATAATTACATGGCTAAACTGATTTGAATGAAATTTGGTACACGGATAGATTATAGAATATAACTTATCTGGTTTCTATATTACACTCTAACTGAACACATAGTATACTTAATAGTCTAATTTTTTTATGCAACTTAGAATAGCTGAGGGCCTACCTAATGGAAAGTGGTAACCGTCGCCTATAGACATGAACAACACCATGAACAAAATAGAGTATAGTGTTTCGCCCATGATACATACCCCCTATGCGTTGCTATTCTTGAGGACTATGGTATTGTGCCTCTGTACCATGCAAATTCACTGCCATATCCCGCCCTTCAAATCGAAACACAGCAATGCATGCAAGCACAACTGCTCCACAAGAAGAAACACGAATGGGACAGAGGTACCCAAGCAAACTAATTTTGTACAAAGTGTCTCTCTCTGATAATTCACGAACGCAAAGCTGAGGGAAACAACTTATATTTATAATCTTTATGCTAGGCAACTTTAACTCCTTGAACTAATTAAAACTACTTATTTTAAATATAGTAAAAAAAACTATATTGTCTTTATAATTACTCAGATATTATTATTTTTTTGTTGAAAGTTACGTTATCTGCATGTGATGGTTTCCATATTGCATTCTGTTTTCACTTCTATTGTCTTATGCTCAGTACCATGAAAAGAGTCGTGAATGTAACAGTACTGTCCAAGATTAAAATGAGTTATTCATTCAATTGCGCAAGTGTATAGGCGGTAGAGGATCTACCTTGATTAAGTACTTATCCATACAGTACAATAAAGATATATTCTATAGGTCAGTCCTATAGTTTACGATGTTTTAAGATTTATGTTTGTAATAAACATCACATTCTTCGTTGTACCTATATGATAGTACAGAAATAAATAAACATTTACGAATTAAAAAAAAAGTCATGATCAATCTTGACATAATTAGTACTTAGATAGATATGAAACTAACGCAAGAATATAAGTATCATAATTAATGATATTATCCCATAAAAAAAACCTACTTGTATTATGGCAAAAACAGTTGTTTTTAATTTAAAAACTAAATTATTAAACTGATTTTGATTCTGTATATCCTTTCAGATAAAAAAAGTGTTTACTAAATTTTGTGACAGAGTTATGAGAGAACAAACATAAAAAAATATAACGAACGAATTAAGAATCACCTTCTTTTTTAAGTCGGTTAAAAATTGGTTCACAATTGACGAAGATATCGCGTAACATAGGCTCGATGACACAAAATATACAGCGTTTCTCGCTTGTTTTCAAATAGGTAATAAAGTGAGTATAAAAAAGTACAAACACGTAATTTTTTTAATAAACCATTAATGTCCATGTCAAAACAACATTTAGGTTTAATAAATGTTTGCTACCAACGTATACGTATACGTATACTTATTATACCTAATTTAATGAAGAGTATCTACAATATTATGACTGGCCAGGGAAAGCGTGAGAAATGTAAAAAGTAAGCGCATTTCTAAAGTAAACCGTGTAATCTCCGGCTTTATTAGGTATTTGTATTTGTTTTGGTGCTATTCATCGTGTTATTGTACCTACATACTGACTATTTATTTATAAGATAATATGATCATAAGTCCATTGTTTCTGCCTACCCTAATGGGAGATAGGCGTGACAGATATGTATGTATGTATGTACAAAAAAAGTTATAAATAATATAAGTAGTTATAATGTTATTTATCTTGTCTATACTAACGCTACCTATATAGGTATCGTTAGTATAGACTATATCATTTAATTGTACTTACGAGTAGTTATCATTATCTGCATTGTTTTCTATTGTAAACTATGTTATATACTTAGTATATGTTACATATTTAATAATAATGGAAATAATTAGTAGATATGCCATTTGTATACAATCCCTTAGAAATGGTCATTAAAAGTAATATTATTTTCAAATTCTCCCTAATCGACGGTTTAATTGCGAACAAATTTTGTTGAGTCTTCAGAATCAACTTGTATGCTATTAAAATTAATGAAACAGTATTTATGCACGGCTATTTGATCACAACTAAATACCGACAAGTATAGAGTACACTTGACTCTTGGTTGTCTCTATTTAGGTACTTGCCTCCTAAGAATAGGGAATTACGTACCTCTTAAGATAGATAATAACATAGATTATTATTAATACTATAATGAGTTCTTATTATTCAATATCAAGTATCAATCATCATCATCATTTCAGCCATTATGCATCCACTGCTAGACATAAGCCTCCCCCATAGACTGTCATAAAGACTGTCAAGTATCAATATTTGAATAATATGCTAAGTAATTTTGTTTTATTCTAACAAAGTATAAAAAAATATTATACATCATAAAACTCACCCTTTCCCTCTTCTGGCAATTCATTGTCACTAGCTAATGCCGTTTTCGCAAACAAAATGAACATCCACCAAAATTTCACCATCTTCACCACAATACATAGACATCAAAGCAAAAGGGCTGGCCGAAAATAATACAGATCTCCTTTGATTCGAATTCGATAAAAAAAAGTTGTAACTGTTAAAAATGGCGCCAAATGAGTCGACTTCCTATCACCGCGAAACCGAAACGTGAAATAAATTGCAATAAGCAAGACGGTAAGAAGTGCAGTCTTTGGAAAATAATCCCCGCTCGACTCGTAGCTAAGGTTGTCAAGATTGTTGGCTTCTTGATGTTGGTTTGTGTTTTGCGACAGGTGTTCATGGGTATCTAGGATAAAAGGTACTGTGAACTGTAAATGGCGAGACGATAGTTAGTAGAGCGAAAATGAAGATGTTCCCATTGTTCCTGTTTATAATCTTCAAGTTATTTTGGGTAAATTGAATATTAAATTAAATTAACTGCGATTCATAATGGATTTTTTTTTTATATAATACTTTATTGTGTATGATTGCCCTAGCGATAAGACAGCCTTTTTTACCTTTATGTATATATTTTAATCTGTATTTATGTTACTGTATTTCACTTGAATTAATCAATTGTCATTGCATATTTGTATGTTTCTGATGCAATAAAGATGTAAATAAATAAAAATATTTGTGATAGGAAATAAAGATCATTAATAATGCAACCCCATTGCTAGCTATATACCCCGCCAGTTGTTACCTATAATTCCATAATTAATCCTCCTTAATTTCTATATAAATTATATAAAGTATCAATTAAAAATTCCTTGAAATTAGACACATAATTTTAGCAGATATCTATGTAATTTATAAATTTAAAATAGATAATTAACTAATTAGATGTTTGTATCGCGGACATAATAATCCTGTACCTTCTAAAAATACAGTTACCGTAAAGCCCAGTGCGATGACATTATTTTTTATCTAAGACGACATCATCTCTCCGGTAGGTAATGCAAGTAGACTGTAACGTAATTATAAATAGAAATTAGGTTAATGCGTAAAAATTACGGTCGGGTTAGGTTGAGTGACCTCGGGTTCATACACTATGCTTTTGTTCTCGCATCACAATCCTTATCTACCTTATCTATAATTAAAAGTCAACTACATACACATTCTTTATTATGAGGTGTCATCATCTCCCAAGATTACCTTATTTAACTATCTAGTCATATGTGTACCTATAGCCGTGTAGGTCCTGGTATAGAATGGGTCACCCCTTCCTTCCCCGTGAGTGTTGTAAGAGGAGACTAAGGGAACTAAAGTCGAGGGCTGGGCAGCAGCGTCTCTTTTAAAACATCATTAAAGGCCTAATTGCGGTTGCCAACCCACCTGCCAAGTGTGGCTACTGGCAATACCCCCAGTGGTAAACACCATAAGGAAAGGGCCTCCGGTCCCCGGCGGTTCCGCTATTTTATGCATTGTAGGGAGTTAGTGGATGCGGGTGGCTCGGGATCGTTCCTTATGGCAGTCTATAGAGAAGGCCTATGTCCAGCAGTGGACGGATAATAGCTAAAATAATGGGAATGATGTAATCATCATAAGGGCAATCCCTTAGGATTGTTAATAATGGTGTCTAGATGCCTCATTGCTATTATCATCCTCTGTAATGTCGACCTTCACACTGTTCTTCTAGAAACCACCATAACAGCATTTGGTTTTTTTTTATACAACTTAGAATGATGACAAGCCGGCAGTTATATAGCGATATTTTATATAGCGATTCAGGTGCGCGGAGTCGCGGGATACAACTAGTAGTGCATAAAGGAGAAACTATCTATTGATTGTGACTGACATCAACACTAATCGAAACTACCAGGCACTGGTAAGTTTGAAATGCTTCGCTAAAAAAGGAAGGTACGGAGTTACCTAGTTTTCTTATTGACACTTAGGTTTTTTTACGATTACAAATTGTTTTTACTATTTAGACAGCAGACAGACTAACATTCGTTACGTCTATTGTCCCATGCTCAATTGTCCTAAAAATAAATTGTATGTAGTAATCAGGGTCGCAGCCCAGTCCATTGTTTTAAATTGCATTTTTCTTATGAAATTTCCGTGAAATAGACCAAAATTTATTTGACGCAAGTGTTACCATTAGATTATATTAAAATATGAACTAATTCACGTAAAGTAGGTAGGTGTGGCATGTTACGAAACATTGCATTGTTTTTATCAACAAATAATACAAAATATCTGAAACTCTTTTCACATTTCCGTACACGAAATTTGGTTGATATATTATTCGCTTGAGAGAACGTTGCGACGTCGAAGACAATGGAGATGGTATTTCATTATTAATGAAGTCAGCAAATTTAACCCAAAACAAAAATTTCTCTTAATTATTATTTATACTAATTTATTACCATCTAAATTGATTGAAAGCATTTTAAATCTAACTTCATTTTAAGACCTTCAAAGACCGAGAGTTTAATTTTATGTCTGAAACAAAAATCTTTGAGTGTCAATTTTTTTTATAACACAGGTAGCATACATGCATACAACTCACCTAATAGTAAGTGGTTATCGTAGCCTATGAACGCTTGAAAGACCAGGATCATTACACTCGCGTTGCCTACCCTGAAAAAAAAAACCTTTTTATTCGTTTTTTTTTTTTTAAAACCTAGTCTAATGCCTAGTCTGTTGAGAAAACCTCGACAAATAAATTAAACTTCTGACTGCTGATGATTTGCTTCTGATATAGATTTTCCCAAAAGGGTTTCTCCAAAAAGGAGTTAAAATATTTCTGCATAGTCACAAATGTGCACGTGATACCATTGATATTGTAAGTGTTCATTGGCTCTTTGTATCTTATTTGAAAGTCTTTTCTGTCGACTCCCTTTGGAACCTCGCGATAAATAGATATTTCTGCAATATCTTGCATATCTAAGAATAACCCACTGAGATTAATCAGAATTTTGTATTCATGATGCTATAATATACACAATGATAATTATAGGTAAGTAGAGTATATAGACGTAGTGTAATATACTATATAGTAAGATTAAAAGATATGAGATGAAACCAAGCCAAACACACGACGGTCATACGAACAATGTCATCATTGTATCGTCATTGTGCAAGCGTGCCGGGAGCGCCGTCCGCGTCCGCTGATGGTGCAAGCTGGCCACCATTGTGAGCGAACAATGGGGAAAGCCACGTCCAGGGTATAGCACACGGCGGCTGAGCTATTAGAGGGCCACGGAAACAGCGGCAATCTGTTCCTTAGAGAAAAACGTTTACTCCCCCCCGCCCCCCTCCTCAACTACTTCACCTATAGGTTAACGTTTTTCTATTTGAAACCGTTATAATCTACAATCTATATTTTGTAATTGACATATTTATTAAAGAAATGTTGCTTTTTCTATATATTAATTTATTTAACAATAAATATTGGATACATATTACAATAATAAAATAGATAACACACACACACCAATAATAGAACATCTAATAAAACGGATATCTTTTGAGAATTTGCTAACAAACTGCACCTAATATTCCCTAGCGTCCCCTTACTACTTCCTTAATAAAGTCGCCTGCTACTGTACCTGCTAGTTGTGTAGACTTGAGACGAGTTTCTATGAAGACCTAAATTACTTATTACCGTCTGTACATATACATGTATTATGCCACTTTTTCTCCCTCACTGCACCCCCTTTATCCACTTAAATATCATCCTCTTCTGCTTTCCTCAATTTGGTTGTTAGTTATTCGTATATTTCCCCACGTTCACTTAGCAATGATTTGACTCACAATAGGTACATAAAAAAAACCTAGCTAACCAAAACTATACTATCAATTTTATTATAAGATTGCAATTAGTAGAAGACCATTGTTCGCTCGTTTCCAAGCCCGACACAAACTATTTCTATTATTCCAGATTATGCTATTGTCGTGTTAGAATTGAAAAAATCCGCATCCGTGTGTGTAAATATAACAATCATGGACTATTTACTGCTATTATGGTCTCGCTATTGATTGTATGAGCTCCATAATAACATCATCAATACCTTTTTTTATTTTATAGCTAACTATAGGATTTGAAAAGCCCAACTCACTTTAGTATACCTTATTGTAAATCTAGGATAAACAGGATTATAATAGACTGCAGCGCTGATAATAATGCTTATGTGTTCCAACCTTCCATTCAATACTTACTATTTATATTTTATTTATAAAACTAGTTTTTGCCCGTTACTTCGTACGTAATGATTTCAGAATTAGGAAAACTAATGAAACAAGCCACTTCTAGACGGCGTATCAAGATAAAAACGTACACCAGTTTTTAAGTTACAGATTAAGGAATATAACTGTGAAAACCTCATTCAATTTGATGCAGTAGTTTTTGCATGATGCCAGACCAAAGGTACAGACAGTTTTGTTATCTACTGGTTTTATAAAGATCATTCATATTATTTTTTTTAAATATCTGCTATATACAGTTATCATAGGGCTATAAATTAAAATTAGCAAAATTAGAGAGATATGGGGTCGATTCTGAGGTGCTAAACCTATCTGTAAAATTTCAATTTGATATCACGGCATAATCTTTATTCTAAAGACAAATATAAACTATATTTCTAATAGGTTTAAGTCAAAGTTTATGATGGTCTATAAAATAGTATTTTCGCAAAACTAATTTCATTTGAATTAAAATATAAAGTATAGTGCCTCAGAATCGACCTTATTGAACAAATTCGTTAAAAGGTTAATCTATACGGAACCTCCTAACAATATGAACAACAGCAATGACGTAAATGTAACGAAGTTCGTGTTATGGATTGTTAACTGCTCTTCCAAAAGTCTATAAATATGTCGTATGTGGAGTACAGGCCACATATATAATTTATAGTTTTTATATTATTATTTACCAAATTCGAATTCGCATCTCTATTGTTCCCTTTTGGCTTCCCTTCACGGCTCTATTCTTCTAAGTTCTTAAATTCTAATTTCTAATATACATAGTATTTCCAATTTCCATTCCTGGTTTCCTTTGTTACCCACACCATATTTATTTGTTTATTTATAAATTATATATGCTTTGATAACTAACTAAAATATGAAATTCATGAAAAATGTATCACATTGGACTCTTCATAAGACATGAAGTAGATATGACTTGACCAAACTACGACCATCGTTGATGTCTTTACAAAGTATCCACAATTAAAATGTTAAAGACATCAACGCATAAAAATAAAATACCTTTTTAATAAAACCTTTTTAAAAATACTATTCATACTGTAATTTTTGTATGTTACGGGATATTTTCACCAATTCACCACCGCTTTCGATTATTGATTTGTATTCGACAAGATTGATTTCTTGTCGCTTCCATAATAATTTTGTTATAATTTAAGTCTGTTTTCTTAAGGTATAGTCATTTATCTGTAATTAACTCACTCTTGTAAGGGCGTTGCCCTCTGTTATCAAGAGTTTCTAGTATAATGTAAGTACATTATACATGGAAGCCTATGACGATCTTGTTTTGTTTCGGAGCAAAATGACGATTATTTTTAAAAGATCAAAAAAAATCTAAAAATTAAAAATCTAAAAGAAAGTTTATGCTAGAATTAGTTATTGAGATTTTTGGATTGCACTCAAACCTTACTAGAGAGAAATTTTCTATAAAAGAAGTCTGCTTGGATATCTCTGTCTTACTCTTGTTTTTACCATGAAACAGCTGTGCATGCATGACTGTGTTCTGATTTGAAGGATGTGATAAACCAGTGAATTTACAGGCTACAAAGACATAACACCACAGCCTTCAATAATAGAAACGCAGGACGATTACCATAGGTATCACAGAGCCCATGGTGCTATTCATATTTATAAGCGACATTAAACGCTTTCCATCAGGTTATCCATTAGATCGTTAGCTTGATTGCCATTCTAAGTTTTATAACCAAAATATATATATTTATATATAAAAAATTGATTATTTGATAAGTTGTTTATTTTAATCAACTAACTAGTGTTATGCACTTCTGCAAAATAACACCTAATTCAACAAAAACGTTTTAGTAAAAATATTATTTGTAAAAATTACTCCTGTACTTATTTTGTATTAGAATAGGCATTTGTAATATCAGGTAGCACTCCGATTGGGAACCTCTGGACATTAAGGGCAGGTAATATATAGCAATATCTATATAATGTACTTACAATATCAAATCATATATTGGTCCAATAACAGATAAATTAGATATCAATTATCTAATATATAATATAGAAAAGAAGAACCCGTTCGTAATGAATATAAATATCCGACTGGTAAGGGCGATAAAGCAACGGATGATCATCAGTGTCCAGAAGAACTCAATATATAGATATCGGTTATTACTCATATCTACTGGATATTAATGGCGAAAAAACGTCATCACCCAATTTGATTTCGCTTACACAAGTTGAATCATGCTCTTCATTTGGCTATATTTAATATGCTCGTTATTAAGTTTATATATTGATATTGCAACTGCAATACATAGATATTGCTATATATTACCTACCCTTATTTTATATTGTTTTTTTTTTTTATTTTATCTATCCACCAAGAGATGACGCAACATATATAATTTTCATTCGATCTACTTAAATTATTAAGAACATTGACAAGAGACATCAATTCAAATAGGTTTATAAGATATTCGACGTTTTTATGAATAATGAGCGTTTGACGATACTGATTCAATTCCTATCAGGTACAGAAATTTCTTTATGAATATTTATTTTGGCAATAACTATCTATTACTAGTATGCAAGCAAAATAAATTAAACCCACACGGAAGACGTCTGTTAAAAGTAATCAACTAAAACTGTCAATTAAAATTGATGTGATGAGTAGGCATGGGTAATATCCACACTGCACTGATATTTATATATTGGATTTCTCTGGACATTGATGGCAGAAAAAAAGGTCATCACATTTCGATATCGCCCATACCGGTCAAATATCTTTATTAATTTCGATCGAATTCTTCATTTTGACGTTACATATTGGATGACACACATTTACCACATTCATAATTAAGCCAACATATATTGTAACTAAAATATATAGATATTGCTATATATTACCCAACCGTAGTGATGATAATAGCTTATTGTAGGTAGGTATATATCTACTTTCTTAGTCTTTGGTTATATCGTATAAATGACATTGTTTGTTTGTGTGCATGTATATACATGCCACTGTATATTGTGATATGTGTGCGTGTGTCGTCCATCCAACCAACCAAATCATCCAATCCAATCCGAAATACTGAATTCTTATATCGTTTCGTAGATAAATGAATTAAATTACAAATAGAATAAAAAGTGTAGTTCAGTTTAGAAGGTAACAAGTTATATTTATTTGATCTGTGGTCGTTTTAGTCTGCCTAGCCTCTTTGACATGACGTATTTACTTGCATAAATTAAGTGAATCCTTTACCATGATAATATATCGGACAAGGTGAACGTGAAGTTCTCATTGTAAAACAAAAGGCACCGTCCTTCACACATTAGTAGCTAGATTAGAGCATCACTTGTTTGAATAACTCGTTATCTGCAAGTCGACGATAGTGTAGAGGTGATTATAGTTATGCTAACGATGTTACAATGCATGTAAGTACGCAATAAGCACTCGTCGCGCGTTCAACTTATATACTATCGTTGTACAATAAGTCACTAACTTATTTATTTCCTTTCCTCGATTGGTGGTGGGTTCTCCGTTGCCGTAACAGCACTATGCAACAAATGTAATAGCTTACTAATTAATCATTAAGTAATCAATTAGTCATGGCCAATGCTAAAAGTAGACTTAAGGCACCCAAAAGTGCACCTACAAAGTCTAGGGGTCGTGGTAGACCAAAAAGTGGTTTGACAGTGACCAAAAAGGCAGTTAAATCAGTCATGAGAAGAAATATCAATGGGAAATCTACGGTGAGTGAAGATAAAGTGCAGTTTTTACTCCAAAATGGATCATTAATGAAGGAAATAACAAATGAAGCATCAAAGAGTAAAATTGAAGTGATGTTAAATAGCAGGCTAATGAGTAAAAGTGGTAGAATTAGGAAGAAAAGTAAAGATCATTTGAAGTTAATAGATAATATTTTGAAGAGTGAACTAATGATTGAGGATATAAAGGCAAGAGCGAAAGCGTCTAGTGCAAATAATAACAATGATAGTGAAACTAGTGACCAAAATGAAACAGTGTCATCATCAAACAGCATCATACCAAAGAACAATGTTAAAAAAACAGCTGTAGAACCAAACAAGAAACTGAAAAAAAATATGAGATGTAAGTCTAAAACAACAGAGAAAAAATCATCAAAATGTAAGACCATGGTTAATAATGATCTGTTACCATTAATCCCTGTATTTCAGTGCCATGATTGTGGCAAAACATTCAACACAAAATCATCAATCAGCAGACACATGTATATACATCTTAATTTAAAAACTCACAAATGCAATGTTTGTTCGAAGAAGTATCGCAAGAAATCAAATTTGCAAGCACATATGAGGCAACGGCATCTTGACACAGTTCCAGCCAGCCAGTCAGAGCCACAGTATGAAATGTGCCATATATGTGATACAACACATGAAACATTGAGTACACATTTATCTACTCATATTGGTAATGATAATTTCTTACAATGTGTTTATTGTGATAAGAAATTCTCTAATCATGTTATACTTGTACAGCATGAGAAGCAGCATCTTGTTAATGGTGGGTTTCAATGTACTATTTGCAATATGAGTTACAGTACTAGTACCCTGTTGGATATGCATATGAAACGGCATTTGAATATAAAACAATACATCTGCCAGTACTGTGGCAAGGAGTTTCTGAGGATTAACTCGATGCGTAGACATGTTCAGGTGTGTCATGCTGGATTAAGGATACAATGTCCAATATGCAAGAAAAATTTAAAGGGACATCTCTCTGAACATATGCGAGTGCATGAGAACAAACGTCCCCACGAGTGTGCACAATGTGGGCAGAGGTTTACACAATCCACCCAACTAAATGTTCACCTCAGGTCTCATACGGGTGATAGGCCATATCCATGCAGGATTTGCGATCGCCGTTTCTCTCATTCAAATGCATTAATCCTACACATTAGGCGACATACAGGAGAGAAGCCATTTCAGTGTGCCATGTGTCCATTATTTTTTTCCCAATTACCTCACATGAAAGCACACATGCGCAACATTCATCGTAAAGAAAATGCATACAAATGTCAAAATTGTAATCAATTTTTTAAGTTAAAGGCCCATCTGGAGAAACATATTACAACCTGTGTAATAGGTGACAAGGAACCAAACTTTCAAGGGAACATTGAAGCCTCTGTAAAGTCTGAAGAGATCGAAGTTGAGTCAGTTATGAGTCTATCTCGGATGAGGTACCTTTTGGCACTACTGCTCACTATGATCGCCACGAAAGCCAAACTCAAATATTTAGGTGCGTACATTTTTATTTAAACCAATATTTTTACACAAAAAATAAACCGACTGCACTGTTTTTGATTGTGTGGAAACAATGCTTACTGTGTGTGTGTGCGCGACAGTAACGAATTCATTTTTTTTTTAAATAAACTCCAGTACCATTTTTCAGTTGATGTTTATAAAATTAAAGGCCATATTTTTTATATAACAAATTTTCACCTACATAAGACATCAACGGGTTTCCACGATACCTACTCCATTATAATATGTAATTCATTTTCACTGACAAGGTTGAAATAACCAATTGTGCACATCATTAAGAATGAGTGTGAACAATACACATACTTAATCAATATACATGCCTAATTAATGTAAAGTGTGTTGCAATATATTATTGTAATACATTTTCTGTAACTAAATTAATTTTTATTTATTCCAAATATATTTTCTTTTTATTTTATTATTGAAGATTAAGTTAAATAATAAAAGAAAAAGAAAAGTTGCAAGATGTTTAACAATATAGTATATCAATATACTATGGAAAAAATACTGATATAAAAAAAACAAATTAGTAATACAAGATGACTGTAATGTAATTAAATTATGTATGCTTATGTGAAGCGCGGCAATTGTGTCTGACAGTACATGTTTCATTGCGTAGCTTTATCATCATGGTTTTTATTCTAGCAACCATTCTTGTCATTGTATCTGGCAACATGGAGGTAACGACGTGATCATGGGTAATATTTTTGAGTGAGTTCATGTCCCATTTTGTTGTTAATATGTGGTGTTGGGTGGTGATGGAGCTGATTCGGTGGGAGGTGGGAATATGATCCTTATTTGTGGGGGAATAAATTTCAAATCTGCTTTTCTGATTCCGAATGAGTGATCTCAAGGTGGTGGTTGAATGCTAATTAAGTTTTAAGTGCATATTCGATGCAATGCTAGTTTGAATTATTTTTTTTATATTTCCTTATCTTTTATGGTTGAATTATTGTGTTAATTGAATTTGTACATAAGCTTCTGCATTGTAAATACTTGCTGTACCTAATGATATACCTACTTACATGTTTATTATAATTCCCAAGGTCTTTATTGTCTATTGATTACTAGGTACTATAAACTAGTTCTGTATTACAGTTTTACCGTTATTCATTTTAGGAACAATAGGTTTATAATTGATTTTGAATAACGTCAGTAAATTTATTGATGTAACTTTAATTATTTAATTACTATTACAAAATATAAAATTTTAAGTTTGTAAGAAAATAATATGGTAGATATTGTAATACTTGTCTGCTATATACTTAACTAAATGAAAAAAAAAACTAATAAAAATTAAATTTATTTATAAAAAATGTGATAGTAAAAAGAAGGTGCCTACTATGAAAAACGTTCCATATATCAATTATAAATACACCTTTATGGGAGAGGCCTATATTCAGCAGTGGATAGTTAACGGTTGATATGATGATGATGATAATGATATAAATTAAAACAGTTTTTATTTACTTCTATATTTTGTTCTAAATATTAAACACATTCATACAAATAATAAAAGTATTGGTATAAGTCAATAACATATTTTTTACATTAGGTTTCAACAAACGTTCTATCGACGATATACTCGTCGAATCTCTCGAAGGCATGGGTCAGATAGCATGCAAGGACGAAAGTTTGACGCCACTGCAGCGTCTAAAAACTAACATACAGATACTATTGAACGGTACCGTGCCCAAGGAACAGATGGAGAAGTTTAAAATGGAGAACAAGACCACAGAAGACATATTGGAACTTTTGACTGATGAACAGAAAACTACTTGAAAGGTTTTTTTTTATTATACTACTAAACATATGGTCCTTCTGATGGTAAACGGGCTCACCGTAAATTATGGACGCCTGTGACACTAGAGATGTCACACGCGCGTTTGCGACCTTTAAAAAACCTTATTATTCCTTTTTTGAAAAACCCCATGCTGGAGTCTTTAGTAAAAACCTCGGTGGGAAGGTTAATCCATAACCAGAGCATTTGCGAGAGGAAGCTCCTCTGAAACGGCACTGTGCGTGACCAATAATAATAAATAGAGATTTATTTAAAACACATACCTATAATTAGTTTTGTTATTCGTTTATATATAAAAGCTTATATAACTATTAAAATACAGCGTGTGTTAAATAAATATGATAACATTTAAAATCCTTCACCGTTTTAACTTCACCTCAGATTTTTCATAAATAGTGGATACTATTATTATATAAATAGTTTTAAAAATGTATACCTACATTTAGTATTGGATATGAGTGAAATTACAGAGTAGGAGGACGAATGACGACATAAGGGGTACAATGGATGTCACAGTATATTCTGTGATGTTTTTGGTGCTGTTCATGTCTATACGAGACGGTTCCTAGTTTCTATCAAGTGAGCCGTGAGCTTGTTTGCCATTTTAAATTAAGTAGGAGGATTCTAAGTTATGGAGTAACATAAAAGAAAATACGACCGAATTGAGAACTTACTTTTTAAAGTCGATTGAAAACAACATTAAAGGGTATTGTAGGTAATAATATTAATTTCAGAAACTACCATAATGCTTCCCGTAATTTCGGGGCCGAACGAAACAAATTTCATGTTAAAATTACATAATATGTACCGTTTAAAAATGTTAAAATATCGTTCCTTCGTACTTTTATGGTAGGATTTATGGCTAACGAAATGTTAAGCTCCATTTTTGGACCGATTTCGGTATGAACTTGATTCCGAAAATTCGGAATATTATTTCATGGTAGATCTACTGGTCTATGCGGAAGGGTTTTTTCTATCAATAAATAGTTTTCGTAACACTACTGTAAGTAAAAAAATGGCACGTTTTCATACAATATTAAGGCGCTTGCGTCATCTATTTCCGTCCAGGTTTGTAACGACCTTATTATGAAATTTCAAAAATAATATATATATTTTTTATTTTTTCCACAGAGACGACAGTGACGTGTCCGATTCGAGGGTTGGTGCAACTGAGCAATTTAGGTAAGGCGGGTCCTGCCTTATGCCATTGGAATACCAATACATTTGTTTTACTTATCAATATAAATGTTTATTGCCATTTCTTAACAGTTTTTACGTGAAATCTACTTAGATAATTTACATCACATATTAAGATTGTTCAAAAAATAAAACATTACGTATGTCGTTATACAGTTCTGAAATAAGAGTGTAAAATTTAATGCTTGCCGCCAAACAAAGTGATGAGTCCAAAGATATATAAAATTATTTTTATTATCTATTCAATACTAGCTTTTAAGATTCCGTTTGTGTTTTCATTTTGATATTTCTGAATGATTGTGCCATTGCATTGTTATTGATCTTTAATATTTGTTATAGAAGGAATTTTTATTACTTACTGAAACTTTTTTTTAATAATTATGTCTGATATTTTTTATTAAAATAGGTCACATAATATTTTATCTAAAGTGTCTCGTCGGGTTTCCTTATGACATCTGCACTGGCGGCTTTGTTGACACTAATACCTTTAATATATTGCTAGTTGTTGGAAATAATTTTTGATCAATATCAAACCTCTATCCGTTTTTGGAAAATGGGGGTTACAATCCCAAAGTTTATAATTATTTTTCTACGAAACTATGATATATATTTGAATAAAACCAAAGCGACATGGAAGCATTTATTGTTAAAGAATACGAAATAATTACTTGATGAGTGTAATAATGAAATTCCAGAATACTGTAATACGATACTCCAACTAATAAAAATAACGCCTTTTATATTATTATTTAGGCAGTTTTTTTTAGAAAACCCCATATTACATTTATCATTATTATGCTTACTTACATACATTTTTTTTATATATATGTTTCACCCATGTGTGATGGGTCTCATCTATGCAATTGTTATGTATTACAGTTAAATATATACTGAATATATGTTTTTTTTTTTTGGTAGATGTACATCAAGAATTAGCCGCTAAAAACAAACCCTATTTTTATTAAAAAAAAATATACATAATGTAAAGCTAATTAGAAGCTTCCATGTCGCTTTGGTTTTATTCAAATATCTATCATAGTTGCATAGACAAATAATTTTAAATCTTGGGGTTGCAACCCCCATTTTTCAAAAACGGTTAAAGTAGAAATTTGGAAATTTAAAAAAATTATATCCAACAACTAGCAACACTATATATTAAAGGCACCAGTGTCAACAAAGCCGCCAGTGCAGATGCCACGAGGAAACCCGGCGAGACCCTTTCTTTTTACTGAAGTTCATTTTTATTGAACGTTGATACGCACGCTAATTGTGAATGTTGTTTTATGTGTATTGTTTCTCTTAACCCAGTGCCATCGGTTGTTTGTTTGTAAATTATTTGCTAGGGGACTCAATTGTTATTTTTAATTTAAGTATCATTAATTGATATAACTAATATTAATTAAATTGTCGACGTGAGTAGTAAATTATTATTTATTATTAGCAAAGATGTAGGTTGAAGAATAGTGATAAGTATCGTAACAATATCCTATCTTTATATGTTATAATATAATCCTAAGTCTGGCTACGATATTGTATACCTACGTACACTTAAGGCTTGCGCAGACGGCCATTTGTCTGTAATTTTTTTATATGAGTATTGTAGCATGCAATTTTAGTTATTTTTGTTATTGGGATGAAAATAGAATGCCTATTCTAACAGTATGCTATAGCGGAGCACCAGTGGAGTGAGTCTGCAAACCACGATGGTTTCTAGCGGTGACCGCGTGGAGATCGACTTGACAACCCTTTCATATGATCCATTTCTAACAATATACTTACCCATATTGTTAGCAATGGCTTAATTACTTCCCCCCTAAACCGAAGTAGTCTCGTTGAATTTAAACGTCTCAGAAGACGAGGCAAAAATTTTGTATACGTACAAAATCTTCATATCTTTAAAGATTGTTTTTATCAATATTCATCAAATTAAACAAGCTTTCCCTAAGGAGACTAGTCAAAATTTTATTAATATGACATAAAAAAATAATAATGTTGTATAAACATCCTGGATGGACGTTTGTTATTCAATCGCACTTAAATGATTGAATAGATTTAAATTTGATGCATTTTACTAGACTATACCTATCCTAACTTAATATATAGAATGCTTTATATAAGGTTTCATGCGAAACCGTGGCATATAATTAGTAGGAAAACGTTTATTTAACATTTCATTCTAAATCAATCAAGCAAATAAGTGCTTGTAGTGAAAGTTCGAGAAATATTTAAAACTAATATGTTTTATGGAAAAAGTTGTTCAATTTTTTTTTAATCGTAACGTCTGGTAACCGTACGTAGCTATTAAATATCATAATCCGTCATTATAAAGACTTGTTTTTATCATGATAGAAGTGTAGGACGTCAGTAGCAATACATATAATATTTATTATGTAGGTGTGTAAGATTTAATTAATAATATTAAATCATATTTAAGTGACTGTGTGTGGTGTAGTGACATGCAAATTGTCTATGGTCTACGCTAATATGGAACTTTTTGTTTGCGGATAAAATTTCCTTTTTTTTTCCAGCATACGATATGTAAACTATTAGGGTTTGTTCTTTGCGTAAAAAAGTCCTTCATTTGTGCTGGACTTAATTCTCACTACGCATCACGCAAATCTCTGCCTCTGTAAACGAGGCAAAGTTATATTGAACTGACTGAATTAATATGTCGAAAGCAAAGTTAAACGTTTTGAATATTGTAATAGGATTGTTTTTGTTTATATGCAACTTGCTTATTCCACATTATTTCACAAGATTGCATTTCTAGTGATATTAAAAACCACTTCTGTTGTATATGCATTTGTTATATTTACTGATTCTTGAAAAATGTAATAATAATTATGTACCAGCTAATCAACATCTATAGACAACAGCATCTCAAAATTTTTAGAATACATGTTTTTATTGAATACTTTCTGAATTATGGGTTCTGTAGACGGTCAAATGATTTAAAGTCTAACAGATATTTATTTGTACAAATAGCAATAGATGTTTGCTAGATTCGAACCGCTTGATCTTCTATGAGCCTCATTAAACATCGCACTGATAAATTTCACTATAGTTCAGATCGAAACAACATAAATTGCAGCAAAAATATAGCTAAAACGTAACGTAGCTAAAATATGAGCGACAGTCCTTGGAAAAATTACAGCGAAGTGTAATTCTATGTGATCTTCTTATATGAAATAAAAGTATCCGAATACTGTCGCTTGTTTGAGTAGGACTTGAATTATATCACTAGCTATAGTTGTGAATGTTAATTTTTATTATATAAATATATATAAATTGTAACTTATACAAATAAGTCGAGCAGATAATGTGTACATACTTATAGAAAAATTCAGTAATGTTTTATCTGCGTAGATTTAGAAGTATTAGCGATATTGATCGTAAAACTGAAAATTTTAGCCAAAGAATTTCTCAAACCCGCCATTGATTTTATTATTTACTTATATGATTACATTAGAATTCAGAATTATGTATGATAGGTGAATTGAAATTCAGCTTACAGTGAAATAAAATTAACGACATTTTTATCAATATGTATTTCCTAGTGTACCAAAGAAATAATAGTAAAAAATAATTTAATATACACGATATAAATTAAAGTTAACTGCACATATTTGTTTTTTTATTTATCCCCTAAGTAAACCTCGCAGTACTTGTTTTTTGGTCTATATAATAATGGAAAAAGATACTAAGTGACATAAGCGAGTTAATATTGGAGACATTTTTGTCTGAAAGAAGTTATTAGTCTGAGATTTGTATACTTAGTATTTTTTTCCAATTTAGGAGAAAGCAACAAACCCAAAATTAAAAGTTACATGGCTTTATTACATAGTATATAACAATTTTATTAATAATAACGTTAACAAGTAATCACTTGTCAAGGTGTGTTACACAGGAGATACTCAGTTTTACGCACTTCATGTAAATTAATTTTACCTACTAAATTAAATAATATAGTTAATAAAATAAATAGATATTAAAAATGAAAACGGAACAGCTACTTAAGTTATATTTTAATTTCATAAAAAAATTATGATTTAATAGATCTTGTAGCCTTAGTAAACATTATTCTATTGTATAATAATTATGAGAATTTTTTTATGGCGTAGACAGTCGATTATAAAAATAATTATATATTAATAACGGGAAATTATTGCAGCAGGTATGTAATATTTCAAATTTCGCGCTATACTGGACATTATGGATAAAACAGGTAAAGCAACACTAAAGGATTAAAGCAAAATCTTAGATCAAGGAATTACATAGAAGGAATGATAAAAATTGTAAATTATATAGTTGCCTCCTTTTTTATTATGCAAATATAATTAGTAAAAATAGGATGAAAAATACACCATCAGTTGTTATTTTTCTCAATTCACAGCAGGCTAGTGTAGAAAAAATGTTTGATATATCAATTACTTATCAATGACAAATTTTATATTACTAGATTATATATTCGACACAGTTTATGTAGAAAATATGCAGCAGGTTGTATCTGAATTTGGTAGGGTTGTATGGCTGTGTAACATTTTCACTATCTTGTAATGAATTGAGATTGTCACTAGTAGACTTACTCTGTGGTCTGTCACTACATGTAGAAAAGGTATTTCTGTCAAACAGCTGTCTGTGGTTTCAATCTGTCAAAGTTATTTTCATTTTATTCGTGCATTTTATTTATATTTTAATTAGTGATATGTGAAATCTGTATATTGTTGTCATAAATTGAGTAAAATCAGACACAATAAAAAATATGGGGACGACGGGTCAATCGGTAACGTTGGCCAACAGTATAATAGGTGTGGGTATTTTGGCAATGCCTTTCTGTTTTCAACAAGTAAGTTGATTCAATAATTTCTTTTGTTTTTTTTTATGCTTGTTTTTTAATATTGGCTTATTATAATTATCTATTATTAATATCTAAATTTAAAGAAACAATTGTTCTGTCCCGTTAATTCTGTTTTATTATATTTCTGATTAATTTTTCTATTTAATTATAAGGAACTTAGTCTTCAACACAGTGGTTTTAGCTTTGGAGGGCCTAGAATATTTTTATTTTATAAAACCTAATATTTAATAAATAATGTAACCTTGCTTATAAGTAAACAGCCTTTTCAGACAACATATAAGCATGCTTGTGTTAATACATCTTTCACTTTGAAATAGGCAGGTATATATTCATTCTGTATCATGAAAGATCTCTATTAAGGCTGCTAAGTGTATGCTAGATTACATGATTATTAATTGAACCATTAAAGCACCATGAGACAACTTTAAAACTTGTTACTTTTAAGTTTATAACTTTAAGGAACACTGTCTAAGAAATGTTATTTCTTGATTGGAATATAGACTTGTATATATTTAAACACTTAAAACCTAACAATAAAGTAAAGAGCTAAAGATTAGAATTTAATTATAGTTAAAATCATGAATATAAATTACATAGTATTAATAATTTTAATTATGATTTTTTAAACTATGAAACTATAAGTTTTATATTAACTGATTTAGGCAGTAAATAAATTCATACAATTATTGCAGTGTGGAGTTCTTTTAGCAACATTGATATTACTTTCAATGGGTTTGGTGTCAAGACTATGCTGTTACTTTCTATTAAAATCGGCACTTTTAGCAAGAAGAAGAAATTTTGAATTTCTAGGTGAGTTAATTGACTTGTGTTTATGTTTGGAATATTTTAAATGTTTAAAATGACTTTTACTGAGATATTTATTAACTGACTTTACAATAAATGTTAAAAAAGTGTTAAATTATCACTTAATCTTCTATATGTATTAAGTATTTAAATAATTAATATATTGTATATAAATATATAGTTATTTATAACATTTATGATCCGAGAGACTATAGAGTCATTTACATAGTTATCTCTGTTACTAAAATTAAATAGAACACAGTTTCAAAACTTTAGTAAACTTAATGAGCCATGTGATGTGACATGTTACCTTCCTAAATTTATAAAAAAAAAAAAACAGAATGTTCTATTAAATGTGATTTATAAATTTTGTCCTCTTTAGCATTTCATGTATTTGGATCAGCTGGCAAGTTGGCAGTGGAGGTTGGCATCATTGGTTTCCTAATGGGCACATGTATAGCCTACTTTGTAGTTGTTGGTGATCTCGGGCCCCAGATTATCGCCAAACTTTTTAATATAAATCAGAGTGATATATTAAGGTAACTAAACTGTACAGCTAATAGCATCCAATTTTAATATAATGACTAGCAATTAATATATAATAATAAAACTCTTATTACAGGAGAATGATGTTTTATTTTTTGGAACATCTGTAAAGAAAGTATCAGATAATGTACTATCTCTTTTATTACAAACAAATTATATGATGCCCAAACTTATTTCTATTTGCAGGACATCAATAATGGTGTTGGTATCATTGTTATGTGTTTTGCCACTGGGGCTGTTGAGAAATGTGGATAGTTTGAGCAATGTTAGTGCTGCCACAATAGGGTTTTATTTCTGTCTTGTTATGAAGGTATGTATGTATTTATATCTTACAAATTTTACTAGTTCAACTTATAAACAAACTAGTTAAGCCAGCAAACATTGTTTAACTTCATATTATTTTTTCATATCAGGATAAAAAACACTCTATCTCTTAAATTGGAGTAAACAATACATAATTACAAAAATTTATTAAAATCTCTTGAGCTGCCTCAGAGAGAAAAAGTATGAATCTTAACAAGGAGTTTATTTATATTACAATAGCTGAACGGATTCAAATGAAATTTGGTATCCACAACAATATCTTGGACTATTTCTCTTTTTGAAACTTATTTAAAAGCTAAAACTGCCTGTCCATTTGATGAAAAGTGGTAACCATCATCTCTAGACATGAATTTGAATCGAAACAGCTATACAAGCATAGCTGCTTCATGGCAGAAATATGAGTGAGATGTCTTTTGTACAGTCTCCCTTTGGTAAACACATAGAATATTATTTACATGGAAAAAGACACTGGTTACAGCTGGTAATTTCAATTGCTCAAAAAATATCTTCACTTGTTTATTATTATATGTCTTTTTTATATTATATTACTTGGAATAGTAAACAATTTATAGGCCATAATTATCGCGTATAGTGTAATGGATATAACAGTACCACTAAAGACTGATATTAATGTTTCTTCTATCTATCTATTTAAGAGCTGCACTCTTGTCGGTGGAGCTCTTGCCACTCACTACGATTTTCAGCGAGTCTCTTCACCTCTTGATACAACACGACACCAACTCCTTCCTTCTATCTTACTTTCTATTATAATGTTCATAAGTTCGTCGTGTCGTATCAAGTGTCCTAACATTTTTCTCCTTCTGTTCTCAATAGTTCTAATAATTTGTCTTTTTTCCTTAACCCTAAGCAGGACCTCCTCATTGCTAATTCGATCCCTCCAGCTAATTTTCTCCATCCTTCTCCAGCACCACATTTCAAAGGCTATTAATGTTTCATACTCAGTAATTTAAATTTCAATCTAAAACAGCCATAAAGCTTCTCAATGGTCGAAATATGAATGGAAAAAGTCTTCCTTATCCCATACTGCAATTGATTATTGACTTTATATAAAATAGGTGATAGCAGAAGCCGCGTCTCAATTACTATCTGGTGACTGGCACATTCGTATAGAGATGTGGAAGCCGTCCGGATTGTTGCAGTGCGTCCCTATATTCTCGATGGCGCTCTTCTGTCAAACGTAATGTACCGTTTCTAAAAATAAAATATATATATACAATATAGGGTTGTCAAAGGTCTCTAAGTTGTTCTGGACTCATAATTCTGTTATAAACCGATCTGGATTTTTTTTCTTAGAAATTGGTGTCATAAAATTTTTATCAAAATCGGTTCAATACTTTAGTTTTGAAGTCAAAATAACTGCTTTACCCATAGTTGGCTTTTTTTGTGAAGCACAATCTTAAATAATCTATTATAGTAAACACCATAGACATCAAATTATTGGTCGTATATCTTTTTTTCATCTTATTTTTAAACGTAAATACCACTGAGGTGATAAACAAGCATACGGCTCGCCTGATTGTAACCAGTTATCGTAGCCTATAATTACCTGCAATATCAAGTAAGCGAATAATAGTAATAAGTGTGACGGTTTTCGGATGTGAACTTCCTATTTAAACTTCCTTAATTAATGATATAATTTTTTATACGGAATAAAAAGGCAAACAAGCGGACGCCTATGTGATGGAAAGTGACATGAATCGCACCATCTGACGAGCCGTATAATTGTTTGCCTTTGTTGTGATAAAAATTATAATTTACTTTACAGGCAACTATTTGAAATATTCGAGTCCATGCCTACACTGTCTTTGGAGAAAATGAATGTGGTTACAAAGAATGCCATCAATATTTGCACAGGTGTATACTTCACGCTTGGTGTATTTGGATACATCGCCTTCAATTCTCAAGAGATATCTGGTAAGGATTGATATTTAACTTTATTACTTTGCATCTAGGTTATTTTTTCTTCGGCAGATACTGGAATATGTTTTTATACTTTCCGTTTAAATGCTGGTAAAACCAGCAATTTATAGAATATAAAATATTCAAATGCATCTCGCAGTGATGATATTCCGAATTTTTATACCACCAATTTGTTTTTTCAAATAGTCTATTTTACTATAATAATATAATGAAATTGTAACTAGATAAAGTCTGTAGCTACATGGGATATTTAAGAGAAAATGAGGGACCCTAATAAGATCAATAGATACCAAACAATAATTTTTAGAAATTTTGTCTGCCTGTATCTTTGTTTCGGTATCACGCAAAAACTATTGCACCAAATTGGATGCGATATTCAGAGTTAGGTTTTTGAATGATATGGCGTTTTCCATCACCGGAGAGTAAGTTGGTAATTTAAATTGACATACAGTTTTTGGTGTCTGCCAATTTCGAAGTCACGATCTTTGGGGTCTATAAGTCTGTGCAGTATATATATATAATTTAGGTCATAATGTTCTTACGATGTATTTTAATTATTTTAATATTTTTATATATAGATACTTCTGTATTTATATATAGAAATATGGTTACGATGCGTGCGACTGTCAACACAACATAACATAATAATTTTAATGAACTAATGATATGGATTTCCGCAAAATAACACCTAGTTCAATAAAATATACTATGATTAATCGAAATAAATGTTTATTATATGATTTAGTTTATAAAATTTTATAATTTCAGGTAATATCCTAATGAGCTTGAGCCCAACAATGGCGAGCGATGTGATCAAACTCGGCTTCGTAATGTCAGTGGCGTTCAGTTTCCCGCTTATAATATTCCCTTGCAGAGCTAGCCTATACTCGCTGCTTTATAAAAAGGTAGGTTATTGAGGGTAGTCACATTTCACACTCAGACTAATTATCTCTGGCATAAATTTAATACAGTAAGGATTCAATTTATCCCAGAGGTATTGTATTGTATTGTAAAATCTTTATAGCACATAGTTTATTTTGGTCACACTAAACAGTATAATAACTTTGTAACGATTGGAGCAGTCTTTTTTCTTTGTGGAGCAAAAAATTTGTTGCCCTGATACAAGGGCAACAAATTGCTTGTACCGTAGCAAAATATTTTATCGTTCATTGTACCTTCTATTTATTTTAAAGAAAATTATTAATGATGAATTTTTTACTGAGCAAAATGTAATCTTATTGTACAAATTATTAGCGTTAAATTATAAAGTTAAATTCTCTTATATAAGAACCGTCTTTTCTCAATTAGAAGTATAAAAAAATTTAAGTATAAAAAGAATAAAAATGAATTTAATTATAAATGAACAATTTATATTAACAGGTGCATAGCTCTCACCATGACCACATCATCAACCACTCGATCCCCGAGAGCTCGTTCCGATGTATCACCGTTGCAATCATCGCGGTGACGCTGTTTATCAGTCTGCTCATACCGAACATCGAGCTGGTGCTCGGATTAGTCGGCTCCACTATAGGAGTTCTCATATGTTTGGTGTTCCCTGCTGCTTGCTTCGTTAATGTCACATTTAAGAATACCAATGAAAGGATATTAGCAAAAGTAAGTGTGTGACTTATGAAACAAAATAGTTATAAACTGCATACTTCTTGCACTTGCTCACTTGCATAAATTCAGCGGATTATACGATTCACGTAAAGCGGGGGTTTGAATTGTTTACATTTTAATTGATTTTTATTATTATTAAAATTAATATATATATATATTCTAATTTACTATTTCAGGCCATCATAGTCTTGGGTCTTATTATTTTAGTGCTTGGTACATATGCCAATTTACAAGCTGCGGAAAGCCGTATGGATAAATATGACGACAAATATATAACACAGGAGAAAATAGATAAAATGGTTGAGGATTTCTTTCAGAAAATGGATAAATCTGATGGTAATTTTACTTATAAATATATGTACTTATTGTTATTAGCAAAAATTAAATTTAAAAGCAGATTTCTGTAACAAGTGTGCATAACTGTACATATAACAAAGAGCATTGGTTGTATTTGCATATGTCGAGACTGTACACAATTTAATCATTTAAAATATTGTAGCTAGTTTTGCAGAAATAGCAGGTATGGCTGTAGCTCCAAGTAGTCTAAAAGGCTAGTTTAAATGATATTTCTAATTATGCATGTAAATATGTATCAATAACGTTATTTATCGTGTTTCAGATGTAATAGCAAAACCTATAGACAATAATGATATTCAAAATGATAAAATTAAATCAAACGATAATGAAATCAAAGAATCAGTTGTACAACCGCCTAATCCATTGCCACCCGAATCACATTCTAATGAAAAACCTCAAAATAACCTCGGTGCCGTAAAAGAAATTCCAAAATTTGATGAAGTATTACCGGAGAATAAAGACTTTATTGATAGGGTTTCAGAATCACACCCGAGGAATTTGAATAAATTGAATGGGGCTAAAATACCTAGTGATGAAAATAATATTGAAAAAAGTGTTTTAGCAAAAGAAAATTCAAAAGAGGATAAATTGAAAATTATTTCTAATGAAGAAAAAATAAATTTGATTAAACAACAACAATTAATAGAAACTATCAAACAACATGGAGAAGAGCAAAAGGAATTAATCAAAGAACAAAAAGAAATTCTCAGTGAAATTAAAAAAACGAAGGAAGAATTACAGCAAAATAAAAATGAAGTTGATAGTGTGGAAGCGAAGAAGATAGCTGTTGAAAGCATAAAAAAGATTGCAAATATGGCAATTCAAAGTATAAGTGGAGCATCTGATAAGCCTATTGAGGAAGCTAAAAAATCAGAACATATAGAAAAAGTTGCTGATGAAGCTGTGAAGGAGATAGCTAAAAAAGCAGTTGAAACAATAGAAGCTATAAAAGATACTGAAGGTAAACCAGATCAATCAATTGTCAAAGCAAATGTACAACCTGTTGTGTCCAATGGGCAAAATTTACAGTCAAATGGTGTTAACTATATTCAGAATAATGTTAATCAAAACGCTCAATCCAATATTCAAAGGGTTGAAAATGGAAACAATATTATACCTGATAATCCAATTGTTGATAAAGTAGTAAACTCAAATGTCCAAAATAATCCTGGACCTCCAATAATCTCACAAGATAATATTATTCAAAGTCAACTTTCTAACAATGCTCAGCCTATAGTTAATATGCAACCAGCAAATATTCAACCAAAAGTTGACCAAGCAATTGTTAATCAGCAACCTAATATAAACCCAAATGTCGCACAATTAGTTGCTAACAATATTTTGTCATCAAATTCACAAGTGCTAGGTAACATCAAACAAATTAATCCAGCACAAAATAATGAAGGGAAAAATAATGAGGGGCATAACGTTATCAAGGAACATTCTCACTCTCCCGACGAACCACAATCGTATCAAAGAGGCGAAGATGCGCAAAAGAATTCTGAATTAGTTCGTATTAATAATGCTAATGAAAAACTTGCACTGCCCATACAAGATAATCCTCAAGACAATGTTCTTAAAAATGCACCATTGCCCATACAAAAGAATTCCCAAGATAATGTTATTCAGAATCCACCATTGTCGGTACAAGAGACATCTCAACAAAAGACCATTGAAAATGTACCATTGCCAATACAAGAAAATCTTCAATACGTTATTAAAAATGCCCCATTGCCCATACAAGACAAATTTCATAATCCAGTGAAACAGAACGCTAATGCAAATCCTAAAGCACCTATCCAATCCATTGACAGCGCTATAAATAACAACGTGAAATCTAATATAGATCCAGTCCTTATTAGACAGAAGAGAGAAGTAGTAGATTGCACAGAAAAATCTGCTTTGAAACCAGGTGACAAAGAAATTTGTGAGAATCTTGTAGATGTGCCACAATCGAAAAGTTCCAATGAAAATTTTCTTCCGAAAGTAGATATCAATGATCTTGGACTACCCAAAAGTTTACCGCTAGACGCAAATTTAATTCATCACGTTGGCAGATCGTTAAAAAGTTACGATATAAAAGACAAAGAAAGGTAGAAAGCATTTTATAAACACATGGTTGGTAGAGTTTCGATTGAATAAGATATGGTAATTTTGCATTTGTTGCGTAACATTTATAGAAGCGCATTTACCTAGTGATTGTTACATTGTTCTAGAAATTGTTTACATTAAACTGGAACTTATACCACCTCATTATGAAATAAATATCAAGGGTCTATAAAAGCTATTAGTTGTAATGTTGTATTTACCTTTCGAGCTATATTATTTTATGTATTATATGTGAGAAAACATATAATACATAAAATTATTGAAGTGACCACATAATATAGAAATGAATTTGTATATGTTATATGATTCCAGTTATGTTAGAACTAAGACGTTTAGTATTTTTGTTATAATATAACATTGTGATCTCATGTGCATTGTTAATGTTTAAACTTTTTAAAAACGTTGTATATTAATATGATACGAATAATCGCGAGGAACTATGTTGTAAAACAATAAGATAATAATGAGTGATTAAATTCGACTGACTAAATTCTATTAAAATAAAAGTATTTTAATTACCAATTTGTTTCGTTTCTTTTCTATTACTAGTTTTTTTTTTTTTTTTTTTTTTTTTTATGTAACTCAGAATGGCAAATAAGCAGACAGCCAACCTGATGGAAAGTGGTAACCGTCGCCTATAGACATGAGCAGTATTTCGCCCATGATACCCCCATGTGTTGCCATTCTTGAGGACTAAGACAGAATAATAACAACAATGCTTCTGTACCCTGTAAATTCACTGCAATATCCCACCCTTTAAACCGAAACACAGTTATGCAAACACAACTGCTTCACAGTAGAAACAAAAATAGGATAAAGGTTCGCAAGCAAAACACATTTGTACAGTCTCCTGTTAGTTTCAAATAAAAGTACATAACTGAATCACATTTTTATTTATTTAAATGCAAAACGAAGCTTAAAGGAACTATATAAAGTTTACTGTAAAAATAAGAGGAAAATATATATATTATTTGTTACTATCATTACTTTCTTCTACAGTTGACATCTTTTTTGATCTGAAATAGAAAAAAATACCATTTTTACTTGTCTAAATCTACATAATAATAGACGTGAGGATAATTATTAACTATTATAGTGGAGACATTGCATTTTTTATTTAATTTTGTATCATATACTTGATAAATTCCTTGTCGCTTATAAAGATCCCTTATATAAAATCTCAACTTTCTAGACCCACTAATCAGGCGAGACAGTTTTCCTTTTTCTATAAGTATGCTTATCAATTAAATTGCAAATAAGCAAAAATGTTTGCTGGGTTGATCCAGCAAACATTTTTTCTTATTGGGATAAAAACTATTTCTCGAGTTGGAGCAAATAATACACATTCAAGAAACATTATAATCAGTTGAGCGATTTCAGAAATTCACGCACAAACAGTTCGTATCGTTGTGCGCCTTGAGAAAATAGATGTGAAGATTTATTCAAGTTATTTAACTTACATACATCATTTACATCATAGCGATTTGAATTAGGAAATTATTGCAATTAGCCGCTAAATCATGTCCAAAATGAATATTTAATAATCGTATATATTGGAGTCGATTCTAAAGCGCCAGTTCTCTAAACCTGTCTAAAATAAATTTAAATTTGATACCATAGTGCATTAACTTTCTAATAGATTTAAGTCAATACTATTATTTAGTCTATGGTGGTTCATTAAACAATAATTTCTCGTAATTAACAAATTAAAATATTATTTCAAGAGATAGATTCAGAGATATGTCCTATAATCTACTTCGGACATATATTATATTGTACCTCTTGCCAGTTTCTGATTTAGCCTGGCTTGTGTTGGACTGCGTGGAAGCCCTGCGCGGTCGCCGTGCAGGCGTAACTACTTCCAACTCCGAAGCCGCCTCCGATCCTAGAGGACTGTCTGTCTCGCCCTTCTGTGGATGAAATAAAAATATAATAAATATAACAAAGGAGTGAATAAGTGAATTATAAGTCCAATATGCCACTAATGAACCAACAGATAGAAGTAAATTATTCACTTTTAAAATTATTCAATGAGTCGTCATAAGTTCTATTTATTACAGCCATATTTATTTTATGCTGCCGCAAGTTTTGAATGAATGAGTATAATTTATTTGCATTATACAATATAGGGGGAAAGACAATTAAAAAATATAACGATACAATTGTATAAGTACAGCAAGGCGGTTTTATTGCTGAGAGCAATTTTCTATTGCAAAAAGTTTATTTTAACTTTATGATTACGTCGAATATGACATCCCTATTTAGTAAAATGCATCAAGTCATAGCACAAATATTGAAATTTTAAATTTTATTAATATAGCAAAATTGTTACATTGTGGACTTTAATGGTGTTATAATTTAACGTAGTTTCAAAACCTTGCTAAATTAATAAACTGTAAGTTTAATTTCAAGATAGAGAGTGTGAGTGGCGCGTACCCTAAGATCAGTGGATGTGCGCCTGCCCTTTGGTGTGTGTAGTGCTTCACAGGCGCGATTGAAAGAGGCGCGGCGGCCCCGAGCCGGGCTCGATGCGCCTGCAGGCACTGGCGAACCGCGCTCAGGGGTCATGTCTGAAAAACAAACATTCCCCACTCTATTAAACACTAAAATCTCATACAAACCTATTTTAAGTATTAGTATCTCGTCACTTCCTTTTAAAATGAAAAATTTATGCAAAAACTGTTTTATGTCTGTTTTTTTTTTAAATATGTTTAGGAGACATACTCATGACGATTTTATGAATAAGGATAGAGGTCTTTGGCACTCGGTTCTTTCTGTCTAAGAGAGACTTGCAAGAGACTTGGGTAAAGATTGATAGATAGGAGGATAGAGTTCAAAACTCAGTCTAAGTATGATCTGTTTCAATAGCACTTAATGAAAATATGAACAAATGAGTAATTAACACGTGCATACGAGATTTTTGGTTGATTGATTGAATATTTTGATTTGTCATTAATTGAATTTAAGGAGTTTTTGCGAAAATTTTAACAAAAATTGGTCTGTTTTAATTAAATAGTGTCAAAGCACTCAAAAAGTTAAAATAGACTTGTAAGTTTTATGAATAAGGGAGATAAAATCCAAATTTACTCAATCCATGTAGGTTGTTTGAACTTAGGGTAAAAATTTAAATATACATACATTCAAAGAAGTATTATTCTTCTGGCACGTCTATTTATTACATCGCTACATTTGTCGGAGATAAGGAAATTTCCAGAGAATAAGGATGACTCGCTAAAGGATAGATGGATATATATATATATATATATATATATATATATATATATATATATATATATATATATATATATATATATATAAAATTATTGCCACTTTTCGTTATAATATTATAACTCAAGAACGGGCTCACCTATCCAAACCAAAAGTTTAGGTCTTGTTCGGACTATTTAGTAGATTGTTTATGTGAAGCTTGCACAAAATCGATCAAGCAGTTCTTCATTTATCACATTTTTTGTAACAAATGAATTCAATAAATGGCGGATCATTTTATTAATGGGGATTTTTGTGTCAAATTCAAACTTTTTTTAAGATGGGGATTGTGCTGTCAAATTTAAACTTTTTTAGTGTTGACAGTACAAGTATGTTGTTATGTCATTCATGCGGTCATTTAATTTTTTTATTTTTTATTATTTTACTTTATACGTAGCGAAGTATGTACAGGGTCGCTAGTAATATATAGAATTAAGCATTATAAATGTAACATACCAATGTCGGCTGAATGAATTCTTCTTGAAATCTTAGCTGCTTTGACCACCTGTCTGGATTCAGACGCTGCGCGTGTCAGTCGAGCTGTGAAAATATTGCATAAAATTCAATGTAACGTTTTTGTTAATTCTACATTTAAATGTGAAGGAAATAGAGAGACTGCATGATTGTCATATAAATAAAGGGAGTAAAAAATCACTATCCGTTGTTAAAGTAACTTCAATGTCGTCGAAGGATCATGTCTGTTTTGCCTATTAATTCTGAGGCGAAACATTTTGCTGACATACTAAGTTACGATTCGAAGATTGAGATATGATGTAAAATTACTAAAAAATGCTTGAGTTACTTGTTGCCATCGTACATGGGATAACTTCTTACTATCAGTTGAACCGTATGCTCGACTGCCATCCTCTTTATATTAAAAAATACAGTATTTCATATTTAGACGTAGCTTGTTTGTCATTCTAGTTGCTCAAAAAAAAAAACTTTCTTAATAATATAATAAAATTGTAACTGGAAGATGTCTGTACATTGAAACTAAATCAATAATATTTAGAATTTTTGTCTATCTACAATATGTTTGTTGAAGCATTAAGCAAAATCTACTACAGCAAATTGAATGCAGTTTTTACTGTTGTGTTACTGAAGATCCGTCAAACTTAAACACTTGCATATGATTTATATTTGAAACGATTTCTACAAGTTTTCTGAAATCCGCGTGTGCGAAGTAGCGAACAAAAATCTAGTATATAAATAAAAATTAAAGGCTACTTTTTAGTAACTATATTACTTATTTGATTGTTTATTAAATGTTCGTAAACATTTGGTGTGTTTACGAACACGTGTTTAAGGTTTTTAGGAGAAAAATTAAAATTGGAATTTGTATAGAGCATATCTGTCGTATATATGTATAGTAATAATTAATTGAAATATAAATAGACAATGTTTGGAAAGAGAATGGGTCGCTATAGCGTATAGTTGTATATAAAAAGCGTGCGTTTAGTATTAAAATTAGCACATGCAATGCTTACATCTACGTTCGCTGCAGGCGTCTGTGGTGAATGGATCCGGCGAGTTGGCGTATAATTCCTCTCTGTCGGGCGAGCCTAGTAAGCCAAGTTTTTTTTTAATGGATGATAATGGAATGGTAAACTCGCCTGCGGTAACGGTATACGCTGGCGGGGCACCAGTGAGGGATGATAGGTGATAATGAAAAGGCAGATCAGTTAGTCCATTGTGATGAATACACTTGGAATTCAACACGATAGTTTCTAGGTTTTTTTTTTTTTTATACAACTTAAAATGGCAAACAAGCTGACGGCCCACCTGATGGAAAGTGGTAACCGTCGCCTATAGACATGAGCAGTACCATGGACATAACAGAGTATACTGTTTCGCCCATGATACCCCCCATGCGTTGCCATTCCTGAGGACTCAGGTGTTATTCCTCTGTACCCAGTAAATTCACGCCATATCCCACCCTTCAAACCGAAACACAGCCATGCAAACACAACTGCTTCACGGTTGAAATACGAATGGGACAGAGGTACCCACGCAATCGACTTTCGTACAAAGTCTCCCTCTGGTAAAGTCTAGGTGGGATCACGTAAAGGTCGACTTGATAAGGTATACTGCTAGCAATGGGACTGATAATCCGCATTGCTAACAATCCCTTCCCCCTAGTATGTCAAGTTAGTGATATTACTATGCACTAAATATGAGTATACATGCAGTTGGGTGACGTCCATTAATTATATTATGATTTTTTTATTTTTTTATTGGGGTTAAATGCCACCAAGTGAAAAGTGGAATACCCTATATGGGTATTCCACTTTTCACATAAGAAATTAAATAAATTTAAATATATTTGAGTATAGTTGTGTTGATATATATTGCTTCATTCCACCAACTCAAATACAGGTATCTGAGTACTGATACTTATATCCGGTATTAAATTCATGGTAATTTTATTTTTGTGAAATGAGAGTGAAAAATGGTGTTATGAGTTCTCACCTTCTCCCTTAAAAATGAAATTTTATAGCATTTTGCCTGATTTCTATTCTCTAAAAATTATAATTATTGGACACACCCCGTTGTGTTATATGCTGCGAATGATTTTGCATATAAGCAAATAGAAGTGATAATGGCACAGACATTTTTAAATTACCAATAGTTGCATAATAATTGAATTAACAATATAAAATAATTAATTAACAGTTTAATATTTTTAACCTGTGAGAAGAATTTTTTTTTATTAAGTAGATAAATATAAAGGCAAGTAATTTAATGCTGTAAATTATTACCAAGCAAAATTAATGCAGCTAAATAGGTTTATAAAATTCTTTTTAGCTTTACTACTAAGTGAGATCTCAAATATTGGATATATTTATGATAAATGACTAAGGTGCTTTTAGTGACAGCGGTTAAAAGGTCAATAGCTGCAAAAAGTTCTATTTTTATTACATACAGTGCATAAATCTTTCGTAAAACTCATATATATTTGAGACTCAAACTTGTAACACTTGTAGCACAGCTTAGTTCAATTGTTACAAAAAATTACCTTCAAAGTCGGGTTTATTGAGTAACGAGATTCGATCAATGGGCTGTACGTCGAAACCGGCGGAATGCGTGGAGGATGCGTCATCGTCATCTTTGGTGATGCTGGTGATGGTACTGGTACTAGTGCGACGCGACGTTCCTACACCACCGGCACTCGTCTGGGCACTGCCTCCAGCGCTGTCCGGGGATCCGACCGGTTCTAGCCAGGATTCTAGCACAGTTTTCTGGTGACGGGTTAGCCTGTTTAAGATACCTTGCATTAATTATAGAGTCAAATACATGTTACTATTATTTTTTCTTATTATTATTATGATATAATTGATATCACATTACATACTTACATCACTTAATGCTATATTATGTATAGCTAAATTACATTTTTGAATTACACGATACAAGCTTGCACGCCTAGTTTGTAATTCGTAGAGTTAATCATCTACGTAAAAGTATTTTTGGAAAATAAATAATTATTTCATTTCATTTCACATAGATAAATATTAATATTAAGGATAATTAGACGTATAAAAAAAATAGTAAAAACGTGTGCACAAAATGGTTATCAGATTTCGAAAGGTAAACAGTACAGTCAGATTTGAAAAGTGCTTTAAATTTTATAATGCAAACAAAAAATTATCACATAGTATTATTCCTTTCGAACGTAAGAATGTGAATAAAGGATTATCTAAGTTTAAATCAATATCTTACCTCCTAGAACTGGAATATTCGTTGATTAAGTCTTCATTACTTTTAGTTGTCGATTCTTCTGTTGTAGTTTCAGGGATTACTGACAAATCCGTCTTCGTCGCTAATACAGATCGCCTGCCTTTTCTGATTGGCGCCGGTTTCACATCACCCACTTCTTCGCTCACTGTACTCCTTATAGATATAACTGAACTCCCAGACGCTATACTTTCGTTATCATCTGCATTTTTACTTTTGGCCCGAGTAGTTCTTCTCTTGGGCGTAGTTGCAACTGTAACATCTAAATTATCTTTCGATTGGTCAAGTTGTGCTGCCATCTCTCTCGACACACGTCGAGTTATTATCTTCCTGATTTCAGCACTAGTGGGGGTCTTAGCTCGCCTTCTAGTTGGAGTGCTGACTTCCTCCGTTTGTACATTTTCTGGCATTTTAGGTTCAGTTTCAACAACTGATTTATTAGATGCAGTAGACGATGTGCGTTTTCTTCTTGGCGGTGTTTTAATTTCTTTTTCTTCCTTATTATCTGTTACTTCTGCTTCTTTAAAAGACTTATTTGAAGATGTAGATTTTGCGCGCTTTCTACCTTTGGTAATAGGTTTTTCTATATCTATTTCCATATTTTCCTCTGTTATAGTAATTTCATTTTTCTTTTGAGAAGAATCATCCTCTTGCACTTTCTTGTCAATATTAATCTGTTTGTAATCTTTTGAGGTCTCTTTATCTTTAGGTATCGCCACATCAATTTGCATAGGAGTATTTTCACTTTCTTCACTTTTTTCCTCAAGTTTATCATCTTGTAGTTTCCTTTTTGGTTTAACATCGGATATTTCGACTGCAATAGAATCAACAACATTGGTTTCTTTAGCAACTGACTCTTCCCTGACATTATTATCTGGTGTTTTTTCTATAGTTACTTCAATTGTTACTGCTGGTTGTTCATCTGAAAGCATGTAATAAAGAACTAAAAATATGATTACTATAAATTCACTAGCAAATGGTAGGGTAAAGGTAGCGGAAATAGGGTAGGGGTTGCCAGGGGATGTTCTCCTTTAGTGATCTATCCGATTTTAGAATAAGGACCCACAGGTATGCGACCTCGCTCTCCCGTGCCGCTACAGTTTCTGACCAGTATCCCCTCCGTAACTACAGTGTCCCTTTTTACCATAAATCTCTTACTCCGCTTTACTAACTTCCTTTACTTGATTCAATACACCCCACCATTTTTCTCAATTGTTTCCTTCAACCAACAAATGCATTCACAAGGAGGGTTAACGCTAGGAAAGCGGCCGATCGTGAAACCAGCCGACTACCAATATGGTTTTTAAAAATCAAACTTGGCACCAATCTTAAAATAAATGCAATTATATAATTGTAAAATGTAGATAAAATCATAATTTGTATAAAATATGATGTTTTGGCAACTACTAAAATTTATAAAAACTATTTTTCATAATCAGCAGTACAACTTTTAGTTTCGTGCCGCATTTCCATACACATTGAGGTCCCGAATTCGATTCCGTTGGATGGATGTCGTGAATAACCTTTATTACCAAGTTTTTATAGTATATAAAGTTGCCTTAATAAGAAAGTTAAACAAATATTCCAGCATTTATTGAATGAAATAATAAATGACAAATTTTCAGTTTTATTTGTCAAGCACATAGATTCAATTACATACCTGTTTCCATTACTTTACCAACAGATTCTGTCACATTTTCTCTTATTATTTCTTTTCCAGTATGTACATCCGCAAGTTTTTCTTTATCAACTTCTATTACTTCATTAGAGAAATTCAAATTTCTAGACTGATCAGACTCTACGATAGAATTATCATCAGTCAGTAACGAAAGGTGAGCTTGATTCAAAGGATCTGTGCTACCTTCTGTCACTTCTATTTTACTGTCCTCTTCTTTCTCAACTTGTACATCTACAGTAACTTGGGGTTCTGTTTCTATAGGCTGTGCAAGTTGATCTTGCTGATTTGCTTCTGTGGAAGTTTCTTCATTTATTTGAAGTCTATCATCGGATGTAGATGAATCGTCTGATTCAGTATCTTTGATGGAAATAATTTCGTCGCTACCTGACGCTGCTGACTGTAATAACAAGAAACTTGTATTAAAAATGGAAATAATGGCTTTGGTTCTTAAAATAAAATACATATAGAGAGAGTATTTGTTTTCTGTCAATTTAAAAAATATAAAATAAAATATACCTCATCTGAAGATGAAGTGTCAGCTTCAGAAGTGGCGCCACTATCTTCACCTTGCAGTATTTCTTCATCAGACGTATCAGTATCTTCACTAACATGTAAGCTATCATCAGACATGTCGCCTTCAATTTCATTAATTTCTCTTTCAATTTCAACTATTCTTTCTTTTTCTTTCTGTATTACTATTGCGGTATCTTGACTTTCAATTTTAGAATCTTTATTATCATCCCGTACATCCATATCACTGTCACTCGTCATCAAACTTGATACATCTTTCCAAGCGGATTTGTCAACACTAACATTTTTACTACTACTAGGATCTTTAGACATACTAATTTCTTGCGAAGTTTCGGCCATACTAGATTCATGACTACGTAACACTGATTTATATATATCTGAATCGATTGTCGTAAAGGCAGTTAATTTAGGAATTGTCTCTTGTGTTTTTATAACGTCCGTTTCTTCTTGCTCGCTCTGAGGCGAGTTCGCAACACTGCTATCGTAACTATGCAACAAAGATTTATTAATTTTGATATCGTTGACGGTAGTAAATGCTGGTAAAGATTTCATATCAACGTTAGTGGTAATATCATGAGTGACCTCCACTCGCTTTTCTTCTACAATACTTTCTGAAGTGTCAGCCATGCTACTTTGATAACTACGCAAGACAGATTTTTCGAATCCAGTTTCGTGGAGTGTCGTAAAGGCTGGCAGTGTCTTTAGGCCTAGATCTGTAGTATTTTTATTTTCAGATAAACTATATTTATGTATTGTTTCAGACAAAACGCTGTCTGCAGAGCTTTGTAATACAGATTTGTTAACTATTGGTGACAAAGTGACATCTAAGAGACTAGGCATCTGTTTTAAAGTTTTCATAGGTGTGCACTCTATTACATCAGATTTATCGACATGACTTTCTTCAAGATCATTATTTTCCAAATTAAGTTTTGATTTAGCAAACGCATTCGCTTCCAATACCAATCGGGATAGAGATTTCTTGGTTTTAGCGGAATGTTCCAGTTTAGGTGTTACCGATTTTTCAGGAGTTTTTGCTCTACTCCTATAAATAAAAGACAACAAAAACTTTTCATTAGTAACTAATATTGTAAAGACATAGTATTTATAGTGTATGTATACCTTATGGTGAAATAACTACCTGAGATTACGTGGACTGGCAGGTTTGTCTGGTGCAGTAATTACTTCGACTTCAGGAGTCCGTGAGCGGCTTCTACATAACAAAAAAATAACATACTTTATTTTATACATTAATTTTTAAAAATATTTATTACGTATATATAATTTTTTAATAGATAAATAGATTTAATATACAGTTTAAAGTTTAGGGATATCACTAAGATATAATTTATATCAATATTGTCGCTGGCAACTTAGCCGGTCTTTTTTATATATTTGTATTTGTTTTATATTAACGTTTCTCATATTCTTTTGATATGTTTCTTTGTAACACCTTTTTTATTAATTCAAATATATTAAGTTTCAAGTGACATACTGTTTTATTGTTCTCCAGTCATAAACATAATTTTTATTATTATTATTTCAGTCATTATCTATCCACTGATGAACATAAGCCTTCCCCATAAGGGGAGTTTTTTCAGTAGTTGCCAGGCGGTAGTAGGTGGCAGGCGGGTTGGCAATCGCAGTTGGGCTTTGGAGAAGATTTTAAAGGGACGCTGCTGCCCATCCCTCACCCTCCCTTAGTCGACACTTACGACACCCACAAGAAAGGAAGGAGTGGCCTATTCTATGGCGGGATAACACGACGGCACAAAGGGGGAAAAGGGATTGTTAGCAATGGAGTTTGACAGTCCCATTGCTAGCAATATGCCCTATTAGGTCGACCTCCACGTGGTTCCCCTTGGAAACCATCGTGAACAATTCGTGTTGAATTCGTCACGATGGGCTAACTGACCTACTTCATCCTTATTTACTATCCATCACTGGTACCTCGCTAGTGTATACCGATAGCACAGGCGGGGTAACCATGCTATTATTACCCCTTAAAAAAAAAACACGACGGCATAAACATAATAAGTAGTAAGTAATAGTTATTTGGGTCACTGCGACATACATGGCGAAACTATATTTTCGTATTTTATCTTTTGTTTTATATTTAAAAAGTGTAAATAATTTGATTGTATAAACTCATTTGTTAATTTACGTATGTTATAAATGGCTCAAATAAAAAGTTTATCTATCTATCTATCTATCTAATAAATGTATATAATAAGTGTAATGATCTTACAAATTATATAAAAAAAAAAAAATACAATACAATATAAAACTATATAATATATGAGTGCCATGTAGTAACAAGAATATTGCAAATAAAAGTGATTTACGTAAAATGAGGCATTCACGAACTTCTAAATAAAGTGAATGAAAAGCCTGTTTTGCTTTCTTCCACAATACTAACCTTAAACTGCGTCTACTGGGCGACGAACTGGATGATACAGTTTTGCTTGATTTAACAGGCGACTCTGTTATTGGTTCCAATCTCGGTGACTCTTTTATTATCCTCTCTGGAGTACGGGATCTACTTCTGTAACCATAAATATATATATTTTTTTTTATAAAAAAAAAGTATATATTTTTATTGAGTGGCTGCTCTCAACAAACGAGCAAACAATAATTATGATTAATCAGTAGTATTTAGTTTCGAACACAGTAGTGTTAATTAACTTAAAACTTAATTTTATTCTGTTTACTGAGAATATATTTTCAAAATGAAAGGTAGAAATATGTTTTATACTATATATACCTCGTAGTTCTGGTAGCGCGTAATTCCACAGCCGGCGAATCTTGTCGTTCGGGCGTACATGATCGACTCCTGAAACAATTTATTAATTATACATTTATATTAATATTTTTATTATAACTTCCGATTAATATTTTAACACATATTCTTTCCTGTTTTATTAATATCATTATATCTTTATCATCATATCAGCTGTCAATTGTCCTGCTGAACATAAGTCTTGTCCTTGGAGGGTTTTACTAGTAGTTGTCATGCTTGGCAGCCGGATTGGCCACCAAAGCTAGACTTGTAATGTTTTAAGAGGAACGCTGTTGCCCATTTCTTGACTTTTAGATTGTTTTAGTCACCTCTTATGGTACCCACAGGAAAAGAAGAGGTGACCAAATATATGCCAAGACAACATGGTTAATATTTATAATACTATTACATTACCTACGGTATTATTTTTTATTGACGGTATAGCTGTATAGGGTGATAGGAGAGAATGAAATTAGGTCAGTTGATTCATCGTAATGGATAAACAAAGAGATGCACACCAGGCTATCTAAAACAACATATATACAAACATAGAACACCAGTGGATGATAATATGATGAAGATAAAAGCAAGCTAGATGGCACATAGTGGCAAATTCTCCACAATATGAACCCTAGACATATGATTAAAAAGGGGCGAAATTGAATTACTAGCTATCCCTTTTTATCCCATCTAATTAAACATATCCCATTTTTTGGTGTTAAGGATAAACTAAATTAATAAACACTCAGTTAAGATGTGCTTGCAAATAATATTCTCGCTTGACCCAAAATTATATGCAGTTACCGTTCCATTATCATTAATTCAATGATCTTAAATTAATCAAATAATAAACATAAAACACCTACCTAGTTACCCGTGGAGTAATTTCACTAACAGCTCTAATCCCTCTCCTGCTTTTAGGCGTTCTAGGTACTACTCCACTAACATTATCATTTCTCTCTTTCACGTCTGTATCATTGTCAACTTGCATCTCTGTCTCGTCTACGGATCTTCGCCTGCTGCTAGAGTACCGAGGGTTGATGAGCGTGATCGGTATATCCGCTATACTTTCAACTGTAGAGTTAGGATCGTCAGACAGACTGCTGTTGGCCGATAAAGACAAAGAACGCCTGGAAGAGATATCACAATTTATAAAACATAAGGATAGATAGAAGCCATTGACACCCAGTTCTCTAGATCTACCCTGTAATAAATAATAATCTTAAAATAAATGGAGTTTTAATATTGTTTCAGGATAATTATTTTTAATTATAAAATGTTGTCAAAATGAAAAATAAAATTAAAATACAATATTTTAATTATAATTTTGTTCTACTTTTTTTTTTTTTTTTTTTTTTTTTTTTTTTTTTTTTTTTTTTTTTTTTATACAACTTAGAATGGCAAACAAGCTGACGGCCCACCTGATGGAAAGTGGTAACCGTCGCCTATAGACATGAGCAGTACCATGGACATAACAGAGTATACTGTTTCGCCCATGATACCCCCATGCGCTGCCATTCCTGAGGACTCAGGTGTTATTCCTCTGTACCCAGTAAATTCACGCCATATCCCACTCTTCAAACCGAAACACAGCCATGCAAACACAACTGCTTCACGGTTGAAACACGAATGGGACAGAGGTACCCAAGCAATCGACTTTTGTACAAAGTCTCCCTCTACTTATGTACTTATAATTATTTTAACATTTTTTTTTATATACCACAGTTGTAATCACCATCTTCATCATATCAGCCCTTAACTGTCCACTGCTGGTCATAAGCCTTCCCCATGGGAGGGCTTTGCCAGTAGTTGCCATGCTTGGCAGGCAATCGCATTTAGGCTTTGGAGATGTTTAAAGAGGAACGCTGCTGCCCATCCCTCGCCCTCCCTTAGTCGACTAGTACAACACCAACGGAAAAGGAAAAGGTGGCCTATTCTATACCGGGACAACATTGCGGTTGTAATAAAGGGCACTGAATTGCTGCACTCACTGACTGATGTCACTGATAAGGTAATGAGACACATTTTGTAGACTATTAGTGTTATGAGGAACATAATATTTGACGTGCGCACGGCTATTCCACGGATAAGAATATTCGAATCCAATGTTATCACGCAGTATGACCTATTAATTTAATTTGTTAACAGTATTTCCGTTAACATCATTTAAATTGTCGTAAAGATTTGATGGCAGCTTCGAACTGACGATTGTCTTTAAATCGGGGTTACGCACTATTAGGATTTCTCTAAACGGATACTATACTCGATTGAGTGATAATTATTCAGACTCTTTGGTAATTAGAAAGCAAAATTTTTAAAAAATAAATCTATCTATACTTATAATAAATCTGTAGAGAGGTCAATTGTGTACATGAAATATATTTCCAAAATAACTATCATGGGGTGATTAGTGATCGATACTGTTGTCAAAAATGCAATCAGTAAAATTTTTGTCTGTCAGTCTGTATGTTCGTTATAGAAACAAAAACTACTCGACGGATTTTAACGAAATCAATCTTGGTACAATTATTCTTCATACTCCTGGGCAGGTTATAGTATACTTTTCATCACGCTACGATCAATAGGAGCAGAGCCGTGAAGGGAAAGGTTGGGAAAACGGGAGAAGTTACTCTATTTTTAAGCTTCCGTCGCGTGTGCAGCCTTAATGGTCACTTTTTAAAATGTAAAAATGTCCACCCGTGCGAAGCCGGGCCGCTAGTAAAAAATAAATGTTCACCTCGCACGAACGGTATCCTTGTAGAATTTTCTTGTTTTAATGTCATCTTCTGTTGCCAACTTCTTTGGTGGCGATTCCAACACATGGCTTTCATCCTACAAAAATAAAAGCTAATAAATAAGAAAGTAACAGTATCGATAGTGTACGATAAATGTGTGTGTAATTTACAAGGTTTCGAATGAAGATATTTCCTTATAAACACAAACAGAGCACCACATATATACTTGTATATGATCACACAAATTAAAGTAAACAATTAAGGGACATACCATGTTAACATAGAAAATCTATACTTTTATAAAAATCTATACTTTTATTAGTAAATTACCTACCAGATGATAAATGGAAACAGTGTCATTTATAAAAGTGAAGTATTAAACAGAACACAAAATATACTGTGCCTCCCACTGTGCCAAGTCACCGTGATACATGAATCTTGTGTGACTATTAAAGTAACGGGGAAACATTTAACTTAATATTCATTTTAGTTTTTATATTTTTTTTACAAGGGAAGGAATATACAGGAATGGAATAAAAATGTGACAATAATCACCATAGAATGTGCCTGTGTTGTCTTATGACTCTCTTCAGCTTCGGTGACATTATAGTAATCGTCGTTATCTTCGTCTCTCTCTTTCATAGCAGAAACTGATCTTTCCATTTCTTCAGCGTCCTCGAAATCTATTGTTGGCATCGCTACTGGCGAAGTTGACGGCGTGGAACCACACTCGGACGCAGTTGGGATTGTAAATCTTAGGTGCCTGTAAAAAGGCACATTGTTAAGCTAGCAACTAATTTAAAAATGTATTATTATGTAACTGTGTATTTGTTTTTTTTTAATGGATGATAATGGAATGGTAACCTCGCCTACGCTATCGGTATACACTGGCGGGGCACCAATGAGGGATGATAGGTGAAGATGAAGCAGGTCAGTTAGCTCATCGTGACAAATTCACTAATGAATCAGTCACGACGGTTTCCAGGGGAACCACGAGGAGGTCGACCTGATAGGGTACATTGCTAATAATAGGGTTGCTAATCCCTGTTATTTACAATTCCTTTCCCCCTTTACTTGTTGATTAAATATTCAAATTAATATTTCAATATATTACTAGCTTGTGAGCTATTTACAATTATATGTTGTATCCAAACGATATACGGTAGATAGTCGGTCCATAGCTTAAGAGATTTCGCTTATATTTCTATATTTATACTCACAATAACTTATCTATCTTGCATTTAAATATATAACTATTTAATTTTTCACAGTCCATGAATTCCACTCCTCACTCTACTTTTTTTACAGAACTATGGAATAACGAAAGTGATCGTCGTCGCCTTATAAATTATGAGTATTATGATGTTATGACCCAATAATTTCAAAGCCACATATCCTCCAAACCGAAACACAGCCTAGCAAACCTTGTACACACTATGTTGTGCACTTAAATCATAAATAATTTTCTAGTTTATTAAATTAAATTTATGACATTTAGAATGGCAAATAGGTTGACGACCCACCTGTGATGGAAAGTGGCAACCATCACCTATAGACATAAACAACATTATGAACATTACAGAATACACTACAATGTCTATGATACCCCCTTTGCGTTGCCATTCCTGAGGATTAAGATGTAATGCCTCTCTTATTTCCCTACCATATCTCACCATTCAAACCGAAATACAGCTATGCAAGCGTAGTTTTACGACAGAAATTCGAGGGGGACAGACATAAACAATTATAACAAAATATTGTACTGACTTGTTAGAATCACTGTACTGTGTTTGCATGCTGGCGTTGTCCAATTCGTCATCACTGATTGCACGCCTTGTCTGTAAACGAAACACCAATTAGTCGAATGAATTTATTTACAATACAACACTAACCAACACAACAAAAATACCGTGCCGTACCTTGAGTATGCTGTGCGGCGTGTCGGCGCGCAGCTGCCGCTCGGCCCGCGGCGGCGTGTGCTGCTCGGGCAGGTGCAGCAGCGCCGCCAGCTGCTCGCCCGCGCCCTCCGTGCGAGGAGCGTGCCGTACCTTGAGTATGCTGTGCGGCGTGTCGGCGCGCAGCTGCCGCTCGGCCCGCGGCGGCGTGTGCTGCTCGGGCAGGTGCAGCAGCGCCGCCAGCTGCTCGCCCGCGCCCTCCGTGCGAGGAGCGTGCCGTACCTTGAGTATGCTGTGCGGCGTGTCGGCGCGCAGCTGCCGCTCGGCCCGCGGCGGCGTGTGCTGCTCGGGCAGGTGCAGCAGCGCCGCCAGCTGCTCGCCCAGCGCCGCGCTCACCCGCGCGCCGCCCGGAGCCCGCGCGGTGCCGCCCTCGCGCCGCGCTCGCTTCGGGGGCGAGCCCTCCTGGCTCTCCTCCATCACACTAGCCAGTAATAATGGTCAATTACGTAAGTGTACTCAGACGGGCACGAAGTGGGTCGTGCCCGTCCCAAAATTGTCTGGTGCCCATCCTAGGATGTGAGAAATGCTTCGCAAAAACATTTCTGAGAGTACGTACGCGCCTCTTTTACCAGGCCCACCCTTGATAACAATCCTAAATATGTTGAAAGTAAACTATATCATTATCATCATTTCAGTCGTTATATGTCCACTGCTGAACATAGGCCTCCCTCATAGACTGTGATAAGGAACAGGAGCGTTCCCTAAAGCAGTTCACCATTGGGACAATTTTACCAGCAGTTGCTATGCTGGACAGGCAGACTGATAACCACAATTTGGCTTTTAGTGATATTTTAAGAGGAACGCTGCTGGTTATCCTTTGACCATTAACGACACCCACAGAAAAAGAAGAAGTGGTCCATTCTATGCCGGGACCATACGGCAAATAAAAAAAAACTATAGTAATACAAAATACATATCTACATCGAAAATAAGCAAATTAAAACATAACACCTAAATTAATACCCACTCAAGAAATACATTATGCATTTCATTGCAGTCAGAGACAATGTTAAACAGATATTTAATTTTTACTAGCCTTACCTGTAACTTTCATCCGAGTGACCAGGATGAAAATAGTCTATATACTTATCTATTCCATATAGTATGCGTATCCCAAATGTCATAGTGATTGGTTAAGGCATTATGATGCAATAAGATAACAAACTAACTCCCTTTCACATTTATAATATTAGTAAGAACATTAGTAATCTACTATGTTGCCTACCTTCTAGTTTTCGACAACTTAGGAGTGCATATAAACGGAGTCTCCTCAATGTTAAGTGCCCTTTTGATGCCTCTTCTCATTTTGGGCTTATTGATCCAGGTCTCGCTTGCATTTTCTATGGTGTCCTGTTACAAAAATAGATACATTAATAATTCGTCAGTTTCTAGTAATAAGGAGATTTTTTCATATATAAAGAACAAATTAAAGAGAAAAAGAAATAAAAAATCGGTCAAGTACGAGTTGAATTTACATACCTTGTTCCGTAGATAAATATGTAAATATCATGTAAAATGACCCTTATTGCATACGAAATAGATACCTAACAGTCATTACTATTGATATTAAAATTACTGATATTAATATCGTAATTTCTTATTTTGTGCCACAACTGTAACTAAAAACTGGAGGTTACAACTAAATTTGTTTTTTAAAGTTTTACGATATTTTCTCATAAACAGTGCTAATTTGAAACATTATTTTATTATTTCTAGAATTTTTCATAAATACCTTTATAAACTGTAACTATTTCAGATTTTTATTTCAGGAACTTCAAAGATAAGAATTTTTTTTTCACATTTATTACCATAACTGAATTTATTACCATAAACAGCATAAAAAGAAACAAAAAATCAGTTTCAAAATGCACAAATAAAGCCCTTTCATAAGATACCCCATTTGGACTAATATTTTGAAATATTGAGCTCCCTTTTTGGATCCTCTAGCAAAGAAAATAAAAATATGTTTTCAATTATTTCCTTCGTAATATGTGCGGGCCAATGATATATAAAATTGTTTCAAATTTCATATCGGTAGCATTGGTAGTTGATGTGACAAATGGACGGACGGACAAAGTCGTATTATAAGGATTTCTTTATACCTTATTAGTATGGAACCCTAAAAAGGGAAAATTTACATTCGCCTCAAAATCATATAAGAAACATACATCATGATCAATAGATACACATATCATTTAATCTAGACATAAGAATTTGGTATATATTGTAATAAATTATAAATTAATGTAGCATGGAGTTCTTCAAAAAGGGGTAAAGAGGTTTCTTCAGGGTCGGCAACGCATGCGTGATATCTCTGGTATTGCAGGTGTTCATAGGTTATGGTAAACACTTACCATCAGGTGGGCCGTATGCTTGTTTGCCACCTCAGTGGTATAAAAAAAAATATTATTATTATTTCAATATTATCGAAAACAGTAACTAAAACAAGAAATTATTAACTTACTTGAATAAATGATGACTTATATGTGAATGTGTTCTTAGGGGACTTTGCTTGTATATAGACTGACATCGGTTTTGGAGCAATAACTGAAAATTAATAACGCTACTTCATATACAACAAAAAAATAATATGGTCACAACTATAATCCGAGATAAGGTAGTCAGAGGCCATTAATATTTTAATCAATATTTTATACATATATGGAATTTGTAGAAAAATAATATTATATATATAAATCTTGTATGAACACAATATGATGCGAGGATGTATGTACAATGTATGTACAATAAAGATTTTTACAATACAATACAATATGATGCGAGGATAATATTACTAGAAGAATATTTTTGTTGACACATACATATAGTAATATATTTGCTTGGTTAAAGGGTGAAATATAATAATAATAATATTTATTTAATCAGACTACATAAGGCCGCTTTTGTTAGTTACAAATTGACTTAACCTTTATATAACGCTCTTGCATTGATAACCTATCCCATCCAATATTTTAGGATGGGACAGTCCATTTTATCAGCAATTGTCTGTTCAGAACACTATTTGAGCTAACACTCAACTAGGAGTGAAGTTATAGGGTAGAGAGGCATAACACCTTAGTCCTCAGGAATGGCAACGCATGGGGGGTATCATGGGCGAAACAGTATACTCTATTATATCCATGGGACTATGTTTATAGGCGATGGTTACTACTTTCCATTAGGTGGGCCGTCAGTTTGTTTGCCATTCTAAGTTGCATAAAAAACCTACATACTTGATTTTTATTGATGATATTTTTATGCAATAACGTCGCGTTATTTTCGACAGTGTATTAAAATAAGAGTAAATTAGTTTGAAAGTAGATAAATAATAAATGGATGGGAGAAAAAAATCTATTTATGTGAGAATTAAATTAAAATTTGAATACAAGTCAAAATATAATTTGCTGAGTCATAAAAACAAATATATATTTGTATAGATGACTCTTTTGTGGAATAAGTAATATTAATTATTGTTTTTAAGAATGAATTCGCTCAGGGCTGGCATGCAAGCACGCTGGGCATAAAAGGAAAGGATACATTTTGGCAACATTGACGCCTTCACAGGGAAATGTATTGATTGTCGCTTTTATCATGTATTTTGATTCTAATTGCCAAACTATAATGAGAAAAAGCTTATGTTCTGTAAAACTTTTGTCATCATCACTTCAATAACATATTTTGTTCTCACTTGTCATTAAACTCCATTGGATATCTTGATAAATAGTGCTTTTACTTTACACATTTAATGGTAAATATATGTTGGGTGCGATGATGACGATGATATAATGGATTCGAATTTGATACGCCATTTTTCTAATTCTATTCCTTAGCCTAATATTTTAATTTTGTAGTTTTGCAAAATTTTTATATTATAGAACCTTATGTTCTAATAGTAAAAAATATTATAAGTTTAGTTAACTTATAATAATTTTGACTATTAAAAATTTAGTTCATATTGGACCTTAGAATAAAAATTTCGCTGTCATTTAATAAAATTTAATTTTAGACATATGTTAAGAGAAATGGCGCACTCCAATATAATAAATAAAATACATACTATGCGTGTCATAATCCTTATCGACGAGTGCATATTTAGCGACGGTTCCAGCGATGGCTGGCAGCGAGGCCATTGCCAGTTCCACTAGATTGTCCCTCGCCTCCTCCCGGTCCAACGTCTCAGCCAGTGACTCCGCAGATGCGCTCACGTCATTCGAACGGGCTTTAGATTGTTTGAGCTTGTTGTTATATTGTTCCGCCTCTAGATATCTACAAAACGAAATAACGTTTATTTTTATATTTTGATATCTTATTTAATTAAAAAAAAAAATGTAATATCCAGTTCACAGTTGACTAAAGTAAAACATATAAAAAATGCATTAATTTATTAATCTTCTTATATTTTGATCTTTGCTATTCAAGATATAAAAAAAGTTTAGTAACACGTGTTAAAATAATCATATGCACATAAATGGTGCCAACTACCAGGAGAGAAAAGGAATTGTTAGTAATGGAAACTAGTGACCCCATTACTAGCAATATATTTATTTATTTAACACTTTATTGCACCAACATAACAGGATTTGTTGAACAATTTTCAATATGTATAGTGTAGTACAAAAGGCGGTCTTATTACTAAGCAATATACCCTCTCAAATCGTCCTCCTTGCCGTTCCCACTGGGAACCATCGTGATTTATTCTTACGAACTTAGTTACCAGAGGGAGACTTTGTACAAAAGTCGATTGGTTGGGTACCTCCGTCCCATTCGTGTTTCTACCGTGAAGCAGTTGTGTTTGCATGGCTGTGTTTCGGTTTGAAGCGTGGGATATGGCGTGAATTTACAGGGTACAAAGGAATAACACCTGAGTCCTCAGAAATCGCAACGCATGGGGGGTATCATGGGCGAGACAGTATACTCTATTATGTACATGGTACTGCTGATGTCTAAAGGCGACGGTTACCACTTTCAATCAGGTGGGTCATCAGCTTGTTTGCCATTCTAAGTTGTATAAAAAAAAGATGGGCTAATCGGCCTGTTTTCATCCTCACCTATCATCTCTCCCAGATACCCTGCCAACGTATACCAATAGCATAGGCGGGTTAAATATTCCAAAAGAAAAAAAAACTAAAAAAGCTACCAATAATATAATCGCTTATGCTTACCTGGCATGTTGCAAGTAGTACGTGATCAATATATCTCCAGTTTGGGACTCGTTGCAGTCCTCTAAATACTTTATAAACACTTTCTCCTCAAAGGGCAATAATGTTACTTGGAGAATCTTCGATAGTTGTCCCGTGTTTCTACAGCCTGTAGAAATATAATTTGTAATTAATTTTATATAAAATTTTCAAATAAAATACTTTTTATAGCGAAGTTAAAACATTTAAATCAGGAAGCTGACTATTGGCGTAATCTAATTGGAATCAAATCAAACTATATTGAATAGACATGTAATGTAAATATTGGCGTCTATTCTATGTGTTTTTGATTGCCAAAGTCGGTCTTCTGTATAAATATGTTTTTTTAACTCAATGCCATAGTTACAGGTTAAATAGAGTAAAACGTGTCGGATAATCATTGCGTAAGAAGCGACATAACAGTGGGATTCTCTTAAGGTTAGATAGATACCTTACTTTGAAACTGATAGCTAATATATAAGGTTGGAAAACTTTTGGTAGTAATAGTTTATATTTATTTTATTTTTATTAATTTATACTTTTGCATACATTAAAATATGTCTACAAGGAGGATTTAATGCCTGATGGCATTCTCTACCAGTCAACCGTTACGATAAACAGAGAGAGTAAATGGCGGTGCATTAACAAAACAATTTGTAAATTAAATAATTATGGTCAATCTTTGAGTATTGGCAGTCACACGTATACTAATAGTAGCGAAATAAAAAAAAATAGTTCTAAATAAATAATCAGTAATATAAAAGTCCGCAAGATAAACCTAGTTCAGTAAAATAGACACCTTGCTATTACCACAAACAATAGCTGATCAGTTAAGCAGATCTTTCTTGCCATACCATCATATCAGCCTTTAACTGTCCACTGCTGAATATAAGCCTCCCCTTGAGGGGTTTTTGTTAGTAGTTGCCACGCTTGGCAGGCGAATTAGCAATCACAGTTAGGCTTTGGAGACGTTTTAAGACTCTTACGAAATATGGGGAAGGAAGGGGTGGCCTATTCTATGCCGGGATCACATGGTGGTCATTCTTGCCATATGCACTATAATATTATCGAGATTGAAGGCCCACTAAGTTTGATTCATGTACAATATTATTACAAATAATTGATAACATGCTTACTAACATGAGAATGGTCAATATGGTCAGTCCCCTTTGTAGAAAGAGAGATCAACTTTAACACACATAATGTAATCATCTCCTTTATAGACAGCGTTATACAAGGTGACTTACCTTTAAAGAAGAAATTTAACACTTGTTCCTTTTCTTCTGTCTTAGCTGTATTCTGGACACACATTCTAACCACATCTAGCGCTTCGAATACGAGGTTCCTCGCCAAGTATAAGTTACAACACGACTGCCAATCTTCCAGCTTGTCGAGGTCGTTGACCCTACTCGAGTTGAGTGTACCATCATCCCGCAACTGCACCGGCGCTGGTTTCCTAACGTGCAAGTATTGCAGGGCCGCTTGGGTTTTCTTTTGTGCTAGTAGAGATGAAAGTACGACATTGTGTTGCCACTCGGAGAGCGTGTTGCCCGTTAGACATTGTAGATTGTCTAGTGCAAACTGTGGAGAAATAATATTTATTAAATAGGGTACAATTTATAAAATTTACTGGAGAGGTACCAGTGAGTGATGATAGGTGAAGATGAAGCAGATCATTGGACATGTTTCATCCCTCTCATTCTCATCTATCTATCTACTCTATGGGCCATTGTGACAAATTCTTTGATAAATAATCACGATGGTTTCTAATGGGAATCGCATGGAGGTCAACCTGTTAAGGTATATTACTTGCAATGGGGCTGTTATCCCCATTAAAGTATTAAGGTATTATGGATTGTATCTCCAGACATTAATTTTTATGATTTTATTATCTTTATTTTATTGTAACGAAATTATAACTAAATAAACATAATCCTTGTTCAAGATGCAGCAATCGACCTGACTGTGCGCACGTCCATTTATAATCAATATAAACAGAGAGAGAAACATAACTTTTAAGATAATAAGTCTCAACAGTACTAAAATATATACTAACATCAAAATCTCTATGATCAAGGTGCCAGAATGCTTGAGTGGCTTTTATTGCAGTGTTGCTAAGTCCAAACATAGTTGGAAACTGCATCAACCTTCGAATTACTTCTTCATATCTGTAATAAATAATAATAAAATATTAAAATGCGAATGTAAAAAACATACTATTCTCGCAACCTAAGGTACGTAATCGTTTGTATTCAACAATGGCCATTACTGGCGAAAATTACTCGAGTTAGATTTTATTACTTTGAGTACAAGTTTCCCATATTTTGATAAGTTATCTGACAAGAAAAAAAAAGACTTAATAATTCTTTGGAGACATTTAAAGTTTCAAAGATACCGTGTGGTCCCAGCATAGAATAGGCCACCCCTTCCTTTCCCGCGGGTGTCGTAAGAGGCGACTAAGGGAGGGCGAGGGATGGACAGTATTATTCCTCTTAAAACATCTCCAAAGTCTAACTGCGGTTGCCAATCCGCCTGCCAAGCATATGATAATAATTTGAAGTCTCTCGAGATCCATTGTCCAAGTTATACACCAAGAACAAAACCATTTAATTGGATTCCAATAGTTAAAAAAAATCAGTCTCGCTAGATGGCGTCTACAAAAAGTGGATATAAAATAATGAACTAACTTACCGAACGTCATCGTAGACGCTAGAATAATCCACGAGGAGATATAAGACAAGCGAGTGTTTATGCTCGTCCGGCACGTCGGGTAACAGGTAGAGCCGCAGGAGAGAGTATAGCGACGGCGGCGGGTACAGACCAGTCTCGCTACCGCCGTTCCTCCACATTCTAAATAAATATTTAACACATTTTAAGAGCGAGATATTTACTTTAATTATCATATTGTGACCTTCCGAGGTTTGACGTGTTGACCCGTGGCCAGGACCCTTTTTTTTTTAATGGGTGATTATGGAATGGTAACCTCGCCCGCGCTATCCGGTATACGCTGGCGGAACACCAGTGAGAGATGATAGGTGAGGATGAAAGCAGGTCAGTTAGTCCATCGTGATGAATTCCACTAGAATTAACCACGATGGTTTCCAGAGGGAACCACATAGAAGTCGACCTGCGAGCGTTTATTGCTAACAATGAATCAGCTAAGTGACTCATAAAAATCGATATCCCAGGGTTAATAAAATATTCTTTTAATAAATAAAAATCATCCCCAAAAATGGAGTGGCGACCTCATGTGCATTGCAGGGAGTCTGTGAATGCACGTGGCTTAGAGCCGTTACTCATAGTAGACGATGGGGAAGCCTATGTTCAGCAGTGGACAGTTAATAGCTGATATGATGATAAAATAGAAACCTGCAGTCTGTGTAAGGGTAAACGGTCATTGTAACCTATAGACGCCTGCAACACTAAGGGAGTCAAGTGCACGTTGCCAACTCTATAGGAACCTTAATTAACCTATATTGAAGAACACTTTACTGATCGAATATATACAGTTACCCTATTATTATAAATCATGAAGGTTATTGTTCTATACTCACTGATGTATCCGTTCGCCACCAAACTCTTTTTCGATTAGTTGATCTATGTACAGCAATGAGCAGGATTTGTTGGAATTATCTTCACCAGCTGAGTTATCTAATCGGTTGAGCTTCAGTCGCCTGAAATAAATTAATAAGTTAAGTGATTTATTGTGAATTAAAATAACAGGTAAAATATTAGGTGATGGCGTATAGTATGTTTGTGTGAGTGAAGTATAGATGTAAGATATATTTGAATAGATTGATGTGTGGATTGTATGTCAGGATTACATATATTCCTTTATTTACCTTTATCAACAACATACAATAAATAGCTATAACAATAATTGTAATTCATGTACAATATAGGGGCTTAATTTACACATGCTACCTTACCATGCCCTTTTTTAGAAATAGCGTCGTAATTATAAATTTTCGGCACATACAAAACCAGACCGGGAAAATAGTTTAAATGCTGCCTTGTATTTGAAAGGGGGCGAGATTAGATCGCAGCGGGCGGCAGAGAGTATCCATACTGTATTTTAGTACAATTACTGTGTTTTTTTAATAGGTGATAATGATACAGTAACCCCACCTGTGCTATCGATATACACTGGCAGGGCACCAGTGGGAGGTGATAGGTGAGGAAGAAAACAGGTCACTTAGTCCATTCTGACGAATTCAACTAGAGTTAACCACGATAATTTACAGGGGGTAGGTCGAGGTCGACCAGACAGAGTATATTACTAGTAATGAGGCTATTTGACGCCATTAATAACAATCCCTTTCCCTCCTATTATACTGTGGTAGTAGAGAGCGTGGGCCCGGCGTGGTGGAGAGTAGATACGGACTGACCTCTTGTCGTAGAGCGTTTGTAAGGTGTGCGCGGGGTAGTGCAGGCGCGCGGTCCGGCCGTGCTCGAGCCGCTCGGGCAGCAGCCCCACCCGCAGGAACCACTGCACCACTTGGAAGTACAGCGATACTGTGCCGATGGCCTTGTACTTCTCCTCGATCTCGCTCAGGGCTGCAGGAAAACGCGGTCAATAATTACAATTGCTGTAAATCAATAATTTCCATATATAATTTTCTTTGTGACAGATAAGCATATGGCCCTTCTGATAGTAAACTGGGTTAGCATAGCCTATGGACACCTGTAGCATCTCATCATATAAAATGCTGCAATGATTCTATCCTTCATTCGTAGAAGATTGATGAGAATTGGACGAATTGAAATAGAGCAAATCCTTATTAAAAATAGAGACATATAAATTAAATTATTTCGCCAAATATCTGTGAAGCAAGCTCAAGTTATAGTCTCAAATAAGCCTCTTTCGATTTTCGTCACAATAGAGATAGTAATTAAAAGGCTTTACAAAATATTTGTGGCCAAATATAAAATGAATCAGTTCGATTTGAACCCTTTTAAAATAGTGATTATTTTTTATAGCTCATTGTTTTTCTTCATAACTTAAAACTATTTTCACATGATAATTTTAATATTTTTGTTAAGTGTGATTAGGTATAATAGAATTATTTTTATTAATTATTTAAAACTATGGGTTTTACACAAAAACCGACAATTTCATAAGAAAGAGGAGAAAAAATTACTATAAATGCAATCATTGACTTGTTCAATTAAAATATAATATTTAAAATAGTTTTTTGGCTCTCCTGAAAAGTGACCATTTTGAATTGAACCCTTTCTCACTAGAGGCACAGATATAATCTATAATCTGCACATAGTAGTCAAAATATAATAAGGTTAAACACTGTATTATGGAAATAATTTACGTAAAAACCATAATACGTAAAACATACCATCTGGCACTACGAGGCTGCAACACTTCGTAAGAACGGCGTCGAGAAGGCCAGTCAACTGCGTCAGTTGTTGAACGCAGTGCTCGAGACAACGTATTACATTTCTAAAAAAAAAATAAACAAATAGATTATAACAAGAAAAAAATATCATATTTATATATTGTATTTAAAAATATAAATTAAATATATATTAAAAATATAAAAAATATATACCTGTCAGGCAATGCAGAGGACACAAATAATGGCGCTGTCAGCTCCCTGGCGTTTTCTTTTAATTCTAAAGCTCGATCCCAACACCAATCGACCTAAAGAAATTAATTAAACTTAATTTTACATTTATTATCAGAATATTCATTAAAAAAATTAAATAATTATAAATAACATATAGAAAAAATTATTACAAAGCTAAATATATAGGAACTAATTTCATTTGACTCGTGTCTTCATTATAAAGCATCGTATAAACCAACTGTATAAACGTTAATAATCGCGTCTCTGTGCTACGGACGTTCTAGGTAGCTATATAATGTACGCCTGTGGAAACCCAATCACTAGGAAGGAAAGAGATCGCAGTCGATATCGGCGTACAAACACATTTATTTATTATTAACTACAGGAGTTATCGCACTCGCTGACAAAACTGAGGCAAAGAGGACCTCGTCGAGGCCTCCACCTGAGCCGTCATTGAAGTCTAAGACCTTTCAGCGTGATATAACTATAATATGGCTGCATGTGGTGAGCACCCACCAGGAAGTCGAGCGTGCAGCCGGCGGCCGCGTGCGTGTGCGTGCTCCAGTCGCGGGCCACGCGCGCCAGTAGCCGCGCCAGCCGTGCTTCCAGCGCCACGCACAGTAGAAAGCGCCGCTGCTGTTCCTGTTCAATCAATACAAATAAACTTCAATATAATAAGTCAAAGTTAATTGATAATTATAAATGACAAATATGTAGTACGTTTATTTTAACTAAATTTGTCTATAACACTTTTTTAATTTTATTAAAAAAAGATGTTTTATTTATAATTTGAAGTCTATGTGAGTTTAGTTCTTTGTTTCGTTCGCTTTTTTACTCCGTTGGTTTGCTTTGTATATTTTTTATATAATTATATTATCTTTCTAAAACACCGTGTTTTCATACCAGCATAGTCTTTTCGCCCACATTTTTGGTCCTTCGAGCCAGATAAAAATGTGGGCGAAAGGACTGTATGCCATATGTATAGCACAGGCGGGTTCACCATTTCATTATCATCCCTTAAAAAATCACACACACACTTGGGATTGAGCACCATAGATTCCAGGGGGGACCAGGTGAATGTTCACCTGATAGTGTATATTGCTAGCAATGGGACTGATAGTCTTCGCCCTCCCCCGCACCGTGTACAGTGTGGAGGTGTGTGGTAGTAGTGCAGAGTACCTGCGTACCAGAGTACACGCACCGTGTACAGTGTACAATGTATAGTGTGGCAGCGTGTGGAGCGTACAGTGGGGTACCTGCGTGGGGTGTGGCGGCAGGCGCTGCGCGGCGGGCGGCGCGAGGCCGGCGGCGCGCGCGGCGCGGTAGAGGGCGGCGGGGCGCAGCAGCGCGGCCGGGCCCGCCGCCGCCAGCGCGCCCACCAGCGCGCGCTGCACGCCCGCCGTGCCCACCACGCACCACTCGCTCGTGCTTAGGCACGCGCACTCTGCACACACGCACGCACACACACATACATACATACATACATTACTTCATTATTAAAAAGAAAATACAATACAACAGCTGTAAAGTTACATTTTTTTTTTACAACACGGGGCGAACGAGCATGCGGCTCACCTGATGGTAAGTGACTACCGCCGCCTACGGCATTGCAGGTGTGCTGCCGGCCTTTTAAAAAGGAATATGCTCTTTTCAAGAAGGCTTTGTTGTCGTATCGGTTCGGAAATACTGTTGCTGGAAGTTGATTCCAAAGAGTGGTTGTGTGTGGGAGAAAGTGCCTTGTAAAATGCACGATAGAGAACCGCCAATCGTCCAGATGGTTGGGATGAAATTTTAGTTTATGGCGGGTTGTACGATGGTGAAAATCAGCAGCAGGTATCAATCCGAACAATTCTTCAGAGCACTCCCCATGATAAATTCGTTAGAAGATGCACAGAGATGCAACATCTCTACGCAGTTTCAGTGGGTCGAGTCGGACAATAAGACGCCGATCGTCAACAATTTGAGCTGCCCGACTTTGAATGCAGTCTAACGGAAGGAGTTGGTACTGTGGCGCTCCTGCCCACAGGTGAGAACAGTATTCCACGTGTGGCCTCACTTGAGCTTTATACAGTTTCAGGCGGTGTTCCGGCGTGAAATACCGTCTCTCCCTATTGAGCACCCCCAACTTTTTGGAAGCTATCTTAGCTTTTTCCTCCAGATGACCGCAAAACTGGACGTCGCTAGATATATCGACGCCAAGAATCCCTAGACTCGACTTATTATCGAGGGAAGCGCCCTGAAAGTGAGGAGATACGACAAACGGCATCTTTTTTGCGGTGAACGCGCAGACTTGTGTCTTCTTAGGGTTGAAGTGTACTAGATTGCGTTCACCCCTTATCGAAACTTGATGGAGTGAAGTTTCGATTTCAGACACAAGTCTATTCCGGAGCTCAGCAGTATGTGCCCGCGAAATCTTTGCATGACCGGTGTATAATGTATCTCCTGTACTGTCGTCTGCATAGCAATGAATATTACTGATCTGTAACATATCATTGATATGCAGAAAAAACAGTGTCGGAGATAGTACACAGTACACAGAGATAGTACATACACAGTCTTGCGGGACACCAGCATTCACAGGTTTTAAATCAAAGCATGATGCTACGATCCTTGAGAAAGCTGGTGACCCAACTGCACAATCTCGCAGGCAACCCAAACGAAGGTAGTTTTGAGATTAGTGCCCTATGCCACACCCGATCAAAGGCTTTCGCAATATCCAGACTAACAGCTAAGGCCTCTCCCTTATTCTCGATTGCCACTGCCCATCGGTGTGTTAAATAAACCAAAAGATCACCAGCCGAGCGTCCCTGTCGAAAGCGGTACTGGCGATCACAGATCAGCTGGTGATCCTCTAGGTACCGGAGCAGTTGATGGTTAACGATTGATTCCATGACTTTCGAGAATAAGGAAGTGATAGCCATAGGCCTAAAGTTAACTGGATCTGAGCAGTTTCCTTTTTTAGGGATCGGATGTACCAAGGCAGTCTTCCAAAACTTTGGGACTATACCTGATGAGTAGCAGAGCCGGAAAAGACGCGTAAGAACCGGAGCCAACTCTGGCGCACACGTCTTAAGCACAATTGGAGGAATGCCGTCGAGCCCACTCGACTTATGGATTTCAAGGGAGAGAAGTGCTCTATGCACTGATCTTTGCGTGAATTACATACAAGAGGGCCACTACAAAAGTCGTTTACTTGAACACCACTGTCTCATTCGTATTTCTATCATGAGGCAGTTGTTTGCATGGCTGTATTTCGATTTGAAGGGTGGGGTATGGCAGTGAATTTACAGGGTACAGATAAATAACGCCCGAGTCTTCAGGAATGACAACGCATGAGTGTATCATGGGCGAAACAGTATACTCTGTTATGACCATGGTACTGCTCATGTCTATAGGTGACGGTTATCACTTTTCATCAGATGGACCGTCAGCTTATTTGCCATTCTAAGTTGCATACAAAAAATACATTAGAAAAAAAGGTAGTAAAAACAATCGATCAATCATTTATTTTGTGTATAATAAGTTTTTTTTATGATATGATGTGGTGGTAAAATATCTATTATCAATCTTATTGCCATACAAAATATTATTTAATTCTTTGCCTCAAAATAGTCCGAATACAAAAATACAGTAAAAAATTACGAACCATACTGCAGGGAATTGGGGTAGAAGTGTTCCTCAAGGCGCGTGGCGTGGTGGTAGGGAGCTACGGTGTCAGGTAGCAGTTTGACGTCCAACGCCGCGCCGCCGCCCGACAGTCCGGGCACCACCGCCGCGCTTAGGAATGCACAGCTTTCCACGCGTCGAGTTGCTACAAAACCCATTACAATTTTACAATAATCAATATCAGCAACTTCACATATAAATATTTGCTTAAACTCACTCATGAATAAAAATTATTATGTATGTCAAATTGATGATCCTATAAATTGTATAAAACAGTCGCTTCTTGCCGTCTATACATTTCAATATTTCAACTTACGCAATGTATTTTAATGTGGTTTTAAAGAAATGTCGAGAATTTTAAAGGTTTGTAATGTAATATTGGAGAAAACATATTTTAATAAAATTGTTCATTTTTACATCTATCTGAATGATGAACAAGATCTTGCATATACCATATGTCAAGGAGTTTACATATGACCCCCATTGGATTAATTATAATAGGTGTTTAACAATGTTTACTAGTAATAGTCAGTTAAACTCATAAAGTTACTAATATTGTTGCCAAAATACTGACTTTTGACAACTGCATCGTTTTTTCTTTTTGATATATTTTGCTTCTTAAAGAATCTACTAAGCAAGCTGCGTCAGTTAACTATTCCCTTTTCATAAAAAAAAAAAAAAAAAAAAAACTAATTGAATGAAATAGAAAATATTTTGTTTATATAAAATCAATTACCAGGCATCTGATCCTTATACCACTGATCCAAATCAAAGAGAAGCATGCCGTGTACTGAAGAGGAATTTGCATTTTCACCCCAACACTCCCAGACCAGCTGGCAGATATTTAACGTACCTGCAAACAATATACAAAATAAGTGAAATCAGGAAATAAATTAAAAATCTTCCAACACAATCACAAATAACATTAGAACTAGATAATACTTTTAAATTCTATATATTGTAAAATATATATGTATAACGTAGGTAATATGGTTATATGTATGTTATTTTAAAATTACTATTTTATTTTCTAATTAAATATTGTCGTTTATTTTTCTATTCAATTTGGTCATCACGTTGCACCATCAATTATATTTTCTGTTATTTCTGTCTTCGAACGACTGGTAGATAACGCCATGCAGTGTTAAGTTCGCCATTTACACTATATACGTCTATCAATGTTAAATTCATGAACTATGGGGAAAAAATAAAAATTATTCTAAACAAAAATGCTCAGCAGTTTAACTTATAAAGATTGAACTCTGAGGAATTGTTCGGATTGATACCTGCTGCTGATTTTCATCACCGTACAACCTGCCATAAACTAAAATTTTATCCCAACCATCCGAACGAGTGGCGGTCCTCCACCGTGCGTTTTTCAAGGCACTTTTATTCACGCACAACCACTCTTTGGAATCAACTTCCAGCAGCAGTGTTTCCGTACCGATACGACAACATAACCTTTAAGAAAAGAGCATATTCCTTTTTAAAAGGCCGGCAGCACACCTGCAATGCCGTTGGTTGTTGGTGATCATGGGCGGCGGTAGTCACTTACCATCAGGTGAGCCGGATGCTCGTTTGCCCCCTGTGTTGTAAAAAAAAAAAGATGAACAGTAGTTTACTTACTGTCTTCTCCATCATCTCCCATAGTGGAGTTTATGGAGTATGTGTTACATGAGACACATTTGCCACCAACCAAACATCCAGAATCTTCCATTGTGCTTAACTCTACTTGAAACCGTATTGTAGCCATTGTAAAATCCTAAAATATATTATAAAGATTATTATATGCATACTGTGTTATCCATGGTACTGATCATGTTTATAGGCGACGGTTACCACTTTCTATCAGGTGGGCCGTCAGTATGCTTGCCTTTCTAAGTTGCATATAAAAAAACTCCTCAAAGAATTTTTTCCTCAAGGAGTTATTTGTTACACATATTATATATTGTTTAACTGATAACAGCTTTACAGGGCATCTGAAGTACAAAAATAAATCAATAAATATGAAACTTACTTGATACAAACACTTAGTGTGGGAAAGCATTCTCTTGCCTTGATAAGTTAAGGAGTACATCACAGCAAGAGGAAATTCCTCCTCCTCAAACCTATCTATCACTGAAAACACGACCCAAAGGTAGCAAAACGCTCTAGGGTCATCACAGGGTTCCTGGAATAAAATTGATGATGGTAGTAATAGATGCATTTATAAAAAAAAAAAAACTATGCAAATTGTCTTTTAATTTTAAGAGATCCTTTAATATTTTAGATAAATCCTTGTGTCAAATGACACTGACACATCACATAATATATAATTATGTAATAATTAGTAAGTAGAGAAACAGATCCTACTAATTATAAAAATATATCTAAAATATAAAAAATACTACAATAATGTTGAAAGCACAGCCTCCACAAACAAAAAAATAAAAAATTGTTCCATACACAAATAGTTTCAAAAGTAGATATTTGATAATTATATAGACAACATCCACAGTGCAGCAGTATATACATTGTTTTGTGTAACAAGGTCGCCAGTTCGATTCCCAGTCAGACCAATTAAGGATTCTTTTTCTAAATTGGCTCCACTCTTGATGTTCTGAGTTGTGACTCCAGATGTTTATTCCACGATTTTATTTATTATTACAATTATTATATTTAATAGTACATATAATACACCCTTTAAATATTTTGTATCATTTTGAAAAATTGACATAAATTTTACTTTAGGTTTATTAATGTATTTCTCATTTCAGCCGCCTTGGTAAAACAGTTTAACAAATAATTGTGAAAAAAAGAAAAAGTTACCTGAAAACCGAAATGAGTGACTGGCAAGCATTCAACATTGACTTGTGACGTAAATTCTAATTCCATGGTAATCATGTTCCAAATCTGGAATGCTCCAAAATTATAGCCAACTGCCAAACTCGCTAACTGTGGTATATACTGAAGCACAGTTACTCTGACATGGTCTCGTTTGGCCTTCATCCGGATTGTACCGTCTGGATTACGGAATAAATACTGTCCATCCATTAAGGAGTTCTCATTTAGTAACACTGCTATATGATCATCATTCTCAAGGGCTATGTCTCGTTGTTCTTCGAGCCTGTGTGCTGAACTTAATGACAAAAAGGTTAAGTTGGCGGGATTCTGTTCACCTTGAATCAGATGTTCATAACCCTGTGAGATGTCTTTTAATGCTGTAATGTGAAAAAATATTTATATGATTATTTATGTTACATGAAAAATTAATTGGATAGATATTAGATAGGTAAATTATTTATTTACCATTACAAGCACATCATTTATGAATTTATAAGTAAAACAAAAATTTATAGGTAGTTTATGTGCCTCTAAGTGAAAAGGTATCCAACTTAGCATTAAGATGCAGAGAATCCATAACGCTGATATTTTACTGGTACCTTATTACTTTTAGAAAGATTCAGCAATAGTAAATCTTTAACTAGCTTTTGCTGACACAACTTTAAATTTTAATTGCCATCAATGCTAATTCATCATCATCCTTGATATTTTGACCATTATCTGTCCACTGCTGAACATGGGGGAGGTCATAGTCTACCATTCTATGCTAATTGTGAAATAAGAATAGAAAATTTTCTTTGAGGTTTCAGAGGGAATAGATGTGTAGTGGTATCATTTATAAACTCAATTTGCACTTTACAGACAGATATGTTGTGACCTCCAGGGTTTAAAATATGTGTTATCTAGCCTGGGAATAAAGTGATATGATTTAACCTAATAAACACTTTATAATAGTTACCTTGTATTAGACAAGCTCTATTGAGATCAAACACAAATATCTCTCCATTTTTGGTTCCAGCCATCACAACACCATCAAAACATGTGAAGTAGCCATCAGGGATCCCATCACTTACAGCCAGTTGGGTGATTACAACCTCGCTCTGTATGCAACGCAATACTTGAGATCCATTTACATGGAATATGCAGATCATGCCAGTACCATCTTCACATTGTAAACTGATGAGGAGTTGCTGAGAGTTGTTAGTTATTGGTGATGGAAGCTCCACTACACTTGTTACAATTATATGTGAATTGCTGTAGGAAAGAATATCAGTTATGTAATGTTTCATAGCAAACAAGTACATTTTGCTTTGCAAATAAAGTATTTCAATTATAAAAATACACAAAAAAGTTGTGCAAATCCGTTTAGAATTAGTTACATAATAGACATAGGTCAAGAACATAATCAAAAGAAATACATGTAAAGCTAGTAACTTATTATATTTATTTAAATTAATATTATATTAAAAAACTTACATTTTTTTAGTAATGGATTTTTTTTAATATAATTATTTGGAAAAAAATTAAAATTGGTTAATATCAATTTAAAAAATCTTTTACTTTTAGCAACATTATCAGCCAATAACAAAGTCAATATTTTATTTTTATAAAAAACCAAGCAAAGTCTGATCTTGTTACTAGTAAATATACATACATTATGAAACAATTCTAATAGCAATGCAGGTAACAACAACAATTAAGTTACACAAAAATATATATGTATTATGTTTTATATAGATTATATAGACCAAAGGCATTATTTTAGAAGCATTTCTTTCTTACCCATATGGATTTCCAAAAATTTTTGCAGCAATTTTTAAACCAGTTCTAAGATCCACAACACAAAACTTGGGGCCAAGCGCCAGCCAGCCATGCTTGGTGTCATTTAATATACCTCCTAATGGTGTATAATTTTCTGAAATAATAAAAAAAGTATATAAAATAAATTCAAATTTTAATTAATTCATCATTATCATCATGTCAGCCATTAACTGTCTACTGCTGAACATAGGCCACCATAAAAGAGGTTTTACTAGTAGTTGCCATGCTTAATATTCAGGTTATCAATTGCAGTTAGGCTTTATGCTATTTTAAGAGGGGCACAGCTGCTCATTTCACAACCGTTAAGTTCTCTTAGTTGCCTCTTACAATAGCCATGGAGAAGGGAGAGGTGGCCTATTCTATGCCAGGACCTCACAACAATTTTAATAATTAATTCCTAATTATATTATAAAGTTGAAAGCGAGTTTTGTTACTTCTTGGTGCTATAAGCTAAGAAATCATAAAATTTGATAAGCAAGTATGGAGTAAGACACAGGCTACTACTTCTTGGTCAATTAATACATCCCAGTGATGTGGATTAAAAGAGGTAAAAATGAATAAATAATGAAACTAAATAATAAAGCAAGCCAACAATTATTATTATTATAATCAGAAATATATATAATATATGAGAGATATAATACCCTTGTTTCAAGAGTGGCAATGCTTAAGAAATCTGTCAGCTTATTTTGATGTCTTTTAAGTCAATAGGTTGAGGAAATTTCTTAGAGGCACACCATGAATGTGTTTACTCAAAATATTTGGATATACATTTTTTATATACTTTTAGCTGTATCTGTATGCTCTGCTCATGTAAATACACACATAAAATTTCCTGTATGCTAAATTAGAATATAACCTACCCATGTACATTTCATTTATCATATCAATTAGTAAAATTAATTCAAACCCGTTCAGAAGTTTTTTTATGTGAAATATTAACAAACATGCATCCATCCATTGTTACAAACTTCTATATTTATTATATTAATAGGATATAAAAAACATATAATATCTTGCTTTATAAGTCTTTTTATACATTAGATATACAAATATCTACAGCAATTTATATTACTGTTATTTAATTTAACGGCCTATTATCAATTTCTAGATAAGGATGTTCGTTAATAACAATATACATACAATAATTACTGTTATTAGGTTTAGCGCGGGAAAGAGTCTAATTTACATTACATTATGATTATTAATTAAATTTAAATAGTATTCTTACTAATTTTAAAGCGTTTTATAGCTCTAATCTTAACTGCAAACATTAGATTACTAAAAGTATTTACCATGTAAAAATTTTAAGTCATGCATTGAATGTAAAAAAGGAGACGTTGACGTGATCATAATGATATACGATCGTGAAATGGATTACACTATTTTTAAAGATGTTGTCATTAATCAAACATACCCGGACTATCTTCCGAAGGCTGTAGAAAATTAAATACAGCAGGCGAGAGACCAGTTGTTTTGATTACAGAAAATACGCTATCTTCGACTTTTTGCATATCTAACGATTGCATGTTATATTTATCAATAACAATATACGTTTAAATAATAAGAAACAAGTGAGGTTATAAATTCAATAATGAAAAATCATTTCGAAAGTTTGTCAAATTGATGGGTTATTTAAAAGCGATATTATTATTATTTGAAATTACAACTACAAAGAAAACTTTAATAAATAGGACACTTTCAAATACACTTAATTTATTTTGAAAAATAACAATTAAAGAATGTCGGTACGGAAAATAACAGTATATACGCGCGATAGTATACTCTTGTTTAGTCGTTTGACATTGACGTTTCCATCATTGACAAGTGACAACTTATGCACTGACGATCATGATTCCCGACAGAGAAAAAATTATAATGTTATAATGATTAACTATAACGATTATACTATATTTGTTTAATAACGGTTTATTATAGTCATTACTTTAATATAAAGGTAAAATAATAAATACTCAGGATTATTACCGCACTTTACTTTATATTGTCGTATGTGTGCGTATATCACATGCATATAATATACCTTAAAATATATATACCCTTACACCTTAGTCTGTCACGGATTCTACGTGTATAGGTACTTACTACTGAGAATAAAATTAAAGCCACTTGGAAGGTAATTAATAGCGAAACCGATATAGTAAAAGCTTATGATAACAAAAATATTTTAAATATTAATAATAATACTGAAGTTGCAGAAACTTTGGAATCTTTTTTTTCATATGTATATATATCACTAGCAACAACTCTATCTTAAACCTTGATTATATAGATAGAATGTCTCCTTAGAAATGTTTCGAGAAAAACGGGTCAACTTTTTCACAGAATTTTGCGCGATAAATAGTTATGAGTGGGAGGGAAGGGATTGTTAGTAATGAGGATGTTAGTTCTCATTGCTAACAATATACCGTATCAGGTCGACCTCCACGCGGTTCCCTCTGGAAACCATCGTGACTATTATTGAATTCGTCACGATGAACTAACTGCCTTTTCATCCTCATCATTCATCCCTCACTAGTGCCCTGCCAGTGTATACCGATAGCACAGACGGGGTTATCATTCCATTATCATCCATAAAAAAATAGTTATAAGTGGGGGGAAAGGGATTGTTAGTAATGGAGACTAAGAATCTCATTGCTAGCAATATACCAAACCAGGTCGACCTCCTCATGGTTAATTCTCATCATTCATCCCTCACTGGTGCTCCGCCAGCGTACCCCGTTAGCGCAGGCGGGGTTACCATTCCATTTTCACCCATCAAAAAATAATAGTGTTGAGTGATTCCTTTATAATTTCTATATTTATTTTGTCTTATAATTTTTGCATCTATTATTAATTTATGTAGACGTAAGTATATAGAACACTGATAAAAAAACGTATTAGCTAATTTGGCAATTAGCTGAATTTTTATTCATTTACTATTACGTTTAAAATTTATATTGATTGGAATTTCAAATAGATACCTACCTACCTCGTAAGATACCTATATATATATATATATATATATATATATATATATATATAGATAATACTTTAGTGTCTATGTGCCACCTTGTGCGTAGATAAGCGTTAATTTTTAATTGTTAATGTGTTAATTTTTTCATTAATCACATTCTTTAATAACTGGGTAATTCTGCTTAAATATTTTTATTTTGGTAATGTATTATATTTAGAAAGGATAGGTTTATTTAAAGAACCATATATATTTTATATTTTATTTACATTATAATGACATATATAAAAATAATAAAATATAATTATTTAATTAAATAGTTGAAATATAATTTTAAAATATAAATATATATTTGCAATTCTCTTCATGTTACATAGGTACTGTTCTGCTTGGATTATATTATCGAATAATTGTTGAATCAGAACTAAATGGAACCGTTTTGTTAATTTTCTCTCGAAATGCCAAGTCACTACAAACTGCTGACTGTTTAATTTTTTAACAGAATATGCTTAAGTATCTATTAAAAGTTCATAACACACAACAATATAATTCACAGCCGAAAAGGCAACACCTAAAATAGTTATAATTATATTGTATACTGGAAGGTATATAGGCGGTTTCGCCCCGTTTCTTAATGGGTACCTAGTATCGGTAAACTTTTATTTAAACTGACAATCTCTGTGCACCCTATACGTAATCATTATGTTCTCTTAAAAAAAGAGCACACACATCTAATAGACAGCAGATGCCATGCGTTAGGCTCGGACAGGACTACATTAAATTATTTGTATTCCATAGTCGAGAAAGTTATTGCGTGACTGCTGGTTTTATTATTTTTCACCATAAAGTAAAATCTATCTTCGATTCTGTAACATATTAATTTAATTTTCCCAATAAAAGGTTAATTCTAAATTATTTGAGCAAATCCGACCTTTTACTGCGATTTACAGCTTTTACTGATACATCAACTGTATTTTTATTAATCTCATTAGCATGTGGATGAATTTTGATCTGCCCTTGAACTATATTCATCATAGATGTGTAAGGACTATCAAGAGTTTGACCATGTAAGGAATTTTCTGTAATTGTCCTATTCTCAGTGCGAACGTTATCATAGACAGAATTTTTCATAGAGATATAAGTTTCGTTATTTTGTTGTTGTTTGACAGTGGAGCTAACTCCATTATATGTTACAGCTGTGTTATTCGATCTAGATGCCATGTTAATGCTTTCATTGACTTTCATAATATCACTATTTATGATTGATTCAGTATCTATCAAGCTATTTCTATTAACTTGAACACTGTTTGATTTAGATGCATTTCCTAAAGAATGAAGCGTTGATGAGCTACCATTCCAACTATCCATTTCTTTTGAAAAAACTTCTTCACTTCTTTGTATTCTTTGAGCATGAGCTGTCAAAGGCGATGGTTGTAGCTGCATAGACGAACCTCCTAAAGATCTGCTAGGGGAATGTTTAATGGAGCTTTCAACTGATGTAGATTGTTTGTTTTCCAGTTTACGTGATGTCGTTTTTGTCGTATTAACTTTAACTTCCATTGATCCGTAAGCACTGTCTTTAGTAGAGCTATGGGAGGATATATCTTCTTTCACACCATATCTTCTGACGACGTTTGCTGGAGCAACAGGTTCTATGTTTTGTACATCATAAGATAGAGGATTTTTTTCTGTTGTAGGATGTTTTATACCCTCAACAACTTCTCCAGTTCTTGGGTTAATATGTTTTTCGGTGTCATATCTGAGTGTCACCCTGTGACTTTCATCTATTGGATGTGGTCTCGATCTGTCTTCAAGTTCAACATCACTGTCATCATAGACACTTGGTTCATAATTACTCTCCTCCTGTAATAGAAAGCAAATACAATATGAATTGTAATTAACTAAATAAAAAATAATACAAGTCTGATCAAAATGTCATTGAATCTGCTTGATAAAAAAGGTTTCCATAGAGATAATTTATTCTATTTTAGAAATATTCAAAAGTAAGTTTTACCAGAGGGAGACTTTGTACAGAAGTCGTTTACTTGGGTACCTCTGCTCCATTCGTGTTTCAACCGTGAAGCAGTTGACTTTGCATGGCTGTGTTTCTGTTTGAAGGGTGGCATATGATAGTTAATTTACAAGGTATAGAGGAATAACATGGGCGAAACAGTATACTCTGTCCATGGTACTGCTCATGTTTATAGGCAACGTTTACCACTTTCAATCAGGTGGGCTGTCAGCTTGTTTGTCATTCTAAATTGTATAAAAAAGTAACTCTTACTAATCCTTCGGTATTTCTGCATTCGTCGTTATAACAATTAGCATACATATATGTAGCATTTGGCATGCGGAATATTTTTATCATGGTAAGTAATATTTTCCCGTTATGGTACACACACAGTTAAACTGATAATAGTATAATTAAGACACCTACCTCTTCGTCTACTTCCTCAATAACACTATTTTGTATCCACTCCCTTATTCTTTGTTTTTTAACTTGTCTATCAACTGTAGTTTCGATTCCATTATCACGAAAGTGTTTCAAAAGTATATTTTTCTCATTTGGATCACTATGAAAACTATACATAGACGGACATAATTCATCAATATCACCTCCAGCTGAAATAAAATATAAAATTTGTTTGTTAAATAAAATTAACTACTTTTAGTTTCATAAATTATCCCTCAACAATCAATTATCCTTAAATAAGATAAAATTATTATCGATAATACAACATATATTTATTTGAAAATAATAATCGATATTTCGAAAGTTTTAGTATATTATATTTATACTTCTATATATAGAGATTACAGCATGGGGTTCTTCAAAAGGGGGGTATAGAGGTTTCTTCAGGGTCGGCAACGCGCGCGTAATACCTCTGGTATTGCAGGTGTTCATAGGTTACGGTAACCACTTACTATCAGGTGGGCCGTATGCTTATTTGCCACGTCAATGCTATAAAAAAAACTTCTATATGATTTTACTAATAATTAAAATCTCACCAACTCTATCTGTGTAGCCTTTTGCCATCCACCTGTCATCCAAATAACGTGAAAGTTCTTGAAAGTTTGTGGCTCTTCTAAAAGCTCTGGGTTCAACAAATTTCTTAAACATTTTTTGGGCTCTTGATGAAACCATTTTCCATAACTTTGGCTGTTTTTTCAGGGGATTTGAACTACTGTACCAATTATAGTAGCTAAAACAAGAAAATACGATTATTAAATATTTTTCTGTAGAAACAGAATATAAAATTATATATTTTTGCGAGAAAAAATATTAATATCATTTAATATTCGTACTTCGTGGCTAACTGTACGTACCTAGTATACCTAGGGTCATCAAACGCAGCCTTTTGCCAAGGCAAACACCCAGTCAGGCAAATGAAAATAACTATACCAAATTGCCAAACATCGTGTGTAATTAGTGCTCTGAAAGTAAAGAAACAAATGGGTATGAGTTATGTTTGACATTGTATACACATTCTTGGATTTGTTTATGATGACTATGGTACAAATGCTTCTACGCAGATGTTTGTTTAGGCAATCTGAAAATAAAGTATAAAATCAATGTTATTTATAGTAACAATTTGTAGGTGGTTATAAAGAGGAGAACATTAGATACATTTGGGTTTGCAAAACCTTGGTTACATAATAGTGTAGGTTTAAAATTTGACTTATAAAATTTCCAAAGTGATGAATAAAATGTGGAATGAGCTCCATGCCTAGACTAAAATGTGTGGTTCTTCAAAAAGGATATATTAAGGTTTCTTCAGGGTCGGCAACGCGCATGTGATACCCTTAGTGTTGCAGGTGTCCATAGGCTACAGTGACCGTTTACCATCAGACGGGCTGTATGCTTGTTTGCCATCTTTGTAGTGTTAAAATAAATATACTGTATATTTTGTGGACTCTTTTATATTACTGAAGTAGACCTACGTTACTACACTTGTCAGGTCTTTTTCCAACATAAGACCTGACATAACTTAGGGAAAACCAGAGACTATAATTTATTTATTTATTATTACGTATTTATATTATATTGTTATCTATTAAATATCATTCAGGCGAAGGTATTCATCTGTTATGGCAATAAAGATAAAAGCTATATATTTAATTTTGTTCCACAAAACACGACATCCGTTAACGTAAAAACCAGCTATTTAATTTAAAAAAATAACTAGACCGATTTTGTAAAAATTTGTATGGGACCAATCTGTAAGTATATCTATTCCGATAAATAAGAATTTTCCAAATCTGTTTACAACAAACAGTTGTAAAGAAATGAGATTGTGTCAAAAATATTTCATATTATAATTTTACGATAATCTTGTCATTAAAAGAAACATCGATTTTCTATTCCTCGGAGTGGTAACGAAAATTTCGCAACTTTCTATTTCGAGATACTGTTAATGAGTGAAATATATTTTCAGCTACGAACTAAATTTAAAACTTTACATAAAAATCGAAATTAATGAATCCTCACTTGTAACTACTGTCCACTGTTAGTGTCAAAACTTCAGGAGGTGAATACGGTAACCACTCATTTCTCCGTCGAACAACAGACTGCACTTTTCTCGTCTCCCCAAAGTCACAAAGTTTGATTCTTGAAAAATCCGATTTGAAAATGAGTATGTTATCAAGTTTAACATCTCTGTGTACTAATTCTCTTTGATGGAGATGTTCTAATGCAGCAGATAATTGTTTGGCAACTCTTTTAGTGTGGATTTCTCCAATTCCAGTATCAAGCATATTTGATGTTAAGTCGCCTGCAATAATAATTTTCATTATTTCATTCCATGTTTCAATAGATGTTTTATTTATTAAAATAATATTAGTCAATCAATTTGGATAACTAATTCGTTTAAAGTTTACATATTAAAAAAACATTGTATTGCAAGCCAATATAAATATGATACTAATAACGGCTGGCACTGAAAATGTGCTAGATTTATATCCATTCAAACCACTTTGTTGGCAAGCGTCCAAAGCAAAATGTATGAAAAGTAACCAATGTAAACTGAGTAATAGTTTAAGAACACAACATACAAGCAGGCATGTATATACATAACGAAAATATAAGATTGCATATAAAATAAACACATAGCTTACCTAAAGGAGCATATTCCTGACAAAATACATAAAATCCGGCTGTTTCAAAAGCAACATCGAAAGTGGTAACAATATTTCTGTGTGCACTTAAATGAAGACTATAATGGAATTCTCTGTAAAAATCTCTTATTGATACATATGGCTTAGGTAAAGCTTTTAAAACAATTTCTGTATCGGAAGCCCTGTGTTCTACCAGAAGAATTTTTCCAAACCATCCTTCTCCAACAATCTGTAGTATATCAAATTCTTCCACTAGGCATACCTGTAAGAAAATATTTTCTTATGACTACGAGCCTATATTCGTTATTTAAAATATCTTATATAAATATCAGAATTTACCTAGTTTATAAAACAATAAAAAATGTTTTAAAAATAATGTTTGTTTTTTTTTTTATGTAAAAGCGTGTTTCCATAGTCTTACCTTTTCTAATTCGAATTCTTTTATTTTATGTATTGAGCCTGTCAAGGCTCTTCTGGTTCCGTTATTCATATCTATTTTGAATATAATGCATCCATTGAAACTGAAATAAAAATTGAAATATAAGCATAGGATTAGTTGTAAAATGTACCTACTGACCCGAAATTTTGTGAAAGTGTTTTATGATACTGAATTATTTTAACCACGGAACCTTGTCGAACTATGAACACATGTTGATAATGTAACATTGAAATTTGTGTGAAAAAATATTAGATATTTTGTTACTAGCTTTTACCTAGTTATATGTTTACTGATCGGGAGAAAAAGTATATTGTTCCTGTTTTCTTCTCCATGGCATATAGTAAATGTATACCAAATTTCAAAAGTATTGATTAAGCCGTTAAGATAACAAATAAACAATCAGACTCACTTTCACATATATTAGTAAGTAAGGATTATCCATTTAATGTTCTCATATTTCGAATTTGTCTACTTCTCATATTAGGGTACCCTGTATTATGAGGTTTTAGTCAACGAATATCTAGGAGTACAACTAGATAAGATATTACTTTTTATAAATACTATTGTACGTCGTTATTCATAACTTTCACAACTAATCCTGTGAATATCATTTGACCTATTGCCCTGACATAATTCAGTTATTTTCTGAAACTTAACTGTTACGGCCAGTTAAAAACGTTCTCATTTTCTAAAGAAACAGTTGAGTGAATGATCTTGGATTATTGCCAAAGATTGATGTCTACTCCAGATCCAGACGGCAGTCCTGACGTCATATTGTGACGTCACATTTCGTCTCATCCTCAATGTATTGTATTGTAATATATTCAGAAATTTTCTCTTTGGGTGATATCATATTTGTTTATATCGGTGAGTCTTACTACTGTTCCTTAATTTTAAGAACACGATCAAAGTTACATATAGATGCTCATTTGTGATACTTATATATGTTTATTATCTATATAATTTATATCTACGTGACCGAGATATAATTGTCCCTTATTGATGTATTTAATATTATTTTCCAGGGTGGATCTGGCCCTTAAAGGTGCATCTTATACTCACTAACATATCTTTACGCATAGTTAATAGATTTGCTCGCATCCTGCAGGTGACAGCAGATAATTTTGGGGTAGGCTGTGTCTACTCTAGATTTGAAGAAGCATACATAGAAAAAGAAAATTGAATGGGAATGCCAAATCCGAAATCAGAACATAATAAGAGGTATCTTAAAACGCGGGATTTCGTAGGGTTAATAGATAAAAACTACAAGATGTATATTATATCAGGTGGAATTACAAAAAATATTGCGACGGGTCTAAATGACACAGAAAAGCAGTTCTTAATACACAATTTCCGTTTTAGCTTATCTTATATCGAAGGTGGAACTAAACCAAATTTCCAAATTTAAAACGTAATTGGCCACCTAATTATCCGATAGTTTAGTTGGATATTGTTTATATTTGTTAAAATTTAAGATCATAAATACTAGATAGGTACGATTTTTTTTTCCAATTATAATAAAATTTTATAAAGCTAGAACAGAACTCGTTTGTTCAATTATTTCTTTTGGGGAAAATTTTATAGGTAGGCTGAAATAAGTAATGAAGCTAAATTATTAATATTTAGAATTAATTTTTTATTACATTATCATGAGAAAAGTGTTAAATAGATAAACAAAGAAGAAGGGAGGAAAGATGCAAGCGACCCTTGACATGTCTACGAGTACATAATTATATGCCTTATTAAGGAGCAGGTATTTCCTTTAAAATAATCTTAAATACGCTAATGATTATACTATTAATATACTTGACATTATGTCAGATCAGTTAAGCTTGATAATGCACAAGAGGTGTACCTACCTACAGTGTATTCCGAAATTTGTGATCAAGTAATTTGAACAATATTAAAAAGTTTACTGCATACTACATGATTACAGTTTTATTCAGGATTTGTAAAAACAAAACATAAAATGTCGTTCTTTATTACTTATAATCCAATTTGTTCGTCATATCTTCCTTACGTATCTATTATTTCTCAAGATAAAAGCGAAAGTAGATAGCGAAAGTGTCAATAATTATTTCTTTGGAAGCCTTAGGGAAATTCACTTTTTATTGTAAAAAAATACTACATTGAAAGTTGATTCAATAATTTAGTTTACACGTACACTAATACTTAATATAAAAATATAAAAAAAAAATACACTCAGAAAATCAAAGAGCCGTCTCGAGTTTAAAGGAAGAGAACTGGAGAGAATATTTTGATTACAGAAATTTCAATTGATCTCTTATGAATTAAGCCTTAATTGAGTAGATCCTATGCGCCACAATTTTTATATATAAATATACATGTACAGGCACACAAATTATATCTTTCTCTATTTATCTGTAGAGCTCTGAAAGTAAATTCTTTTAAACATGACTAATTACTATAGAGTTTAATTATATAATGTGATTTTACTATCGTAGATGTAAGCTAGTAGTATTTTATTATTTATTATCTTTAGTGTAAGTTTCTTACTTACACTGAGAGGTACGTGTTGGTTCATTAAAAAAAAATTGTCGCTAAGGTAATAAGACAAGTTTACCTAACTAAATGTTATGGCATAAATATATCTATTCAGACATATGATTTAATGTTGCCTTCCAAAAAAAACTATGACGAGATTATAACTCTATTAATGACCCATATAGGATGAGTCCAACCTTATATCGGTAACTTACTACGGGGGAATAGTATAATAGGTGATTTTTAAAATCTAATGTACTAAACAATAATTAGAATCATACGTGGAAGTTACCAGAGATAAAGGGCCGGCGCCCTTAGACGAATAAGGTTCACAATACACTTGGATCAATTCCAGCACCAAAATAATACACTTTGAAGTCACATATTAATTGTATGTACCGTACAACCACTAAATTATAATTATGTAAACTTATACACTTTTCCAGTATGGAATGAGCCGAAATACTCGTGAGGTGAGATTAATAGGGTAAGACGAACGGGTTAGGTGTTCGGCGCTGATGTTTGAACTGGCGGCGCGTACGCAGCGACTCCCGGGATGCTATTTTTGTGCTACTGCACATACAAAAATCAATTCGTGACGGAAATGTTACGATCAACGACCTGGTAAGTGAAAATTACTGTACATTGCCAGTTACAGATGTTAATTAAAAATTAATGTATATAAGCCTTAGATATAAAGTTATCTGAAGATACCTAGAATTTTTTGAAAGGCAGACATTTGGAATTCTATTCTATTGTACCTAAAGTAGAAATATGATAGGAAATTTACAGGTTACAAAGGAATAATCTTATAAGGCATTTCAGTCCTCACTCTTTTGGAATGGCAATGTCTGATGAATAATTGAATACTATTAGCCGTGTGGTTCCAGCATAGAATAGGCCACCCCTTCCATTCCCGAGGGTGTAGTAAGAGCCGACTAAGAGAGGACGAGGGATGGGCAGTCTATCTTAAAACATCTCTAAAGCCTAACTGCGGTTGCTAATCCGCTTGCTAAGCGTGGTCTATATTCAGCAGTGGTCAGTTAAAGGCTGATATGATGATGATGATGATAATGATGATAATGATTGATATCATAGTATATTTTGTAATGCTCATAATGGTGTTCACATCTACAGGTTATTACTTTCAACAAGTGGTCTGTTAGTTTATTTATCGTTCTAAGTTATATAAAATAATATAAAACGAATGATTTCTTAAGATGTGTGTATACATTTAGAGAAATTTATATAAACATATGCTTTTTCTTTTACATTGCTAAATGGTTGAACTGGCTTTGCTAAAATTTTGTTGATATGCGCATCCTCTGAATTCAACTGAAAAACATCTTTCGGGGGATGAAGTAATCCCATTGCTAGCAATATACCCTATTAGGTTTTACCTTGAAACCATCAGTACTATTGTGGAATTCGTTATTACGGGCCAACTGACCTGCTTCACTCTCACCTATCATCCCTCACTGGTACGCCGCCAGTATATACCGATGGCGCAGGCAGGGTTACTATTCCATTATCATTTATTAAAAAAACGGAAATACCTAATTCATTATTAATTAGGTAATTATTAAAATCAGATCGCAAGGTATATATGATGGGATGATTGGTAAGAGGAACTGCTTTAGTATGTCAAAGAAGATGCTAGCAAGGGTATAAAATCAAATTTTGCATGTTTTGATTAATATTTTTAGTCACATAAAATAAACGGATACGTGACACTTACAGTTTTGTAAATGCCCATAGGTTTCAGAGACCGTTTACCATAAGACGGGTTACCACCTTCATGGTATAAAAAAAAGAAAGAACAAAAATTCACCTGCATAGATACCTTTGTCCTTTTCGTGTTTCTACAAATTGGTGGTTATTTATGTTTAGGTATGATGAATGAGATATTATAATCAAATTACCGAGTATTATAGGATACAACCTTTGTTTTCAGGAATGATAATAAATAATGGGTACCATAGTCATCACAAATAGTTTAATCGACCTTGTAGCGCTGTTTATGTTTAAAGGCGACGGCTAATATTTTCCATCAGGTGAACTGCCTATTTATTATTAGCTATTTATTAGCTTATTTATTTGTCATTCCTAGTTGCATACCTATACAAAATGTTTTGTATGGGAAATTGTTATATATACATTTCCAATCCATTTCAACTACGACGGTTGTTAAAGTAGTTACAAATGATAGTATATTAATAGTAAGGAAATATTACTTTTTATTTTTAATTGGAAAATTATAACTAATACTTCAGGGATGACTCTGTTTTTTATAAATAAGCGTTCTTAAAACGCTTCCTCGCTAAATAATTTATGTTTTGATCTGCAATTATTAGTAACTTCATAGTATTAGCTATTAGTAGTTTCCTTGTATTTAAGTACTTATTAGCTTGAAACAATTGAGAGATACATTCGTACATATCTAATTTATTTTTGGACTTAGCGAGTTCCTAGACCTCATCGTGGCATATCGCCAATAATACTGCGCTTAATTATTATAATTGTATGTTTTATTCTAATTATAAAGTTTTGTCCTATGAGTCACGGTGTAGAGAACAATTTTGAACTACATAATTTTTGAATGGATTAAGAAACAGTAACCTTGCATTACTAGTTCACGCTATCGCGGTACCAGCGAGAGAAGTTAGATGAAGTTGAGTTAGTCCATGTGAAGAATTACGATGATTACTAAGGGAACTGCCCCTACAGATCCATCGGTATTTAGATCATAGACTTAATATAATTTACTAAGATTTAGATCCACTGCTAGCAATATAAGGATATTGCTAATAGTGAACCTATTGACGTTATAACAATCTCTTCTTCTTTAATAATATTTGTAAAAGAAATCCAAGATTATACGTATTCATACACTAGCTGTGTCCGCGACTTTGTTCAGGTGATTAAAATAATAGGTAGGTAATTCGTGAATATAAAATTTTCATATCATAAACATAAATAATCATTATTTATGTAAAAAAACAAATGACTTAGTTTTACATTTTACAATATTAGTAAGGTTTACATTTTTCTAATGTAGCTATTATTCTGTACCTATGTGTTTCTTCTATCAATTGAACAATACCTAGATATAATTAACAATAATATATAATACTTTGTTCGTAAGCTCGCAGACTAAAAGGTTTCAGTTATTTACAGTAGTATTAGTTTACAGTAGTCATCACTGTAATAATTTGAATTTTACCTTTTAGAATACATATTATTGATCAAATTTCTCCAAGAACATATTCATATCTACCTAAATTGTCAAAATTAATATGTACCAAAACTATTAGTAGTCATAATTGATTTAGGTTTTTTTTTTTTCGTACCGTTTTTGCTGTTGGTCGCAGATGGCCTTTACAGCTTCACCGGGCGCGAATTTAGGTACTATTCAAATTTTACACTGATTAAACTGATCTCATAATTACCCAGTTTCAATAAATGATTTAAAGTTTATTTTTATAATAATTCGAATATATCTTAGGGAAAGTTGTCGAAGTAATGATTTTTAGAAATGTAAGATCCTTAGATTAAGACGGGGAAATGAAATAAGTGTATAGAGTGCCGATTTATTTTAAATAATTTTTTAAAATTTTACTCAAGGAATATCAAATCAATCGATCCATTGTCAAAAAGTCGTTAATAACGACCTAGTATACTTGCATTATACGTTATAAATAACCAAGACGTAGTTATAACATACACGTTGCGCACAAACACACGACCTTTAGTTTATATAGATAGAGTGTTTCCATACAAATGCTTCGAGAAAAGAGAATAAATTTTTTAACTAAAACTAAACTTTATAACTTCCATATTTATTTTGTTTTATAATTTTTGCAACTTTTTAATGCGTAAAAACTGATTTTATTTATTAAATAATCAAATATAGATACATCAAGGTACATAATGTGCATAAGTATATAGAACAATAATAAAAAAGAGCCAGCTAATTTTTAAATTCTCTATTTATATAATTAATACAAACTTATTAAATTATAACATAACACTCTCCTAAATAATGTTTGTCGTTCTGTTAACGTCAAATATCTATTAACTTTAATCTTTTCTCCTTTTGTATATGTCCTAGAAAAAATCTAACAAGAAAATAAAAATATAATATTTCCTTTTGATATTTAACTACCATAAACTATTTCTGAAAAATCCATGGTATAGATAATCAACGAACACGTACAAGGAATTTTTTTTTTATTACCCATAAAATTAAGTGTATTTACAACAGCAAAAATCTAAACAAAAACATACATAAGAGCCCCGATGGAGCTATAATTAAAAAAAAATAGGTAAACAACCCAGGCTATGTCACTATGAATAAAAAAAATGCATATGAGGTATGCGACCAATTTATTTAATTTGAAAACTTATTATTGATATACTCGTAAATGTTTTTTAAAAAAATGTATAAAATTATGAATATTCTATTGATATTGAAGATTAATGATAATGAGATAAAACTAGAGATAAATGTGTGGATACTCTTGTTCTAATTTAGAAAGCTGAACTGTAAATACTTTTTTGTACTGTGTTCATATTTTTAAGTGGTTGCATAAAATTATTTTGTAGTTCCCTCAAAGTAAGGGCAGTTCCCTCTGTTAAATGACAGTGATAACTTCACAGATAACTTAAAAAAATAATATCTTGCTCTATGGATATGAAGATACCAAGAAACATGTGTTATTTGTTTTGAAGTTATGATTGTTTTTTGTTTTAAATTCTTTATTCGTTTCTTTTGACTTAAATATAGTTTATTAATTGAAATAGTGAAGCTATATAAATACTGAATGTATTGGATTTCAAACTAAAAAAATATTCTGGGTAAGTTATTGTTCATTATTCTTATATATTGCGTTGAAATTTTGAAATAGTTTTTAAAGTATTCAATTATTTGAATACAAATATTTGGAGCTATGATGATTGACCCAGATAAAAAGTAGTCCTCTTAGTAGGTCTTTCTGTTATCTAAATATTATGTGAATAATAAACTTTTTAACGATTGTGTACCAAGAGGTAATAAACTAATAAAACCTAGTTTTATTATTAAAGATTAACTTTTTATTTATAGAAGTGATCTCTCATATACGGGATTTGATTTACATTATTTTTATTACTTGTAGTGGGCTTTCCAAATATGAATATTAATTCATATTTGTATTTACTTTAGTAAATGGTATTCTATGTACTAATTTATAATCATAGTCCATGAATGGTCCATAATAGGTGGATTCTAAATATTTGATCCATTTAGTCAGGCTATCCACCAAAGGGATTTTACATAAATTACATATTTACCTATAAAGTATATATATATACATAAGGTATCTATTTTTTTAATGGATAAAAACGGAGTTGTAACCTGCCTACGCTACCGGTATGTACTGGCAGGGTATCAGTGAGAGGTGACAGGTGAGAATGAATCAGCCCATCATAACAAATTAAAGAATTAATCATGATGGTTTCCAGGGAGAATCATGTGGTGGTGTACCTGATAGAGTATTTTGCTA